GATAAGGATTACAATAAAAGGGGATGATTATCCTAATCCTATAATGATTAGGATAACTACAACATATGGATAAATACAAGGAGCTTGAGTGTGGATAGTGACAAGTCTTGGCCGCCTGGTTTAGTGACTGAAGTAGACTGATGTGGTCTGGTCCATTTCTCGGATATGGCTAACCACCATTTCCTCCATTTCTTAACACAAGTCATATATTTCAATATCGGTATTTCTTTTTTTTATGGATTGTCATCTCAAATATATTTTGATCGGACTTCTTATATTAGGATATAACTCAAATAATAAATATTCCTTTTAGTTGGATATAGCCTTACCACAAATTAAGTTGGTGTATATAAGATTTTTTTTTGTCATCAGTTGGATTGAATATTTAATCCAAAGGTCTTACAATGCATAAGTACACAACTTAATGGAGGCCGCAAAGATAAAAATCTTAAACTACGTGACCAAAAACATTTCTTCGCTTATATAAGAGAAGATTGCATCGTATAATTAATATTTTCTCGAATCAGAACTATTGGATTATTAGATACAATTCAGTTGGGGATCTAATATATAAATATACTAAATCATAAATTCAAATATTAAAATATTTTTTTGAATGTATTTTGGAAAAAATACTGTACTTGTTAACTTATAGTACTATCAATCATTTTCTCTTGAAAATTTAACCAAAAAAAATCTAAAACTAAATCGTTTTCAAAAAAACCTTTAAGTTAGCACATAGTAGATCATAAAATATGACTGCGTCAGATGATAAGATATTCCAAAATAAAAAAAAAATTATTTTGTTACTAACACAAACAATAACTTTGGCGTATGAGAAAGTAGTGAAAGTGTTCAGAAAAAAATATGTAAGTTTATTAAAAAAAATCTTACATAAGAAAATCAAAATATCCTTTCAGAACCCCCACAAGGTTTTAATTCACAGGAGTTAAACAAATAAGCCTGAGTAAATTTCTTTTGTAATGGAGACTGAATTTGTTTTTTTTTTTTTGATAAAAAAATGATAAGAATGGAAACTGAATTAGGAATAGAATACTAACGTGTTAGGGATCATAAATCTTTCAATCCATGAAACAGTCTAAAACACACAAAAACTACTAAAACTAGCCTAGACAATAAACGTATGATCAATGAAGAGGTAGTTCAAATTGCGCTGGCATGAAAGGACAAGAACATTGGAAGAAGGATGTGACAGAGAGAGGTGCAAAATGATAAGAGGAGAGTCGTTCTTATCCACTTATATATATATGATAATATGAACGAGAACGTGTTTCTTATGACCAATGAACAGGTTAAGCTCTTTGTTTTCATTCTGCTTACCTAATTTTCTTTCTTGCCCAATTTTACTTTCCTGCCAGATTTCCTCTGCCTCAATAAATAAAAGTATCAAAAAGATCTTTGCTTTGCTAAAGAATCAATACATCATAATCAACCTCGGAGCTACTCTTGTCCACTCACACTTCAATATTCTTTAGTAAATGAAAAAACATATCTTCTCACCTAAATATATGCAAATAGGTGTCTTCTTTAAGATCTACATTTAAATTTATGACTTTAAAACGCATTTCATTTAGAAGAACACCAGATACACCAATAAAACCGTAGACGCTTATTTTAAACTTCATATTTTCTTCTTATTATATCTTTATTTTTGTTTGCCGGCCACTTTACGCCTACATTAAAGATATAAAATTATCTAAGATTCGATTTCTGTGAAAAAATTATTACTATAGTTTTTTTTTAGCAAATAACAACAGTGGATGATTGTCCATATAATTGTGTTTTCTTTGTAATGAGTGTTCTGTTGCTAACCATCAAACTCAAGAGAAGAATATCGAAATTAGTAGCAAGATAAACTAGGGACAAACACTATCTATTTTATTAGCATTTTTGTGATGATCGTAATGCAACTGCGTTACAGAAAATAATATTAATAATAGTGATTTTTATTCGGTCTTATTCTTGACAGACATTACAAACATACATCTGTTAGTATTTGATGTAATAAATAATCCCATAACAACAACCATTACAACAATGATCATACACATACGCCTAACGCTTCTCCTGCTCTTAGCATAATAAATGGTAGATATAATAATAATCTATTGATTATATTTCAAGAGATTTAAAAACGACCAACAGGAAGAAGGTATTAGGTATGAGAAGCAGCACTAGATTCTGCCGTCGACAAATCAAGAAGCATCTTCTTGTATGGCATTGCACTCATGATCCTGCACCCAAAACATGAATTATTTTTTAGATTTAACGTCTAGTCACTAGATCTAAGAACTCAAGATTCTATAAACCAATAGAAGAATCAAACCTCTCTTTGCGCTTCTCCAAGAACCGAGCCAGCGAGGCTTTACGAGCTTGAGGAACTGAGATAAACGAGGAATCTTTATTAGTTTCAACATATGATTTGCGTGTAGAAAAGCGTTGAATATATCAAGATTTGGCTACATAAATATATTTAAATACCTGAAGGAATCATATTGCTATGACCTGCATTGAATGATTCGATCATGGTCATTGCATTAGTAGCACCAACGTGTTTGTCTTTACACCTAGAGAAACTATCAGCGTAAGTGGCAGAGCTTGAAGATGCAGCAGCAGTAGCTTTATGGATTTGTTTTCCATAGACTCTCTCAGCTTCTCGAAGCGGTTTCTTCAAACCGCTCTCTCCAGTTTCTCCTTTCAAACCGTTCCCAGCAGATAACATAATGGCTTGAGCCTAATCATATAACATTATCAGACACATGTTATGTTTAAAGTGTAATATGTATGATCGAATATACCTTTTCTGGTGATATGTCATTAAAGACGCTAACAGTTCCGGCATAGAAGATTGTGAGCTGAGGATATGAAGCCACTCTGTTCCACAAGTCAAATAACCAACGTTAAGTGACGTTATAAAGTAAGAAAAACAGTTAAATATTCGATTATGTTCCTTGTAAAATGAGTAACGTTTTTTATATATTTACATATTTAATTTGATTATATATGTTAACCTTTTAACATTACGCACCGTGGATCTGTTGACGAGTTAAAAGCAGGACGGAGTGAGGAATGATTTGTTATGGGAACTGATCCGCCAAGTAAAAGCGGATTCACGTTTTGAAACGCACCGCTGCCAAATTGGCTTCTGCGGTGAGTACTGGCCGCCGCAGAAACTGGGCACCACTGGTATGAGTCGGGAAACGCATTAGACGTTAACATCTTTTTTTTTTTGTCAAACTATTTATATAGGAGCATCCAAATTGGTAAGTTTCTTAAATATGAGTTCAAAACTATTTAATAATAATATAATTTAATTATTATTTTGTAAAAAACATAAACCACTTACTAAAAATAGACATTTGTCACAATAGTTTCTTAAAAATATTCATTATCCTGTTTTTATGGTTGAAATTCCATTATCTATCCATGAAAATGCTCTAATGTCATTTGATTAAAAAAAAAAGTGACAACATATATGCATTATCCTAACTTCAAACACCAATCGCCACAATTTTTTTTCCTTTGCCTAATTTCGGCTGGCAAGCGAGTCTTCAAGCTCCTTAACTCGTACTTATCCAACACAAGTTACACAATTTTTTTTATTTGTCGGTGAATGATTGGCCACACAATTTTTTTGTTATGATAAATACACTTAACAACAACCGAGAAATAAAAATAATATTCCGGCAATATATTCGACCATTTTGCGGTAGCTTTCCGTCGACAATTGACAGGGAAAATAGCTAGTAACAATTAGCTCAGCCATTTTGAAAATTACGTAACCAATTAGTGATTTAAAAAAGTTAAATTGGAAATTCTAAGCTTGAACCAACCTGAAAATCTGCAGCAGCAGGCATGAAACTTGAATTAGGCAAGAGCTTTGCCTTTCCCCATTGTTTAGCTATCTTCTTGCTCAGTCCTGAGAAATTCATTTCTATCCATCAAATTACTCATCTTTAAATATTCAGATCTCACTTTTACTATGATGGAAAAAATATTATTAAAAAGAAGTTTGGAATCTAGATTAATTATATTTTAAAAAACAACTTTTTGAAGATATAATAAACAGCTTTATAGGGCAATCTCTATATTTTTACAACTATTTCCTTTTGGAGAGTAGAGATAGAGACAAGAACACAAACCTCGTTCTCCGACACGATCATCCTCAACCTCGCGCTTAACGTTACTCAGATACTTCTTGTCGCTCAAACCCAGAAAATCTCTTTCCATCTCAAACCAAGTCAGAGAATACTAACACAAATTACTTCTCTGTTTCTGCCCAAACATTTAGTTTAAAACGAAAAAACAAGACATAACACAAAGTAAATGGGAAACCAAAGGGGAAGGTTTCGTTTTGGTAATGTTGCAGACACACTTTTGGAGAGGACTACTAATTATAATCGCTATTCTTTCCTCTTTTATAAAGAACTCCATGCTTGGTTAAACCATGTGGGGCTTTTTTTAGCGGGAGAGAACGGTTAGTGCTACCGCCTAGACCGGTTTATTCCCACGTGTTTTTTTATGTTTTCTTTTGATTTTTTATTTCTTTCTTGGGATTGTTGACATTTGTCGACGGATCTGATATTAATTCTTTTTTTTTTCTTAGAAAATTAAAGGTGGTTTAATGGGAGATTGTGGACCTTTTATTCGTGAACTCCCACATGTGAAATGTGTGGTTGCTTTTCGTATGCAACGGTTTGATATTTTTCATCACATCAGTTTGCTTTTTTTCTCTTTGAAAAGTATTCGACAACAATAATGCATCATGAGGCGAAGACTCTTTTTGGTCGAGGCCATGTGCTATCTCACTTGTTGGATTACAATAATACCACAATGATGCTCAACGGGCTGTAAAACGTTTCTTATCAAAGGCCCAACATACGTAAGTAAGCACACTGTCCACTACACTAGTCTCGTTATTTGCTTGTGAGATTTAGTTTTGAGTCTTTTGACAAACTTCGGTTTACACCAATTACTTGCTTGATGATTAGTAAATGAAATAAAAACACATAATAGTTTTTGTATAAGTTCCATCGGCTGTTTCGGTTGGCTCGAATGCACATAGTGCTACTAACGCGAAAACATACAACACTGTATAGTCTATCATATTGTTATATAATAAAGTAATGTATTATACACTAAATAATAAGTAATATTGTTATGTAATACTATCATAATAAAACTATTGTTTGAGAACGTTGTTATGTTGTACTTCAAGGTTCTTGATTATATTTATGTCATTTAATTACTAGTAAGAACACCTCCAAAGGAAGTCTTTAGAAAAAAGTCTTTAGAAAAAAAATAATTAAATAATCAATATACTTTACAAAAAAATTAAGTATTTGATCTTTAAAATTCATAAATAAAGACTGTTTTTAACAAATCCTGACACTATTTGTGGGTCCCAGGATACGTGGTAGCCCGCAAATGGTTATTTTTTGCATTTTTATTAAAAATGATTCGAAATATCATTACCAAATCCGAAATATTTTTTTTCTTAAGGACTCTTATGAGTCTCACGGTTAGACCATGTGTAACGGTGTTGTTGCTGGAGGGATAACCGAGGTAGGTTTTTATAATTATTTTATTATTTAACTTTTTTAGCTAAAAAAAAAGGAAAGAGCCACCCGCAGGGTCCCACGTGGCGATGGGACCCGCGTACAGGAACAAGATTGATCCTTATCTAAGAATTATTTCGACACATTTTGTTAAATTTGATTGGCCCCCCACATTATTATATATTTTTTTACTAAAGATTTTTGGCTAAAAATTACCATTGCACATGCTCTTAAGGTAAGAGAAAATGACATTGTTATTATGCAATCTGTAATATTGAAATTCAGAAGATTATAGAAGTTGGAAAACACTCAGATGTTACTTACTCTGCCAAATTACTTAAAGATTTGGTAATAGGCTTACAATTATAATTTATCATTTTAACTGATGAAAAAATCACATCAGAACAAAATCTTAAATTGAAGTATGTGTTCAAATTATTATATGAATAAGAAGAAAATGTTCGTAGAGACAATGACGATAAGGACGAGCAAAATGATTTTGTATTAAATTGCCGCGCCATCCTAGTTTTCGCTTTCCTATGCTTCATGATTCTCGACACATTCATTTCTGCTTAACACACCCTTGTGTATATCAGTGTGTATATATGTGTCTTAATTTTTTATGAGCTACCAATCAGTGGGGGAACTATCCTTATGGGAGGGGGGGGGGGGTCAAATGATCCATGTGACTTTTATCATAAAAAAAAAAAATTTACTTGTATTTCTTATGAGAAAGCTGGGATAATATACTAATATTTTTATCATTTACCCCTATAAAATTGTTAATCATAATATTGACCCATGTGAAAGATTGGGATGGTTCAGTCAGTGCTACCAATTGATTAGAAAACGAGCCTTACGTAGAGAAAACAGAGTATGAGCTACAAAGAGCCGATTTGGCGATGGAACACAACATTTATAGAACCAAATCAAATTCCACGTTAATATCCAGATAGAAGATAAGGATGTTTTGTCAATTATTCTTAATTTAAGTCCGACGATAACACAAAATCGAGTCGAAATAACAATACAGTTGATATATAATTACTGAATATCTTACGAGGAATGGTCACAAAATTGTAAAAATACAACTAGCTGTCGAGTTGTTGATTGATCTGTTTCTCACTTTTCCTTTCATCTTCAACATTTATCTTCTGTAGTAAAAAAAAAAAAATATCATACATATCGTGATTAATTTTTATAGATAAAAGGAAAAGATGAAACTAAAAAGAGAAAAATACCTCGTAAATTTCTCAGTTTCTTCCCAAGAAAAGCGAGAAACACAATGAGTAAGATGACTAACGTGATGATTCCTATTATTATCACCAATGTTCTCCCTACATTATTATCGTCATTATCCGTATCATATTTCTCACCTCCTGCAAAAAAAAACAAAGTACACTCCAAAAAAATAAATAACTATACACCTCTAATTTGATATATAGCTTAACTCTATCATCAAAATAATTCTCCCAATTTAACACTTGTATAGAAAGGTTGTCCTCTAACCTCTATAGCTACATTAAATAAAAGTATTTTTCTTATTCTTCTTGTTGACTTTTTGTTAATATTAATTTAACGTAAATTAAGTAAAGAAAGCTGACCAAAGATTGAGTTTGGAGTCTGACTTCCATGACTACCAACGAAGCCGAAGCGAGCGTAACACTTGGACAAGTAAACGTATCCTCCTTGGGCCATTAAGCAATCAGATCTGAGCCGTCCAATTGCATCGGTCAAGCAATCCTGACACTGTGCTTGACTTAGATCCCCTGTGCACTGAGCCGCACCCCGAACCTCCCCATTCGCTCCAGTCCTGTCGGGCTTATCTCCCGAACCTAAATAACCGATGACGTCACTGACACGTGTCAACGCGTCCTGGTCTACAAATCCCATCGGCTGTCCACATGTCTTGCGCACCACCGTCTTGTCCTGAACGCCAAAGAAGGAGCTCTTGTCGTACCGTATCAGACAACTTTGCATCTGCCAGATCACGGAGTAGGAGTTGGGACACGTGTTTCCGACCAGTGCAAAGGCGCGTGTTACGCATGATGAGCAAGAAGTCGGGTCTAGGTCAACGCTGCATTGGAAGAGACCATATACGGTAACGTTTGGTTCAGGGTTTACTCCGCTGCCGAAGGGAATGGTGAGGTTGTTGTAGCGGTTGAGGAGGGTGGAGGTGACGAGGGAAGATAGAAGGGACTTGAGGTTGGTCTCGTAGGCGGAGCCAGGAGAGAATCTGGCTTGCGAGCAGTTTGTGTATATGACCGTGTCTGTGGAGGCGGTGTAAGTTGGGTTGTATGTGGCGGTTGAGGAAGTTGGGACCGTAAGGATGACGGCTGCGAGAACGAAACATAGACGGGTCGTAGATGTTTTGAACATTTTTGGTCGGAATAGTGACATAAACGGTGAAGTCTTTAGGGAGAGTAAATTAGAAGTTGAGGAGCGAATTGAGCTTGGTCTTTAAAGAGGTTTGCCGTAAATAAGGGGTAACTTGTACGTAGTTTCCATGTTGCATGCTTTTTTTTTTTTATACTTTGGTGGACGTTCAGACTTCATTGACTTGAGCTTTATTGTGGAAATTTTGCAATGCGTTTGTGTTAGTGTCCATCACAATTTTCTTTAAATCGATAATATATTTTTGTAGTCATTTGTATTAAAATTTTGACTTTGAAATTTAGTAGTGACCATTTGTGTGAATGAAGTCGTTAGCTTCTATATATGTATACGTAACCTAAGACTTGTTTTTCACTAACGGACATGACCACTAGACCTACTAAAAGGAAAAGAGACTTGTCTAAACTAAACTAGGCATGGGATCGGATATCTGAATTTTTGAAGGTATTTGTGATTTTCTTCGTATATCACGGATATCTAATTTTTCGATTTGTTTTGCTTCCGTAAAATACGGACATTCGGAAAAACGGATATCCAGAAAATAAATAGATATATGCGGATATTTATGAATACTTACGGATATCTCATATGTTTGGATTAAGATAAACAATCTTAAAAATTTGATACAAATTTATTTTGTAAAATATTTTTTTACATGATATAAAAGATAAAAATTAAAAGAAGTAACGAATCTACATATTTTTAAAAAAAATTAAACTTCGTTAACAATTATAATAACACAAAACTTAAGAAAAACAATTATAATTGTCATCATTTTTTTCTTTTTTTTTAGGTAATACTTTTATATAAGTAATAATGTGAATAAAATTTGTCAAATCATATGTTAGAATGATAATTATAAAATTTTATACATTTTAAACTTTAAATATAATCAAGATATACATGTATTTATATATTGCCGGATCGAATCGGATATCCGCTTTCTAAAAATTTAATATTTGTGGTTTGCTTCGATTTTAACGGATATTGAGTTTTAGTATTTGTTTTGTTTTGATAGCTTACGGATATTCGGATCTAATCGAAACGAATAACGAATCGAATAAAATTTAATAAATAAAATGCAAGCTATATACAAAGCTCATAACTCGACTGATAATTTTAACGGTATCGCTTAATAAAAACAGTTTTTTGTTTTCCTTGGTGTGTAGATCCATAATCATTTCGATACAGAAAAGCTATATACTATCAAGGAGAAAATAAATTGATGCAGACATCAAGGGGTTTTGGTGAGTAATTTCGTTGACTGACTTGATACATATAAGTCGTTGCCTCGTTGGTCTATTTCTTGAAATAATAATATAAAGCTATATTGTGGAGTCGATAATTTTTTGAATATAGACCAACCGAATGCGGTTGACTCGTTCCTAAATTCTCGAAAAGGGGAAAACATTTCCTGGAATTTTGTGGAAATCCCTTAAAGCCTAACTAAAAAAATTAAGATTGTGGAAATCTCTTAAAAATTGACATCCAAAATAACTACCCAATAACTAATGTACATTTGAAAGGACTTTGATCTGGCTATTGGTTGTTTTAAGGGAATCCTTGCTTACAAATCATAATTAGGATCATCTTGTTTGCATGAATAACATTCGTTTTAGTCTAGATGCAAGAGATGGTATGGACCAAAAGTGATATCTCATTAACAAGAACTAAAAAAATACATTACAGTTTACAAAATGACTATGGTGATGATTGTTTCTTTAGTTTCTAGATTTTGGATTTTGGTTTTTGGTTTTTAGTTTTTGATAATTTTTTCACACAGACTGAGAGCCAACATCCCTATGACTTCAGCCTCATACGCCATAATATTCTCTCTCTCTCCTGGAAAGGATAGACATATGGAGTCTCGATCATGCCCTCCGAGATCGCAACGAAGCAGCAGTGACTATTGCTATTAGTGTCACTCGTGATCAGCGTCACCAATCATACATAGCCAGACATGCTCCGGCCTGGCTCTTTCATTTTCTCGCTTTGGGGTCTACTGATTTCCCATCTTCTTAGTTAATCTTCCTTTATGTATTTTCTGTACCCTTTATTGTACAATCATTATTTCAAGTGTTATAAAAAAAAAAGTTTTTGATTTTTAGATTTTAGATTTTGGTTTTTGGTTTTTGATTTTGCAGTAGATTTTAGTTTTTGGGGAAACATGAATGGTGAGTTTAGATTTTGGTTTTCACTTTTAAAATAATAAGTGAAAATATTATTAATAATAAAATATTTATTCTAGAAATGATAAAATATAAAATATTATTATCATAATACACATAAAATTTTTACATATTAATAAAAACAGCAAATAAAAAAATTCTACGTTTAAACATACACTTAAAAAAAATAATGTCATAAAATATTATTAAAAGTAAAAATAATTATTAAAGAGAAAAAATTGACTATCACTTCATTATTAGATAAAATATTATTTAACCGTAATAATTTTAATAAAATTAAAATGTATTATAAACATTTTTTTACTGTAGTTAAAATTACTACCAATATTAAAATTCTAATTAAAAATTCCCTTAAAATCCTACAAAAATAAATAAAAATAAAAAAAAATATTTTTATTAAAACAGCTTATGTTGTAGTTTAGAATTTAAATTTAAATGATAGACAAAAAAAAATTGTTCATTCTTAATAATTTGGAATAGTTATTATTTTTTACTAATCTCTTTTTTATTTATTTATGCTAATATCAGTGCATAAATATAGAAATGTTAATATTTCAAGAAAAGACCAAACTAAAAAAAAATTAAAAAGTCACGTACACCTTAGGAAACTAGGAAATTGTGGTTTTTGGTTTTTGTTAAGAGATAGGTAGTTATTTTCAAAATCTGGTTTCCCTAAATTTTAAGGAATCTATTTTGCAAAAATCTTGATTGGTGAAAAAGTAGTTTTTATAAAATCAAAAACCAAAACCTATTTTAGAAACTACAAACAATCAACCTCTATATCAGTTTCATTCCTTTTTAATTTACTTTTTCTTCTTCTCAAAGCCTACCTATTTTCACATGTATATGTTCCAAACAAGCTCTAGTATCAGCAAAGCAGGCCAAAAAACTGGTCTTTGAATTAGGCCTATTTTATAAATTATAGCATTATGGATATGGCATCAAGCCATCAATCCATTACCAAACCAGCTTTCTGTAATGGCTTCTCTTTAGCGGGCTAACCTTGGGGTCTTTAATACAAGTTATGTTAAGTGTAAGAAAAAAAAAGTTCACCTTCAACTTGGCATATGTATAACCATTTATTGGAACAAGATATAAGATCAAACAAAAAACATCTAAAAAAGAAGAAAACCAAACACATTGCAATCTTCACGCCATTGTTCACTAGTAGAGTTTTATAAACAAATAGATTCACAACCAAATAAGAGTTTTTCAAATGGTGTGTTTCATGGATGTTTCTTAGAAGCTGTTTGTTTCTCGAGTTTCTCAAAAAGAGAACCATCATAGGCAGCTCTCACTGTATCTTTGTGCAACAAACCGTCCTTGTCTTTGCATAGATAATGCAAGATCTTCCACTCCGTATAAGCAGCAATCCTGCAAAAAAATATTAAATTCACATATAATATTCAGAATTGGATACATAAATCGCTTTCCAGGTTTTGGTAAAGAGAATAAATAGAACCAAATTAAACCGAACCGGTTAGAATACTTACGCTCCTTTACGATCATTAGCTTCTTTGTTTGAATCGAGGAGTTCTTGAAGTTCTTTACCCGTCAAAGCATCGGGATGTGTCTTTGAATGCTTCGCAAATATCTCCTCGAACTTCGATTCCACAAACCTTCAGAAATTTAACATAAAAAATGATCTCTCTGTTTACAATTAATAAAATTTTCTGCTTTTCTTACACATGTCAAAACAGTAGACTAGAGCCGAAAGATGGTTATCGGTTCGAAAATGCGAGGTGTCCAACCAATAGGCTTTTATTTTAAATAAGATTCCAGCGATATATTTAAATAAGTACTATTAATGTCAGGTAAATAAATTTTATTTTTAGTGAAAACCTTTTATGATTAGTTGTCTTAATCAATAATTAAATTAAAATTAATATTTCTTCGATTACAATTTAGTTGTCGTTGTAAAAAAAATTTCGTTTTAATATAAATATTATTTTATAATTTTAGTGGAAAATTTATTTATTTTATTTATTTTTACTTTTTATATTGGTTAAAATGTGATTAGATTCATAAGTAGTTATGATTTTTCTAAAAAATAGAAAAATATATAAAATTAATTTTTTTCTTAATCTGAGTATAAAAATTCAAAACAATAACTAAATTGAAACGAAAAAATATTAATATAATAATATTTATTGACAAAAGACATAATAATTTATTTTATCTTTATTTAGGAATATCATTATTAACTAAAAAATATATATTACTAACTTCAAATTTGTGTATTGTAAATAACGTTTTTTAAAAAAATATATCTTTTGCAAATGTAAGAAATGTATACTGAATTCATCAAAACTGTGTAGTTCAGAGTGGAAAATTAAAACGAGAAGAAGATACCTTCCATTCTTATCGTAAACGCCTGAATCGCTACCGTGTTTGGCAAGATGGATATTCTTAACCTCTATGGGAAAAGAGAGAGAGAAACCTTTTCCCTGCGCAAATCAAGAACACACATTACAGATTTCTTTTTTTTTTTGTATATTGTGTGAAATCATTAACTGTAACTTAATCGTTCAATGTACCGGACGCGTTTTGCTGCTAAGACCCATGTTGATGAACAAAGAAGCGAATGTCGACAAGAAATATCCACATCCTATTGCTCTAAACCCTGTTCTTTGTTTTTTTGTTTGTTCCGATAAGTAAAGTTAGTATAGAAAAAATCGAAAATTTTACTTAGATGAGAATGAGATAGTCATCAAACCATAAGAGCCACACAAATATATATTCATAAAACAAAAGATCTAAAAAATAAATCTAATTTAATGATATTACAGAGATTGATTAAGACATTTTAGTTTGAACTGAAGAGAGCCAACAAGATTGATTAAGACATTTTAGTTTGAACTGAAGAGTTTTCAGTTCAAGAAGACCGTACCTTGAAATGTCTCTGAAGGATAAACGATACCATCTTTGTTCCTGTCAAAGAAGGCGACATGTCTCTGCAAGAAATTATCTTCTTCTGGCACAAACTTCACTCCTAAGAAAGAAGAAAAACAACCCATTAAAACGTTTAAAGATGGGTTTTATGATGGTAGAGATGCATAATTTTACTAATCACCAATATGAAATTGAGAATGTAAGAAAGAGTACCAGTGGATTCAGAGGAAGCCATGATATGATTGTAAAGAGCCAACACAATAATGAACTGGTCGATCAGAGAGAAAGAGAGAGAGAGGTTACAGAAAATGGTGATGAATGGCGACAACGCACGCTTCTTTTATCTTTAATAATTGAATTGTTTGTTATGTTACTGTATGATAAATGTTATCAAAAGATTCGATTTCGATTTGTAGACCTGTATACGAGGGGATAAAGTGGGAAGCGTCATTCACGCACCACGTTGCTGTGGCTGATACAGCATTTATATAACACATTCCGTTTCTATTTGACTTCCTCTTTATGCTCAATAATATTTTTCATTATTCGTATATAATTACATAGTTCATAAATCATAACTCTCTTTCTCTCCGTGTTTTCCTTCGATTATAAATTACTACTTACATTATCTTTCTTTACGTCACCCTTCATTTTCTAAAAAATCTATCGGTTTGCAAATAATGTGCTTCTGTTATAATTCAAAAGTTCCCAGGTTTTATTCGTCTCCTGTAGCTGACGCCTGATGCCATTTATAAATTTATAGTAGCATATTATTTGAGTACACACCTTATGCCAGTCTCAAAGAAGACGTCTTTTACACAAGTTTTAAAGAGAAATTTAAACCTTAGTAATAAATTATTACAAAAGATATTTACTCTCACAATTTTCTTATACTTTTACTTTTGAAAATTTATTTTATTTAAATTTTTTAAGCAGATGAAATATGTCTTTATTCAAACCACACTAAATAATAAAAGACACTTTAAAAGAAAACAACTAAAATACTAGTATAACATGATATTTATTTTTAAACCGAAAAATGTAGCAGTTAGAAGTAAGTTTGTATTTAACCAGAATATAAACACTGGGACTAATGAAATTATAAAAGCTAAAACAAAAATCGTGAGATCCATTACTTATCGGGAGAGGAGATCAAATCGATAATGATAATGCAACAATGGTGGTGGACAGAGATATTATTAAATTAATGGGATTAACAGTTTTTGTGTTAACACAGCTGTGCTTTAACTCGCATTCTATATGTTTCTTTATAAATCTAGAAACTTAAACTATTGAGTTCTTGACCAGCATGGATGACTCACTCAGCTCCGCGTTTGTATGCGGATAAGCAAAGTATGATGTTACCAAAACCTAACCCTCTTTTGTATATATTTTAGGACAACTTATAAGGTAATGAAATCACAGTTTTCACGTTGATATTGGTATCGGATGGTACTAATCTATTAGTGAAAAACTAGCAAAAGTTTACTTTTTCTGCTTTTATCATTTGAACCGATTCATTTATATTGGCGGATGGGTAGATTGAAAACTGCTATTTGTTACATGTTATTTCATATAGCATATATGAATTACAACACAGTAAGTTCTACTAGATATGTTTGGGGGATTGACAAACTTTAAGAAACGGTATCAAAATTCACACGCATTGGAAAAGTGCAATAATCAAAATGTCATTGCGTAAAGCCTTAGTGCAACAGATTCCTTCTGCTTTTATCTCTTTTTGTCTTGTCCAAACGACAAAGGCTGGTGATGACAACCCCACAACTTCCTTTCCGCATTCACACTTGGTGTAGGTATAGGTTGTTGCTTCTACAAATTATCAGAACCATTCCCTTTTATATTATAATCCAAAAACCCTTGTTAGCTCTTTCAAACTTAAATTGTAAGAAAATCATATCAGAACATCTATACTATTATTTGAAAACAAACGACATGATTATCTTAAAGTTGACAATACTAAGTATATTTTTTTCAAATATTTTAGTTAACCAATTTGCGTCAAACATTTCAGGTTTTCACTACAACAATGTCCAAATCCAAACCAGCCAAAGAGGTAAAAAACAAAACAGATTATCTTAAAGTTGGCGCAAACCAATCATCCATCTCTCCATCATCACTACAATTACCAAGAAACTCAATCTTTCTCCGATCATAACATCTTGTTGACTCTCTCTCGTCATCATCATCATCTTTTTTCTTTTCATGTCCATTGCTTCTCATCCTCTGTGTCATCTCCAACTTCCATTGCTCTCTTTTTTCCACACTCCTTGAAACACTACTTCTCCCTCCTTCCACTGGAAATCCCATCACGCCATCTTCTTCTTCTTCCTCCTCCTCCTCTTCCTCTTCTTCTTCTACGAAACTCCACGTCTTTGAAACTCTGCTGTGATGATCACCAACACTCTTTGAATCCGTTGTGGCGTTTGGAGCCTTTTGTCTCTTGTGATCACACTTCAAACATACAGAGTTTCTTCTAAAATTGATGTAATAGCACCTGATGATATACAAAATGATATCAACTTTCAAACAAGGGGACACTAGATTAAAACAAAACGGATGATGATGATGATGACTCACGACTCGCATTCCCACTCTCCCAGATTGATTTGACGCATTGAAGGCTTGTCTTTGCACCGCAAGCAACTCGTGTTCTTCGCAAAATTCAAGAAATTGCATCTGCGGCAAAAGAATTGGAAGTTCAGTGTTTCTTTAATCAGATCAGACTTCAGCCACTGTCAAAAGATGTACTCACGTTTGGCATAGCCAATCTCCTTTCTTCAGTGGGAGATGATCTTTCTGTTCTTGCTTCAACTGTTTTAGCCTCTCCTCAGAAAATACATCACACCGCAAGCATCTTATGTTTCTCGCAAAGTTTAAGAACTTGCATCTGCCAAAACAAGAATAGTTCATAAACAAAAGAGATTTACACAAATCATAAGACCACTTACTCTGTACAGTGCCAATCCCCAGGCCTTTTCCGCGGGTCTCTCTCATCATTCTCCAGTAAATTTGTCTGGAGCTCATCTCGAGATGTCACAGTCTCAGCAGACTCAACGTCTTGTAAGCTATACTCCACGCTTTCTCTCAGCAACTTCCTCACAGAATCTTCAACAAACTTGGTTTGACAAGCACGGTTCACCACAGTAGGAGAAATGGAATCAAGCCCATAAGTCAGCAATATACGCATGACATCTAGAGTTCGAGCACCTTCCTCTTCTCGTGATTGAGCATAAGCCCTTTCACATTTCCCTCTCAAGTTGCAAGAGCCACACACCTACTAATTAAATTGTTCTAAGCTTAGTGAAGTAAGTTCCAAGCACATGTAGCCTCAGAAAAAGAAAGAAAGAGCTAAAGCTATAAGTAGAATAACATACATTTACTTCATCAATGCCGACATAAGCTCTTAGACGCTTTCCTGAGTTCACAACCTTCCTGTCAATGCTGGGACATCCACACTCAGCAATCACTTTCATATCTTTCTTCGACAAGTATCTGTAAAAAATAAAAAATGCAACACTTGAGAGACCCATCTATCGTCAGCATTTCGTCGAACACCTTGTGTGTAGATTTGATTCTTCACTCACTTATACAATTAATTGAACAACTGATCAAGAAAACAAATTCCTTTAAAGAAACCCACATAGAATAAAATCAAAAGCCTCAAAATTTGAATCAATTACAGCACTTGAAAGACTGAACATTGTATTCTATGTTTAATCCGCATTTCGTCGAACACCTTGTGTGCAGATTGGATTCTTCACTCACATAACCAATTTAACTGAATCAATCGCGTACCTCACGAGAGTGAATCGATGGCGGGCGAAATTGAGACAAGCAGAACGGATATGATTCGATTCCTTCACGGTTTCTCCGAAGTAACCTTTTTTCACCAGCATCCCCATCAAATTTAGCCATTCGGGCCATGGGTGAGAGCTTGAATCATCGTGGTTTCGGGTTTTAGCTAGATCGTGGATATGTGCAACGGCCTTGACGGGTTTTGGGTAGAGAATGGTTCGACGGATGTAGAATCTCATCATCAAGAAGTTTTGGCGGGTAATATGAAGTGTGTTGTTATGCAAAAACGATCGTCACATTTTCATTTTATACCACTGAATTTATATTTTTTTGGCAAAAAAAATTATATGGAAAATCAGACAGCATATCAAATCAAATTTTACAATAAAGTTACAAATTTGGATAGCCAACTACTGTAACACTGAAATAAAAAATTTGGGGGAGGGGGGGGTTCTGTGAACAAACTTTCATTCAACTTAGCCAAAGGTTCTTACACAATATGTTTATGGGGTTATTTGTGAAATAACCATAATAAAAGATTTAATCCAAAAAAGCATAACAGAAAACAACACAGGGACATTATTTTCAAAAGAAAAGACCTCTTTACCTATTATTGCAGCATCAGTATTACACTTCAAGTAGTTTTGTGGTGGTGGAGACCATCTTTCCTCTGCTCTATTAACTGGGATCGTGTTCACTTCTAATTCCTCCATATCATCGTGACCTATCCACACATCCAAGTCCTCCTGAGCCTTATGTACCAAACTCAAAGCATCATAATCCTCACCTCTGAAATACAAGTGCTCTTCCACAGTCTCCACAATATCCATGGCCCTAGCTTAAGAAACTTAGTTTCCTCAGTTGCATTGAGAGACCAGTTAAGTGCCGTGAACAAGACATGGGAAGAGTAGATGGAGTGGAGTTACATGACGTGAACAAGACATGTTTATTTAACAAAGACTTTTTTTAATAATTTTATTATCCAAACTTTGAGAATACAACCCTTAACTTTAGGTTATGAATGGAAAGGCAGAACAAGTGCAGATCTCCCGCTTATGCAGTTCTCCTGCACTGCTTTTGCCATTCATCATTTTCTGTTTCTAAAAGCAGTTCAAGTAGGAGATCTGCATGCAGTTCAATATTTCCTGTCTTTTTGTGAAAAAAGCAGGAGATCTGCATGCAGATCTCATCCGCTAACATTTGTAGGTGTTGATCTGCCTTTTTCACTAAAAGACAATAAATAATGTACAAAGATTAACTCAAACGATATAGTTCACATCAATATTATTTGTATCATTTTAAAATTATAAATATGACATTCAATCGCCTACAAAACACAATATTTTCCCAAGAAAAAAATATAATTTTCTTACATAAAATGAGTATTTTATTAAGCTGTACAATATTTTCAGCAAAAAAGATAAAATCTTTATATATAAATATCAAAAAATAGTTTAATATTAGTAATATGCTAGTTCTTCAAAGATAATTTTGATCAATTAAAACAAAAAGAAAAAATGTACAAGCATCTTACGAAAAATTTAATTAACATTCGGCTGATCTTACAACATATAAGATATTTATTTTGATATTTTGGTATAATTTTTTATTGTTTAAATATATGATTTATAGTTTTGAACTGATTTTGTCATTTATAATAAATATATAATAAACTGTTTGATCTGCATTTCTCCTGCATGATCCGCTTGATCTGCACTTGTCCCGCTTGATCTGCATTTGTCCTGCTTGATCTGCATGAACCGCTTGATCTGCACCGCTTGATCTGCTTTTACCATTCGAAGCCTTAGTATTTTAGAAGTAAGTGCTCTTCCACAGTCTCTGCAATATCCATGGCCCTAGCTTAAGAAATTTAGTTTCCTCAGTTGCATTGAGAGACCAGTTAAGTGCCGTGAACAAGACATGGGAAGAGTACCTGGGAAGAGTAGATGGAGTGGAGTTACATGCCGTGAACAAGACATGCATATTTGACAAAGACTTTTTTTAAAAAAAAAAAATTTTATTATCCAAACTTTGAGAATACAACCCCCTAACTTTAGTATTTTAAAAGTAAGAATTGATGAATTAAAATGTAAACTAGATTTTGCGCGCTTTCAAAGTGCGGGATTAATTTTTTTAACAAATTTATTAAACCGTTCATTTGTTTACTAATATGTTTAGGTATGAATATTTAATTTTCGGTTCAGTTGTTTATTTTTTCTTTTTTTTTTGGTTGGTTTTAGTTCATGTGTAGTTTTCAGTTTTTCGGTTCAAAAGATATGAAAGTACCGTTTTGTTATTTATCAGTTTTGTATAAGTTTGGCTATTTTTGTTTCAGTGGTTTGGATAACATTGTTAAAAATTTGATAAAATTTAGAGTAATTTGTTTTTGGTTCAGTTCCCATTTTGGGGATAATTTCGAATAATTTGGGTAAAATTATATTTTGAGATTTTTTGTACAAAATATTGGAAACTCTAATAAATTTAAAGATCAAAAAATATTCAGGCAATTGTTTTAGCGAGAAATTTAAAATAATTATTAAATTTTGGATAAAAATAATATGGTAATCCAGATTTTGGCTAATTTGTTATAAATAATATTTTGAAAGATTTAATAATTTTAAAACTAAATATAACTAATATTTATATATATCTATATAAATATATTTTGAATATGTATCTATTTAGTTCTCGTTTTTTTTGTTTTTTGCAATTTAATAGATATATGAACCGTTCAGATAAAAAAAAGAAGAACCGTTCAGATATTAGTAAACATTTATTCGAAGTCCTAATTTTAGTTTAACTAACTGATTTAATTTTTGTAATGATAAATTTCATAGCTAAAATATTAAGATTATTATCATATTAAAATTGTTGTAAATATTCACTTAAAATTATAGAATATTCTAAGTACTACAAAGTAAAAAATAAAAAGTGAAACATTGGTAAAACAAAAAAAAAATTATTTATTTTACTTTTAATATGTGTGAAATGTACATAACATCAACATTTATATATGGGAGGAGTAATATATATATAATTATTTGTTTTAACAGTATACATTGGTAAATATATATAATATCCATCGATTTAATTTATTTTCCTATGTTTTAGTTATATTTTTAATAAACTAAAACTGTAATGAGATAATCTGTATTTTATAATTCTTTCACAGTAGTCAATGTTCATCCTAGTGTTTTTAAAATATACATTAGTCAATATATTATAATTAATCCAACCTATTATCAAGTTTTGCATGTTCGATGTAATAACTTATAAATCTCTATAATCATAAAACTATTAACCCATACACAATAATTATTAAGTAACTTTAATATTTTATTCTTAGAAATTAGAATGACATTAATATGATTTTAATATTATAAGTTAAAGATCTTTATTTATAAGTTAATTATTGCTGGTATTAAAAGATTTTAAAAAATAATTTTTTATTAGGAAAAAAAAATGAAAAAAACAGTGAAATCCTATAGGTTTTTACCAATTTTGGTGGCACATTTCATAGATTTTCATCCGGATCCTCATTTCATACATATATTAGATAATTCATAATTAGCATATTGTAAATATAATAAATGTGATATTTCAAGTGGAAAGTGATTTTTTTAAAGAAAAATAATCTTAATTGCCAGCCACATAATTTCAAAATAAAGCTAGAGGATCTTAGCAATATCGCATTCATAATCAATTCTTAGATTCTTTAACAAACGTAAATAATATGCCATAATTCAGTGACATCTGATTGGTTGAAAATATATTTAGTTGAATAATTAAAAATATTCTAAAATAGGAAATGGTATTGTATTGTAAATAAGTAAGAAATCCAATGACAAAATCCTTTAATAGTATAGATAATCATTGTTTCAATAGCATAAAAATTAAATATAATTGTTAATCTAAAAATACTCAACTTTTGAATAACAAAAGATTCTAAAATAAATTATAAAATCATTACACCAATAACTAAAGATTTATGCATAATTAAAAATCATCATTCCAGTAACAAAATATTTGATTAAGACTTCAACAACCATTGAAACAATAACCATAGAATCTTATCAAATCTGTAAAAATTACTCTCCCAATAACTCCTCCTAATAATAGGGAAAAATGAGAAGTGTACCGTAAAATGAGGGATATCTATTTATCAATTCTTCGATAATCAATGGCTATCATTAAATTCGTTTTATAGCCATACTGTCTTTCATCTACACCTTCTATTATATAAAGCAAATCTTTTTCATTTATTCACCAGAGCAAAAGTTCTCGGTTCCAGATAATCCAAAACCATAAGAATACCCCCCCCCCCCCTGCTATTTCTTTTTCAATCATCCAAAAATGAATAAATTGGTGTTTTTCTTGTTAGCCCTAATCTTCACGGCATTGTCAGCATCAGCTGATATTGATTTTTGTTCGACAACGGCCATAGATAAAGTGGATGGATGTTATGATTCGTTGAAATTAGCAGCGGCAGATGATTACAGATGGCTAAGAAAAGATTGTTGCAAAGTGGTGTACTCATTTCCTCATCACTGCTTATTGCCTGTCATGAACCGCAGACATAAGGATATTACCTTCTTCAAAAAGATTTGTGTTAATGTTCACGGACCGATATAACTTTTCTGTAAACCATCATTTCAGTGATATATAAAACAAAATGAAATTAAAGTTCTTACATCATTTATATGATACATGTACATCCCCAGAGATGTATCCCCAAAAATCTGTTGGTTCTATTTTTTTATAAGACAAAAGTATATTTCATCACCGAACATGTAATTTTGAATCTCCTAGATGATTGACCAAAGTGTTCAGGAACAATGTGTTGTAAGTGGAAGATGTATAAAATGAAGTAACGGAAAAGATAATGCAAGAAACAAATTATACACCAACCAATTTTGCAGTATTAGAAATTGATTAAACAATTATATAAAACCTTGTTTAATTATTTTTATACATGATGTTGTGTTAACACTCCCACGTAACTGAAAGACTCCTACCTGATACGTTAGTGTTTGGTTCAAGACGATCCAAGACATATGTTAATATGTTACTATTCATATTTTTTAACTGTTTATTTTTTTCACACTAAACGTTTTTCTTATACAAACCGCAGTATAAAATCTTCCTCTTGCCTTGCACCGCTCGATCCAATGTTACCAAGAACGCAATTACATAAACATAAACTCTCAAGGGTCTCAGTTTTTGGCTTATATGAAAACTGATACACTCACGTTGTTATACACAATAACTCCACAGTATCAGTGTCGGATAAGATAGAACTGATCATAACTCCGACTTCTTTGAACATAACATCCCTTGTTTGTGTCGCGATGCGATCTCTCTACACAGACCTGACATGTTTCTTGGTCCACAGCTGACGGCGACGGTGACGAAGGAGAGCGAGAGCGAGAGGTTGAGTTCGAAGAAGAAGACGACATCTTAGGAGAAGAGGAGGTCTTAGTTGGTTGCTGAGGAGAAAGGAAAACACGGATCTTAAGCGTCTTAGTAGCGAGATCATATTCCTCCATGAGGTTGGCTAGATCCTCGTCGGAGGATACGGTGACAAGCGCGTCGAGATCATCCGTTGGTAGCTGACACCGGAGACTAACCACCTTCACCCCGCATATCTCGCCGAGTTTCATCGCCAGCTCTGTTTAAAATATCATTTTCAGAAACTTGAAAAGGGAAGAGAAAAAAAAAGCTTAATTACCTGCAAAGGATATGGAGCGTTGTACGGAGAGGACACGTGTATGGCCACCGTGGTAACGTAGCTTGCTGTCGGGATAACGCGGGATGATTCTCCCGCCGTAGCTACAGAGGAATTTAACGGTGGTCATTGGTTTAGTGGTTTATCTGGAAGCTTGGAGGAGAAAGTAGTGTGTGTAAGTATGACTTTGGTTGGTTCAAGCCAAGCTAATATGAGATTCAATGGTTTATATATAGAGAGAGTGTTTTCATGAAATGCAAAGGTGTGTGAACCGTGGAATTGTGAAAAGTATGTATGGTATATTCTCTTTTGGTGCGTGTGTGTCGCAAAAATAAATTTTTATTATTCGAAAAAGATTCGGCCGACGTTATTTTTTTTTCATCTGGAGGATTTTTATATTAGCTTAACGTAAACCATCAATCCAACATTACTAAGAAAGTGATTGGTTGGATTCTAACTGTAAAAATTTAATTGTAGAAGTTATACCGTAAATGTATCGAAGGTAACTGTATATGTACTAAAGTAAACTTTTCTATAGAGATTTTTGCTGTAACTATAATAATTATATTTGTAAATTATTGACTGTACTTTTGTAAAATAAAACATGATTGGATAAAATGTATTGTAACTGAAAAAAAATCTTTTATATATTAAAAATAACAATATATTAAATTATTTTAAAATAAAATAAAAACCATTTAAAATAAAAGTCAAAGGAAAAACACCATCTAAATAATAATAATAATAAAATTCATTAACGAAAATTCCATAAATTTATTGTAATTTCATCTCGAAAACCTTCCATGTATTGTCGAAAAACGACAATTTGTTAAATATACTAAATACATAGCTCTAAATTATTAGTTTATGATCGAGGATTATCATTGTTTTCAGTATATTAAATATTTGACTTATATATGTATGTATGTCGTATGAAAAAGAGTACGTACTTTTCTTTTTTCAGTTATAAGATTAATTTTTTCTACAACTCAAATAATAAGGATATAGAATTTTTGTCTAAAACAAATAAAAAATAAAAATTCGATCTTTTTGCTGTATTTAAAATAAAAAAAAAGCTACATTCTGATTGGCAAAAAGTTTTTAAATTTTGCTGTAGATTTTAATTTTGAAAACTAAAGCTACAACATGATTGGTAAGAATTGATGATTAAAAAAAAAAAAAAAATTAAAGTGTTAAGTTAAATCCTAACTAATCACCCTCTTATAAATGTGGGCACAACCACTTACATGACCAGTAAAAACAAATAGCCTAAAAAAAGCCAACCACTCTAAACTGCAGTTAGTAACAACTCGTCACAATTCAATTTTAGCCAACCTTGAAAGCACCTCAGCGGATTGACACCTGAAGTTTGGCCAAGTTATCGGCCACGTGCTTGATGTGGTGTGAGATCAGAAAAAGTTTGGCCAAGCCAAGCTTTCGGCCGACGTTATATGTTTTGGAAATATTATTCTGAATCTAAAAATGAAAAATAAAAAAAATAAAAGGTGCAAACTTCATAGGACAAAAAAGCCACAAAAGAACAATCAGATTCTTTTGTCCAAAAAAAAAGAACAATCAGATTCAATTTTATTTTGACAAGTGGACTTGGAATGAACCTGAATATTATTCTCTTCGGCCATTTACTGCTAATGAATTTTCACATTCGGGTTCCATTTATTTTTAGATTTATTAACTGATCATCATCACAAGATCTTATTTTCTGTAACATATTATCAAATGATCTTTCTCGTATTTTGCTTTAGCTTACACGATACCAAAAATCATTTATAAATCACTCTTGATTTTAGAGTTCCTTTGATAAGATTTACTAAAACTATAAATACATTTTTGTGACGTATAGAACAAAATTAATTATTTAAAACTTTTTCACAACACTGTTTTATCCCACAAATTCGAAATTTTACACACAAGAGTTTGACACTCAAGTATGAATAGTTAACGGTCGATCTACTACACTAATCTTGGTACCAAATTACCAATAGATTCTTCTTCGTCTCATGTATATACGTTTTAAAATAAATATCATTTTCAGTGCTACAGTGAAAAGCTTAGATATTTTCATATATCTTTTCCGCTAAGAAACAATCATCTGAACTTTTTTCGTCTCTAAAAAGATATTTTTTACGTTTCTTCTATCAAATGTTATTTGATATTTTCCATTGAAATGTAGGCCCTTGTCTTGTGCAACCCGGTCCCTTGAAAAGCCACAGCGACCACGAAGTTTTTCATTAATGTCGTAAGATTCTTGATATTTTACAAGTAGATATTTTACATATACTTCGACTAAGAGCATCTCCAGAAGACATTCTATAATTTCAAATATAAAGTTTTTGATTCTCCAAAAAAGAACTCTAAAACTTCAAATTTAAAGTTTTGAATAGTGAAACTTCAAATATAGAGTGTCACTACTCAAACTTCAAATTTGAAGTTTCATATTTTTGTTTGCATTTTTATCCTTACAATTATACATTATATTTATAAGTCTTATATATTTTATGTTTTTATCATTTTAATCCTTGAAAAATCATATCTCATTAATATTTCAATTTTTTTTATAAATTTAAATTTTACACATATTGTTTTTACAAAAAAAAAAATACAAGATAAGATTAAAAACACTTAAAATTAGAACTAGACAACAACAATATTACAAAACTTAAGGTGATATTTTATTTATAATTTAACATTTAATTATATATTTCCATTAATAATTCATATTTTAGTGTAATATTTTACATTTAATATTGCTGTAATATTTTTATATAAGTTCTAGTTATTTATAAAAGTTCTTTGAATTTAAACTAGTTATGACAAATATAAGGACCATAGTATAAAACACAAATAGTTTTAAAGTTAAATTTGAAGTTTTGTTTTTGGAGCATAACACCTACAAACTTCAAATATAAAGTTTTTCAAACTCTAAAATAGAGTGTATTTTTGAAGATGCTCTAATAAGAATGATTATGCAGAGTTTACCTAGAACTCCAATCTAAAGCTGAGGCTGACTAGTGAAAACATATAAACGTCGTCTGTACAATAACATAAAAAACCCATCGTATAAAACAATTTATATTTGTTTCATTTCAAATAACTTGTAACTTACGAGTTCATACAGCATTTCCTAAAACTATATCATAAAACAATGCAACAAATAAATACATTTTTTTGTATAACTATACTCAAAAGTCAAAACTAAGATGACTTCAAATAACGTATTTGGTTGTATAACCTTTTACTCTTTATCTCTAGCCCTCTCTACACACACATCCTCATAGATGCATCATAGTCCCAAAGACCTTTCATCATTTGGCGTTCGAGTTTCTTTAATCTCCCACTGATCCAGTTATTATGTAAAACGTAACAACGCTTCTTCTCGCACTCTGCTCTTACATCTTCCTTCAGCCATAGTTCTCCGTAAGCTCCGTTAGGAAACAAGTCTCTGTCCAAGAAATGAACTGTCAGATTTGTCTCTGGCTCAACGCATCTATTGTCTCCTAAACGGTGGACTCCACCTTCTCCACACAATGTATCGTAGAAGCTAGGCTGCTCTGATAGACCAGAGGTTGCCGCATGCTTCACAACTTTCTCCATTGCTGCCATGGTTGGTTCATCTGAACGTGTGAAATAGAATCCTGAGTTCAATCGTCTCGGTCGATTTATCGGTACTGCAAAAACCAAACCGAACCAAACCGAACACAACTTATTAGTCTTTTCGAACAAAGGTTGGTCCAAAACAGTGTTCTAAAAATCGGTTTAGGCAGCTCTTAGGTGGCGAACCAAACTAAACAAAAAATGTTTAAAAAATCGGTCTAGACATTCAAAAAATCAATAATCTCGTATAAAACGCCTAGTTACTGTCTAGTGATTTCTTGAGATTTATGTACCTGTTGTGTTGTATTCATCAGATTGTGCAACGAGAACAGAAGGACCAAAAGAGTGAAGCAGAGGCAAAGGGTTTCTGAACCAATACACATCAACATCGCTCAAGAGAACGTTGTAGCCCATCTTAAGTATCTTCAAAACTGTTCTTGACTTAACTTTGGTCACTCTCTGGAAACACTTTGATCCAAAGTGGCAATCATTGAAACTAATGTTCTTTGGTGCGTATGGATCAAAGAAAACTGGCAGACCCTACAACACAAGACCCAACTTGGTTATGAAACTAGTAACAAGGAGAAGAAGCAAAGAGACTTTTGTTTTGTGTTACCTGCAATATAGCAAACTGATAAGTTTCTTCATCAAGTGCACATACTAAGAAATTTGGAACTGCGAGGCGACGTGCCCTGCAGACCCAACTCATCAGCATGTCCTTATAACTAAACCCAGCAACTGAAAGAACAACGGTTCTGTTCTTGTCTGCAACTAAAGGGAGAAGAGAGTCAAGGTCATAAGGAAACTTCAACGGTGGCAGTGTTTCATCTTTCTTCACAGGATCTAACTTCAAGAAGCTTCTTGATTTACTTCTGGTGATACAAGCTCGTGTCCTAAATCCTACGTTTAAGCCAGTCACATCTGAAGCAGTAACGAATATGTAACGCTTGTTACATTTCAAAAGCTTTGGTAAAGTGTAAGACTTGGACAAGGATCCGTAGAGCTTCCCTAGATGAGAGTTTCCTATATATTCCCAGTTTCTTGTTTTGGGCTGTGGGATGTTATCATTGCCTATGAAAAGGCTGGATATGGTGGAAGTGGCATCAAACACAAACCTTCTTTTACATGACAAAGCCTCGTTAATGATCCATTGATTATAGGTTCCTCTTTGATACAGAAAAGGTGGAAGCACTCCACAGTGTAAAGGTGCATCAACGTTGTTCCATGCCATAATCATGTTGCTTCCTTCACTAGAATTCGATTGCCAACTCCGTAGACTAATCATCTTCTGTAACTGTTTAAAGAAACAAAAGAGTTAGACCAATAGGAGGGGATCAGAGAATCATTATTACCAATAAAAAGTTTTGTTTCATTTCATTACCTCACCGAATCTAACTCTTTTACCATTGTCCTGACGCCAAGAACGTCCTGTTTCGTCCCAGTGGAAGGGGAAGTGAGGAATGTTCACTGAGGAAGAAACGAGAAGCCAGTCACGATCAAGCTCGTGAGCGTGGTTTAGAGCTGAGATGAAATCTGGCAGCAGAAGAGTGCGTGGATCTATTAAGACAGCTATGTCGGATACATAAGCTTCAGTTCTCGCCAGCATTGAGTGCAGAAACGGAGTACCAAGAAACCTAACAGTTAAGGAAGAAAAAGAACAGAACTCTATTGAGACAAGAATCAGTTAGAGAACCAATCATTGAAAAGGAAACAGAGGAGCTTACGTGAAATCGAGGGTGGAATCAAGGATAAGACGAGAACCAAAAGTGTCGGTGAAGGAAGAGCTGTTGTGTTGAGTGAAAAGCACAACTGTGGCTTGGGAAGATAAAGAGAGCCATGAGCGAATAGCTTGGCTATCAAATGAGGAGTAGCCATGGAGAGCTGTGAAAATGGTGATCCTGGGAGCAACGGAAGACACTTGGGAGAAGGAAGGGTTATGGAGAGAAGGAGAGAGAAGGAGGGTGCCGTAGAAGGAGAGAGCGATTAGGAGAAAACCAGATAGCCAAACAGATATCAGCCCTGCTCCAAGTCCCTGTAACAAAAAAAGATATTTCAGACCAGATCAGAAAGTGGAAACTTGTCAGAAAAGTGAAGACAAGATCTTGAGAGTAGCAACAAGTGGTAGAGAGAGAGAGAGAAATGAACCTTAAGCTTCATTGAAAATTGGGAGGAAGAGGAGAGAAGGGGTAGTAAGAAGAATAAAAGGGGAAACTATAAGAATGGAACTTTTAACGAGAAAATGGAGAAGTAACAAAACTCCAGCGAAAAGACGGCGAGAGGAATGGGTATGAGAATGGAGGAGGAAGAAGACATGTGAACGCTTTTCGTCATCTTCAAGGAAAACGTTTCTTAATATTTTTATTTGGTCTTCTTCTCGATCATCAGAAAAGTAAACTTTAGGGTTCTAACTTTCTTGTGCAAATTCGCCTAACGACTTCGGACTAAGATGCAGACGCAATGTCACTGTTTTGACTTCAAACACTCTGTCAATAACTTTCTTTTTTTTCTTTTTGTTTGGCACAACTCAATTATAGAGTAGTTTGGTTTTCTTCAAACAAAAATATATATTAATTTTGTTTATTTGATACGATTTTGTAAAAAAATGTGGAACCTGGAAAACATGAGGATCCTATCACACAGATTTGACCATTGAAAGTTCTAGAGCAAACAATCAACATGTTTGCCTGAAAATGTTACACCGGAAAAAGTTCTGGAGGGGTTAAATAGCCTAATCAGTGTTTCCATCAAAACTATCGTTTCCTGGTAAAGAGAGAAAAGCGGTAAGGAGAAGGATAATCCGTAGTGTCTAATCTAAGTGCGGAATATGTTACACCGGAAAAAAGTTCTGGAGGGGTTAAATAGCCTAATCAGTGTTTCCATCAAAACTATCGTTTCCTGGTAAAGAGAGAAAAGCGGTAAGGAGAAGGATAATCCGTAGTGTCTAATCTAAGTGCGGAATATGTGTTGTTCCGACAACTAGCTATCACTAAAACGCTTACACAGCACATCACCTATGCACATGAGGAACCTGTGGAGTTTCAAGTTACAAAGAAACACACAGATTGCTTGACTAGGAGTTCCAAGTACCTGTCTTCGCAAGAATAACTATAAGGTAAGGTACTTCCTCCTGCTGATATTGGTGGCAGCTTTTCTTAATGTGACAATCCAGCTCTAGCTGGATTCTCAGGTCTGACGAGTTTTGTTTGTTAACGTTTATTACGACCGTCTTCTTGCAGGAAAATTAAAAGCCAAAAACCGAAGACAACCCATATTCTATAGACGCAAATTCGATCTCAATAAACGCAAAGAGTTTACAAGACTCTCTAGAGACCTTGCCTATCTGGAAGGAAGGCTAATGGACGCGTACAACCAAGACAGTCTTCAACATGTATCTATATCAATTTTACCTACTACTTATGTCATATAGAGGTTTTTACACAAAAGCAACAATGTCAGGCAAAATATGCCCAAAGCACCTCACACAAAAGTCTCTTCACTTCACATATCCTCTCTTCCCCCCCTTATGAGACCTTCCCTTGTTCTAGTTACGAGTTCCATTTCACTCAGCAGCAGCAGCAGCCTGTTTGTTCAACGCATACATAGTTCAGCTTCCCCCATTGTTTTCAACAATCCCTATTCTACCTTGCTAACTTCTTTGGTATAAATATCAAACTAATATGATACATAATAATAATACTTCTCAAACACTTCAACAAAAGGCCGAGGTGAATGTTATTCAGTTAAACCTGGTTAAGAGGATTATCAGGAGACTTCTTCCACATCTTCCAAATCAAGTCCTTGTACTGAGTATGAGTCAGACCTGGCTTCTCCTCCTTCAGCCTTGGCATCTCAACTTCTTCAAAAGCCTAAACAATACACATCATCAATCAAACAATTCTCATTTTCAACAACACAGACTCTCCTAATCACATCCCTAAGTATAAAGAAGCCATAAATAAACCTTAAAGGAAGCCTTGAGCCTCTTCTCAGGATGCCGATCAACAGGAAGATTATCCCCAACCGTCATCTTCGCCAACGCCTCGTCAACACTACGCGCATCGATAACCGAATCATCCCGATTCGTATTCGACACCAACACCATCTTCTCATACTCCTCCTCCCCCGCCATACGCGTCTGCCTCTTCTTAACCTCCTCCGATTTCTTCGCCAGCGCCGCCTGCTCCTCCTCCCTCCTCTTAATCAGCTCCGCCTCCGTCACCTTCGGGACCGGCGCCGCCACGCGGTTAACCTTCTTGTCCGGCTTCTTCAGAGCCTTCTCGAGCTCCCTCTCCTCCTGCTCCGCCAGACGCTTCGCCTCGGCTTTCTTGGCGGCGGTCTCGGCCTTCTTCTCGGCTTCCTCCTCGCGCTTCTTCGCCGCCTTGGATTTGGGGCCTTCGGCTTCGCGCCAGTATTGTTCCTCCTTCTCGCGTGTCTGGCGATCCTTCTGCTCCGCCTCGGCGGCGTTTTTGCGGGATCTGGCGACCTCCGCCTTGCTGTTTACTCCCATCTTCTTCGGCATCTTCGTCCGCTTTAGGGTTTGATTTTGATTAGATTGGTTTCTCGATTTCACTCCTCCACCGTAGAGAATTTGTTATGGAAATGAATAGCGTGCACGCGAGATTGAATATATCATTCGGTTTTCTTTTCTAGTTTAAAGCCCATTATAATCAAAATGCTTAAAGCCTTAGTCCGGCCCATTAACTGTTTTGCATTTGACTTAGATTCTGTCATTGTTTTATAACGCTAGCAAACTTGTCATCTTCATTGTTTGCTTATATTTTTTTTCTGCTAAAATGGCAGGTAGTTTACACTAGTCACTATCTAATGTATAAAGAAGCGTCATGTCGTCTGTACTATGTATGAAGTGAAGAATCTACAAAAATGAGGTAAATGACATATTTCCACATCAGAAATATCATATACTAACAATTCCACACAAACTTTTATATTCCTTTTAATTGCACATATTTTAAGTATATGAACCTATTTATTCATATTCTGAAAGATCAAAATCCGAAACCACATAGATGAAGGTTTATCTTGATTTTATTGGTTTAGAATCTAAATTGATTTCAAACCAGTTAAACCGATCAAATCTGTGATATCGAACTAAAATTAAAATCCAACCGAACATGATATTGAAATTGTACTCGACCCAGCTCTTTAATAGGATATTGGGTCCGGTTCGCTTTTGGAAATCATGTCGGTTCGGATTTTAATTTAATTTCAATACCAATTGGTTTAATACCTATTTAGACTCTAAATCAATAAAACTAAACTAAATTTTCGTCTATGTGGTTTCGTGTTTCGAGTTTTGAAAATGAAGGTAAATAAATTTATATATTTTAAATGTGTGTAATTAGGACGAGCATGAAAAAATTGTGTGAAACTGTTGAAATTTTACGTGTGGAAATATGTCGTTTGCCACAAAAATGTAAACGATCTTCGAAACTTAGGATCATGTGGCGGTGAATTATCCTCATCTTTCCCCGCGCAACAACGTCGTTGCAATAAACCAAGGCTGAAAATGAAAGGAGATGTGTAATTGGGCTTATACCGAACTAGGCCCAACTAAAAATGAAAACCCTAGGAAAACTGAAGAGAGAGTGAGTGAAATATCCTCTAGCCTTTATAAACCTCTGCTTCTTCTTCCCACAGAAGCCCTAGCCGCAGGAGGAAAGAGGTTTGATCGATCGGCGAAAATGGCGACGGGGCAGAAGAAGAACAGGAAGAAGAGAGGACACGTCAGCGCCGGACACGGACGTATCGGGAAGCACCGAAAGCATCCGGGAGGTCGAGGTAACGCGGGAGGTATGCACCACCACAGGATCCTCTTCGACAAGTACCATCCCGGTTACTTCGGTAAAGTCGGTATGCGATACTTCCACAAGCTTCGCAACAAGTTCCATTGCCCGATCGTCAACCTCGACAGGCTGTGGTCGTTGGTCCCTGAGGAGTTGAAGGCGAAGGCGGGGAAGGATAAGGTGCCGATGATCGATGTGACGCAGCATGGGTTCTTTAAGGTGTTGGGGAAAGGTCATTTGCCTGAGGGGAAGCCTTTTGTTGTGAAGGCGAAGTTGATCTCGAAGACTGCTGAGAAGAAGATCAAGGAAGCTGGTGGTGCCGTTGTGCTTACCGCTTAGGTTTTGTCGCAAATTTTATCTTGCTTTATGTTTTTGAGTCTTTGCTTAAACTTGTTATGTTTTGGATCTTGGAACATGGTTGTTATGACAATTGAGTTTCTGGAATTTTTGCCTTACCATTTTCGCTTGTTTTATTTTGCTGTCATGATTGATTTGAATTTCTTCATCGTCATGAAATTATTAAGTGGTGTGATCATGTGCATGTTTAGAACATGTTGGGATTGATATTTGCATTCATAGTGCAATTATCTTGTCGATGGTTATTTAATCGCTTCGAGAAATGTTGATTTGTCGTTATAATAGTTGTGTAGATTTGGATTTGATCACTTATTAGGCGCATCAGTCACGCAAAATTTTGGAAACTCTCAACATTTATAGTTTCGAGCTTGAGCAGGAATGATCAGTTTATGCTTGCTTGTCTTGATGTTCCACCATCGTACAGTAAAGCTTTTGGAACAGGACTTACCATTTTAACGTCTCGGTCCAAACTAAGAGATATATACACACTAAAGCTTGTGAATTGAAACAGTAATCACCATTTTAATGTCTCAGTTCAAACTATGGGATCCACACAGTAAAGCTTGTGAAGTAAAACAGTGCTCACCATTTTAACGTCTTCCTTTCAAACAAAGGGATCCTTAAATGTGGCTAAATAAAGAGATTAACGACAGTGTATAAATATAACCCAAAGGTATTCTAAACAACCCGTGTTACTTGAAAAACTTCTTTCCTTTTACATTAACCATTTCACATAAAGAGTTACTCTTAGAAGTTTGTTTTTCATATGTACCGTTACTACGAGTTCCTTAATTGTTCATTAGCTTCGTCGTTGATGTTGTTGGATTTACGAAAGGCTGAATCATATTAGCTGCTGAAGTATTGGACTGTGTTAAGTGAGGGGACAAAAGAGGCGCAAATTTCAAATATGTTATTTTGTATCACCATACTGTTATTACAAAGAAAAAATCACAATGACGACTCGCTGTATCTGTACTCAAAAGACGGAGACTCAGCGAGTAGCTGGCAACGCACGCCAGTTATTGGCATGATCACGAGAAGTTGCAGAAAGCTGTTGGTGTATAACTTCCTTGACATGACCCGCACCTGTTTCGCCACCACGCTCAGCGAGTTCTAAGTACATTACAGCTTTCAACAATGCTCCTTCCTGCTCATCAAAATCATATATTTTTCAGTTCAATTTCCAACTTCTTACATAAATCATATATACATCTGGTCGCCTAATACTACAACATGGTCTAAATATATCAAGAAAAGTAGAAACTAACAAGCTTTTGTTGACTTGAAGTGAGATCAGAGAGATACTTACAGAAAATAAAGCAAGGCCATGCTCAAACTGAGCTTTACTGTGGCCGTGATCAGCCGCGCGTTTCATCCACCTTCTTGCTAGCTTACGGTTTTGAGGCAACCCTTCTCCAACCGAGTAACAAAGCGAAACGTTATACATGGCTCTTACATACCCACCTTCCGCTGCCCTGATGTACCACTTCGTCTATCAAAAGGGAGAAAGATCCAATCACATGAAGGATACTAAAGCTTTGTGAAGTCAAAACATTTCCACAAATGAAGTAACGCACATGTACACAGCATTATCAGACCATACAGAGTACGTGCAGCAATAAATACACAAGAAAGATGCTATTTTTAATAGAGATTGCGGCACCACACCACATGAAGACACATATAGAAACTCAACTAACAAAGAAGGAAAGTATTAGACAAAGAAGAAATCACATACAATACAGCCTCAATTTTGTGAGAAAAAAAGAAGACAAAGAAGTCAAAAGTCAAAACCTTTCCACATATAAACTACCAAACATAGCATTATCAGACTCCACAGAGTATGTGCAGCTATCAATACACATAGAAACACAACTTCCAATCCATATAGCGGCATCCCCACATGGAAAACAAATATATAAATAATCTCAACTACACAAGAGAGAAGGAAAACACATACAGCTTCTAGCAGATTGCTCTGCACAACACGTCCCTGATGTAAACAAAGAGCTATCTGATACTGTGCTCTTACATAACCATTCTCCGCAGATTGTTTCAACCACCTCATCGCTTCCTTAGGATTCGATGGTTTCGCTACAAATAGAAGCCAACAATTTCTCAAAAAACCTCAACAACTCTAAGTTCCAATATCCTAAATAAAAATCTAATCCGCCCTAATTGCAATTTAACTATCTCTTGAAACTGCAACACTTAAAAGAATCCATTTAAATAAATATTCTAAATAAATATCTAATCCGCCCTAATTGCAATCTAACTATCTCTTGAAACTGCAACGCTTAAAAGAATCCATTTAAATAAATATCCTAAATAAATATCTAATCCGCCCTAATTGCGATTTAGCTAATCCCATTACCTTGAAGATAAGAGATCCCCAAATTGCATTGACCAACAGCATCACCAAGCTCCGCCGCTCTTTTATACAACCCCACAGCTTTCTCCTTCTCCCCCTTCTCCCAATAACAAAGCCCCGCATCAACCATCGCAAGCGTCGAGCCACGCGCCGCTCCTTTCAGAAACGAATCAAGCGCCTTCTCCAAATTCGCCTTAACGCCTCCCTTCCCGTGCTTGAACCGTTTCCCCCACCGGAGAAACAGCATCGCCTCCCTCAGAGGCTGCAGCGCGTCTCTCCACGATCTGCACACCGACGACGCCGCCTGGAGGTTCGGGAGGCTCAACGGAGCAGCGATTTTGGTCAGGATGTCGTAGGGCAGCGTCGAGAAGTCTCCGGCGGCGGCGTGAGGAGGTGAGGAGGAGGAGGGAGGCTTGGTCGTTGGTTTGATTGAGAATCTGCTTCGTTTCTCCTTGTTGTTGTTTTGGAGTTTTGAGAAGGATAGGGAGGTGAATCGAGAGGATTCGGATTGGCCTGGCCATGTTCGTTGCTTCATCTTCTCCGGCGAAGGGACTACCGTTGATTTTTTGGCGTTGAGTTAAGAGAGGTAAGTAAACGGATTCGTTTTTTTTTTCTTTTTTTTTCCTTTTTGGTTACGCGGTGGGAAAATCGAACGGCTGTGTGATGAGTAACAGTTAATCCTATGAGATTGTAATTTGACACGTGTAAGTCTCCAACCGCCAAGAATATTCAATCGGAGTGGACCAATCAAACAACACACGAGCTATTGATATTTTGTTTTTGGGTTGGGCCTGAAATTTTATTGTTGTGAATTTATGTATGCCCTGTTTAAAATTTAAAAGTTGATATATCATTGCTAAAAATTTGGTTTATTGTGATCATTTTTTTTTTCTTTTTATTTAGTTTGTTATGTAAATCTATCATCATTAAATATGAGGAAATTAACGTGTAATCGTGTATAAATCTGGGTCCAGCATAGGCTGATTTATTGTCAGTGCTGATATGGCGGTGACGGAGATCCTATGGCGTTTTTAATGGTTGATGGACTGATGATAGTGATGTTTTCTCACTATTGTTTTGTTTGCATCATGATGGATTTGTGCAGTGTGTACGTTTTTAAAATAAATGTTATTTTCTTGTTGTGTGATAAAAACTTTTTGAATAAATTTAACATTTTAACCATTCACACTCTTTTGTTACACATGAAAAATGCTGGTTTCTTGGAGGTGTCTTTGATTACACACGTAAAGTTGTAAACTCGTTTTGCCAAACAAAAAATATAAACCGAATTGTGGAATTTTTACGCATTCAAATTTCAATTCTGAAGCAATCCACAGTTTGAGCAGAAAATAATGATATTTTTATAAAACCTATTTAAATACTTTGGTTACCACGTTGAATATTTAAATCATATATTGCTGAATAAAAATCATACAACAGGTATAAAGACACTTTGCTGGAGATTGTTGTCACCTTTGGTATGAATATTATTAGCTCAGCTAGTAACAAATTGGTTTTGCTCAAAAAAATAATATTATTAGCTCAGCTAGTGACAAACTGGTTTGATTAATCAATGTGGATTGAAAAGTTTGGCCACTAGAAAAAACTACAAAATATAATTGTCTATTAGTTTCCTATCACCTAATAATGAATCTGACTATACTATTACTTGCATGATACTACGATTTCTCATGGAAAGAACTATGATATGAAATCTCTGAAAGGAAAAGAAACTCAAATACAAAAATCTCCATTAAAATAAATAACATTGTATATGATGAAATTATTGACGTAATAATGCATAGGATTCTATTCAGCATCGAAGCTCTGACTATTCCATTTACTCACCATTACCAAACATGATATAGACCTCTATGTAGACTTCAAGTTGTTGTTGTGTGGCCGTGTGGGTCAACTTTCCCTAGTTTTGAATATTTCCCTCAAACATTAAAGCTATTTTTATTAATTTGTTTAAGAAAACTTAATTGGATTGGAACGTTTTTTTTATCTAGTTGACGAAATAATTATTGATTTTTGTAATGTAAAAGACAAAACTGAAGCATGTGGGCAGATTAAACAGCCTTAAGTTGAATCTGTTCACTGTAAGCAATCAATTTTTCTGATAAATAGTTATGCAACATACATAGGAATAAGAAAGAATGATTCAAACTATGAATTCAAGTTAATCTCTCTAAATAAAACTAAATTAACATGTTATGGTCAGAAGATTGTAGATCAAAAGACTCATACTTTTTCTTCAACCTTAATTATTGTTTGCAGGATGAAAATTAAGCATAGGAAGTTTACAAACAGAAAATTAATCATCAATTATGATTCGATGGTAGACTAGATATCTTATATCAGAAATATACAATATAAAATTGTTACTAAAAAGCAAATAATCAGAATAAAATTAAAACTCCTCAGTTAACAAGTCATTAACGTACGCACTAATGAAAGCTAAAAATGTAACTCTATGAGTTCTTTCTGCAACTATGTCTGTGTTCTTGTGAAGACAGTGTTCAAGTCTTGAGCATTGACAGAAGTAAGCCTCCGTCCGGTAGATTTTCTCCGGCGTTTGTCGATCGATTTCCGGTTGATGCTGTCGCGCCTCGGAGCCGGAGGACATTTAACCGGCGGCGGAATCTTAAATTGCAGGCCTGTTGGAGTTGTGAATCCATCTTCTTCTTCTTCTTTCTCCGGTTTTGGATCAACCGGAGCTTTCACCGATATCGCCACTGCAATAGAATTTTCCATGGCCTGATCCAAGAAAACTTTTGACCTAAACAAAGAAAAATTTAAGGGGTTTATTAAATACTGCTATTTAACTGGTAAAACTTTTGAGCGGGAAAGTTTTTTTTCTCTGGGAAAAGGAACAAGAAGAAGAGAAGGTTTGAGTTTAGAGTTTATTTAATTGTATAATGTATTTAACTGGAGCTTGAGAGGAGAACGTACCTAAAAGAAAGAGGCAAAGAAGAAGAAAGACGTGTGGAATATTTTGATCTGGTGGGGACTCTGTTTTTCAATTATTAGTTTAATATATATAACGGTGATTACTTGTCTTCTCCCGTGTGTAAAGCTTTATATAATCAAAGATTCGATAGTGATTTTACTTTATTTAATTATAATTGTTATCTACTTCGTTTTCATAATGTTATCTCTTCGTTTTCATAATGTTTTTTTTCATAAAGTTAATTAACTAAAATAAACGCATTATCATTCTCTACCTAATAATTGGACAGTTATTCCTTTTTACAAAAATAAAATTGGATAGTTATTCAAATTACTAATTACTAACTTCACCAAGTGGGAATGATCAAGCTTGATGCTTCTTGTATTCTGTATTTTGTATTCTGCATTAAATATACTTACATAAGCTTTCTAATTCAGGGTAATTATGATAGACGTTTTAGGATTTTTACATGGATTTGTTTACATTTTATAAATAAAAATTTATTAATTATTTATCTAACTACACTTTGACCAATATTAAAATAGACTTGTCAAATATTAATGATCATATCAATTAATAAATTTGACTTTAAAATTAAAATTGTCTTCTAATTTAGAATAAATAAGTAATTCTATTTTAGTAAAAAAAAATCATAAGAACTCTTTTTTTTTTTCTTAAAGATGTCTAATAGAACATGTTAATACATCGCTCAGACATGAAACTGATGAGATGGTTTATGTTTATTTGTTTCAGTAGATACAAAGGATTTTCAAGACCATAAAAAAAGTTGTACAAAGTAGGACCAATGGCTATAACTTTTCAAGAGTGTGCATTGATAATAATAATGTCGGTAAGAAGAAGAAGAAGAAGAAGTGATCTCAAATTCCTTTCTTTCACATCCTCGAGTAACCAAAGTTATCACCGTACTGAGACATTAACTCATCATTGAACTTTTTGAAACTTCCATAATCTCTGGCATCTCTTCTTCTGCAGGCAGAAACGTTGTCCTCATATGAAACACCCTGAAAGCAAACAAGAATTCAAGTGAGAGCTCAAAAGAAGACTGCGAGAGTCTTGATCCTTCTTCAATGCATTGTTTATTTTAGAGTATTAACATACCTTTCACGAATGAATTGGTCAAAAAAAAAAATGTCTCCAGACTTTGGTGGACTAACCATTGAACAAACCCATCTGCATAAAGACAAACCATAGGTTTCATCCAAGGAGCCGTTTTGTTACTAAGAAACAAACAAATAGCTTACGAATATATGCGCAGAGACGTTGGGACTGAGAGTTATAGATGCAACCTTATACACATCCTCAACGGTCTGCATTACCAAAAGCTATTGCAGTCACTTGTTTCAACTAATAAACAAACAAGTCCATAACCAAGACGACCAGACACAAACCCTTGGAGGGATATTTGTCATCTCGAAGTAAAACGGTGTGGAAAGATATGAGCTGAACTTCCTTGCTGAACGGTGCTCCTATATCCATCAAGACCTTTTTAAGACAGGACCAATCTGCCATATGTTCCATAGAGTATTGACCACTTAGATGAACTGTAATTACTCAAAGAAAACACATCAGAAATAACACTTTCATCACTGTACATCACGCATTCACCACAAACATTTATGTTGTGTTGTCCACTCTGTTAAAACACTTTACTTTTCAACAACAACATCAAACAGTTTCTCCATATATCCAAAAACCGGAAAAAAATCGGAAGGGTGTATGGTCTCTGCCTATTGAGATCGGGTCACATTTTGTTAAGCCAGACCTGTTTAATCATGGACAGATTTTGATGGGCCAAATTTAAATGGTTTTGGAGACTATTACAAGATGGGCTTATTGAACAACCCGAATAGATCATCTTTTGTTACAGAACTAATATATAACCTTTTAACGAAATGAGTGCCTGATCGTGTAGCTCATTTGGTTTGGGGCTTTGCTCCACTTCATGGGTTCGATCAAGGCAAAGAGAGAGAGAGATGAGATAAAGAAAGCGAATATGATTGACTTATCAATGAGGTATTCCAAAATACCTCTCTTTTGTGTGTTTACTCTTTTTATTTCTAGTAGTTTCTTAACAAATTATCTTCTTTTTATCATTCAGCAGATTTTAGTGGGGTTTATAGATATCAAATTAAAATTTTTGCCATCATATATTTCACATAGAGAAAAGTATATAGATTGTTTCTGCATATTATAAATAAGCTAAAAACTACTAGTTAAAAACCATAGTTATATGGCTTTTTCATAACCAATAACTATATATTAAGGCTCTTTATATTCAGGGTACTTAATCTAAAGGTCAATGTTTTTAATGAGCTTCATGTTGCCGAGTCTCTCGAGAAACACATTGAAAACATCTTCACGGCTGAGCATACTGACTCTGACATGCTTCTTGTCCGAACCACAACGTTCTCCTGATCTGGTCATAACCCTATGTCTCCTCAAATCGTTAACCAGATCAGTCTCTTCTTTCGTCCCCAACCACGCAAACGCTGCAACCAAAATTAATAACACCAAACCGTTACAACGAAATAAAAGAATTGTTAGTCTAAAGAACAATTTGTTTTTAATTTACCTGGATAAGATCCTAGAGTTTTGCCAAAAAAGTTGCAATAGGCTTCAGGGTATTTTGGAAGCGTGAAGACATTGCTTTCCTTCACCACTCCACGAAGCTTCTCCCAACGATTCTTCATCATCTCATGGCCATACTCGAAAAAATTATCGGTTTCGCTCTTACATGTCTCTTCAAGAACTTTGAGAATCTTAGCGGTTCGAACTTGTGACTCCTTGGACACACCAATGGAATTCACTATTATGTACTCAACCATCTTCTTTGCCACATCCTTGTCCTTCACCAATGCCCACCTTCACCAGCCAAACACAAATTAAAGAAGCCCATTAATTAGGTTTATGATATTTTGTTCTAATTAAGATTAAAGAAGTTTAATGATCAGGATCATTAAATCTAATGTTCATTACTCAGGTTCAGTAAACATGCATGTTATTACCGTCATTGTATCATCCAGATCTAGCTCAATGCATAAAAATAAAGAAACGAATGCATAACCCAATATCTTACCCGATGCGGGACCCAGCGTGGCCTGTGATCTTGGAGAAAGTGAATAGCATGATGTCATGGTCTTGACAGCGAGTGATGGGAGTGTAGTGGGGCCAGTAATAGGCAAAGTCATGGATCACTTTGCCTTCGTCGCCGTCTGGACGGTTCACCACCGTCTCTCTGATGGTGCCGTCTGGGTTATTGGGTGACGTCACCAGCTCGATGTAAGGACCTTTCTTGTCGAAACTCCATGCGTCTCCTTCCCACTTGTACATACCTGACCGAACATACGTTGTCTCCTCCACATACGTCTGTTCAGTGTTAAATTATATATACTATTATGTTCTCAAAAATTAAATTATTTAGTAGAGAAGAATGGTGATAAAAGCGACATAAAAAGTGGAGACATGAGCATGTTACTGATGTATTTGCACATGAATCCACAACACATATGGAATGTAAGAAGGAAAAGTGTTTTGTAAGTTAAATGAATAGGAATGAAAAAGATGGGTGAATGTGTTGTGTTCGAGAAACATGTCTGTCACTGTGTCTTTTAGATCTCCAATCTTCGCTTTTATAAACAAGACACACCCTCAAAATCTTCACATCAAACAAACTCTTTAAAATAATACATGTGCGGGATAATTTCGATTATGAAAATCTAATTATAACACATTAAACGTATTATTATAGATGTTAAAATAAACATTTTGTTCTATTTAAATTCGTGTTATTTAGAAGTCATACAGTTAGTTATAACTCATTTAAATTGAAGCATTTAGTTTAATTCAATTAGGTCAAATTAGTTATAAGATCTTCATTATTTTCTCATCTAGATTTATGAATCATTGAATATGTGTTATTTTCTATTTTATGTAGATGATTATTTATATCAATTTATAATTTATAAAATAATTTATATATTGGTTATCTATCTATATTTATTGATTGATGTAATTATGAGTCATTTTGAAGAAAATGTGAATATTAGAAGTAAATGCAAAATGTTGAATATAATTAAATATTTAAAATTTTAAAACATCTTAGTCAATATAAATCTAGATGATTGTAGGAAACTGCCATCTAATGGCGAGACACGTTCAAAATTTCTACAATTATTTTCTCACTTATTAAGTTTAATTTTATAAAAACAAAGCACTCAAGATAGATCTTGACTTGATCCAGAATCCCACCTCTATAACAGATTTCAGAGTTGTGATTTGACGAGCTAAAATATCGGTTTAGTAGTCTAATAATATATTTAATAGTCTAATATATTTTTGTTTGTTGCTTAAACAACTAAGAAAAAATTATGTCAACGGAAAAAGGAAGATTTAAAATAATTAAAAACGGAAAAAGATACGAGGAGGAAGAGGAGAGTTTAGTTTAGTGGTGGGGACTTACTGAGTAATATGGTGCGGCGGCAACGACACTGACAGGTTGGGTCCCAGCGAGTGAAGATAGTGCATGGACGGCCGCTTGACAAAGCTGCGTCGAACCGGTCCCAACCACGATGTATCTATCCTCCGTCGCTGCGTTACCAACCGCAGCATGCAACTCCTTGATGGCTTCAGCAAGCTCTGGCTCAAGGAACCAACACATGTTGTTCACGTCGCTGAAGTAACTCATCAGATCACAACCACGTATCGTCACCGTACATCTGTCACCTATCTTGCGCCAGTATTCTTCATACGCCGTTGGATCTCCACTGCAATATGTTTTGTTGTAAGATTTATTTATCACGAATTTTTAGCCGATGATTTTGCAATGCAGTTAAGGGAATTTGTGAGATTAAGATAAAACGTACTGATCCAAATTAATGACTGAGTCGGACAAGGAGAGGTTCTTCATGTTCTCCAATTTCACCATTTTCTTGTTCTTCTCGGGTTTGCTTCTTTTTTTCTTTGCTTCTTTGTAACAGTGTTTAATGATTAGAGAATAGTGTATATGTGAGTGTATTTATAGAAGGAATGCGATTTATTATTTCATCATTAGCTTTTCTTTTCTTACATAAAAAAAAAAAAGTAAGGCTGGTGTGATTGCTTTTTAAATGGGAAAATATCTTAAGTAAATATATTTACTTTTCTTAGAGCTAATAATGTCATTTCATGGAAAAACAATGTAAGTAATTAATCAGATATCTGAATGATGAATAGTAATTTAAATTTTTAACTTGAAAAATTATTTTCTTAAGAAATTTTCAATAAAAATTGATACATAATTAAGTAAAATCTGGAAGCTATATTAAAAAGGAGCTGCTGATAGCCCTAGAAATACCAAACAAATCAAAAAGAGGCCAAACCAGAGGAACAATTGGATTTTCTCTTGAGAAAATCGCCTTATGGCTGAAAGAAACTGATACCTAGTGTATTTACATATGATTTAATAAGACAACTACACATATGCAATTGATTTTATTAGCAACATGATGGAATCACTTACAAAAAAAAATTGAATTCTTCGAAGATTCAGTTTGGAATACTAAAACTTTAAATAACAAAAAGATCGAGAAATTCATTTTCTATTTAGTAAACAAGCATTTTTTTTACTTTTGCTAACAAACTATAAGCTCATATCAGGCTCCATGGATAATCAACTTTGATCAACAAAAATATCATTCACCGGAGATGGACTGGCAAAATCGTCCAGACGAACTATATATCTAGATTTGCTACGTTTATATAAACGACCTCTAGATAAATTCAAGCATTATACACAAATAGAAATATAATATTGTTTACCGCATTCATAAGAACTATCTAAAGGCTTTGTCAATGCTATTTATCGACGAGATTCATATCTTCATGATAAACCTATCGTTTACATGTCGTGGATAAAATAATTCAAAAAAATAGGTATTACAAAAAGTTGACCAAGTTAATGTTAATCGTGAGATTAAGGTATATATTTTTGAAGGATCGTATGTTATCACGTGGAAAGGTTCGATGTGATTATATATGTAGCCTAAATAATTTATCGAAGGCAAATTCCGAAAGGTGAAAGCTACTACTATTTTATTAGCGTCGACTTTAAATTTTCTCTCTGATAATTGCAATGTCACCTTCCGGTAAGCAATGTCGGTTTGCATGCTTCGTGCTTCCACTTCACTCGCCGTTATTCTTGCTACTTGTCGTCGTTTTATCCTAATAACAAGTGAACACAAGCAGAAATCCAAATCAGATTCCCACTATATATTTCACGTGGATTAGTTCCAAGTTCCGACCATCGCTTAAGTTTTTCAAAATCTATCGGGTTGAGTACTTGAATGTTATTGTGTTAACTTCAAGATGTTGAAGGGTGTCCGGTTCGTGGGCATAAATCATCTACACCATTTAAATTAATACAATAAAATTGACCAAAAGATAAAATAAAAATCAGAATATATGTTTTAATATTTCTTATGTTGTTATTTGAAAAAAAAAATTAGGGAAAATTCAAAATTAAGAAATAAAAATGTATAAATACTAATCAAGTAAATAAAAAATATTTGTATAATGATTTTGACAATTTCGATAAAGCTTTTATGAGCGAGTAGAAAACATCTCCACCCAAGAGCAGATCTATATTGTATATATAGGGATGGGTATCCTTTCTCCCCGGAAAAAAACACAGATTAATTTATGTGCATAGTCGATGATTTTCCAGCTATGGTTAGAACTTAAAACCTTCGTATTGTTCTCACTGGTGTACGGTTTGAACCTTATTCTACCCTAATTATTTTTTTCAGAGGGTTTCAAACTGAGTGAAGCTTATTTTTACTATATTTCGAATTGATTTAAATGAGCATAGAGATATGATTATGAGCCCAAGCCCAATCATTATTAAGTTTACATCTCTACCTCTTTTTTCTTTTTTTTCCCCTCAAGTTTTTGTTATAGAAACACGGACCTAGTCCAAAGGCCGAAGCCCAACTACAGCACAGCGCTACAAAAAGCCCAACAATATCCAGGCTAAAACATAAATGGCCTAAGCCCAAATAAATTACTATAGCAGTCTAACTTCCCATACAAACCCACAAGACTACGGGCTAACAACAAAAGCTAAACGGGCCCTCGGCCCAGACTCAGAAACCGCACGACCGCGCAGCGTGTCGAGGAGGCTGGTTCGACACATGGAGAGATCTGCTCCATTAACGCGTCACGCGTCAAAACCGCCTCAACTTAACCGCCTCCGCCTCTACGTCGCCGGAGCACCACCATCGAAAACCACGTTCGTCGGAGCTCAGAAACCTACAAGCCTCCAACGAACCCAAAGACGTTCTTCATCGCATTGTCATCACATCGGAGAGTTCCATCGAGCTTCGAGATCTTCTCCGACTATGAACCACTTGAAACCCTAGACACGCGAACCACGAACCATCACTTTCTATCCTAAATAGTCGTCACCTCGCCGGAGAGCCTCATCGGTAACCGAGATCTCATCCGCAGTGACCAAACCCAACCTTGACGACAACCACACCAAACTTGAGACAAATCAAAAAGTAGTAGCCTTTACCCAACGGAATCTGGGTCCCTAAGCGGCAGCGCGGAGCTTTGCTAGCCTCCGCTCTCCGTAACCAAAAGCCGGCGACGGCAAGTCTGAAGGAGACTCCCTTCCCGGAAACTAGATCCGACTACGGCAAAACTGAAAGAGCTTCCACCTCGCGGAGACAAGAACCGTCGTTGGCGAAGCTGACGGAGCCTCCACCTCCCAAAAAAACACTTTAACAAGGCGATCTACTTCACCGCACCATAACCGCCGCACGACTGCGTCTTCCCTCCAAAACAAAGCCCCCACGGATGGAGACTAGCCAGAGCTCGTACAAGGCGGAGGAGACGACAAAGAGATCAAAGTTGGACAGCTTTAATGAAGAAACGACGGGCTCCGGCGACGGCACGCACGCTCACGCGCCGACCGTCACTGGACCCAAAATGAGATCTACTTTCTCTCTCTAGTATCTCTACCTCTTATTTTTATCTCGGTTAAATCTGATCATTATATTTTGTATTTAATAAAAATAGACAGTTCACAGTTGTGACATGAATGTTGAAGCTAATCCTCAGAATCAAAATATTTATAACCATCCTCAGTTAATGATCCGGTCTCTGCTCCAACCAATTCATGCTGTTCCACAGAACTACCTTTTGGTCCACCAATGACAAATCTGATTTTTGTTTTGTTTTTAGAAGTTGAGAAGATACTTAATTTGATACGAGTATACGTCATAACAAAGCAAATCTTTTAAGACATTTACACATTGGTGACAATAACAAACATAAACATAAAAAATCCATAATGTGATATACTACAAATACCTACAAATAAAACGAACAAAAAAAAGTATAACACTATTAATCTGTAATCCAAAAGAAGAAACAAAAGACAAAGTTCCCTCGTGGTGGTAAACTCATCCACATGATATTTGCAAAACACCTACCCCCAAAGATACTTGTAATTCCTTATCTTTCTAATCTCAAAATTCATTAAAACACTACATGTAAAGAATGATAATAACGTACGTTCCTTGATTCTTTTATGGACATCTAGGATTTTTTCCAGGACCTCCATAATAAAAATAGTTACCCCACACACGATTCGTCCCACCTCTTATATCATAACAATTGGGATGATCAGCCAGAGTCTTTAGATTCGAAACGGGAAGAAGAGTATTGTCCCAATCAACCACTTGGAGATTCCGGAAATAAGATGCTTTACCAAATCCTTCCCCGGCGAAATGGCCACTGCCCATTTGAGTCGAAGTGTGTGAACCACCAGGCCGAGTGTTCACAATCTCACCTCCGAACTGGACCATGCTCCCATGTTGCTTTAGATGCGTGAATAGAAACGCTGGCCAGTAACCGACTAATGTACCCGACCCGAATTGTAACCACCAGTGACCGTGCTTCGGATCCTATAAGTAACACCATTGTTGTTATTATGACTAAAATACATATTTAAAGTACTTTAAAATTTTGTGGAGACACGTCTTATAAAAAGTACAAATTGAATGAGCTGGGTTGACGCAGAAAACATTGATGTGAACCATGCGCTTTAAATTCTTTCTCAACTGTTAGATTTGATTGTTAATGTTATTTGAATTACATAATACTGAAAAACATAGCCCAGCATGAGATAAACAAGAAATGACTGATAAATCACATAAAATGTATATTAAATCTGTAATTAGCAAAAAGTTATTTAAATCATGATCATTATGTCAATACCTCAACTTACAAACTAAAAGTTAAAACTTTTAATTCAAAATTCAAACTGTTTTTACTTATACGTAAGTTATCAATTATGCGTTATACAATGTCTCAAAATATTTTTTAATCGAAATGAGTCTAATGGATATGGAGGAATGTTGAGTTACCTTCCAGATCAATAAGCTTATATCGAATTGTCCACCTCTATAGGAAGATCTAGGAGAAATGGCAGCTCCTATCGCAATTCGACGATTGGTTTGAACGAAACCGGAACACAACAAATTGTAGCAACCCGTTGATCGGTATGCATCAGACTGAAAATCGTCACCACCATTGTTAGCAAAATGTTAATTCAATTTTACTTTAGCATAAACTTAGTAACACAAAGTAATAAAGCATTTACCGTCCAATAGGTAAAGAATCTTGGGTAAGTATCTCCGTATAACTCTGGACTAATCTGTAATCAAATAGCTACATTAGTCCATAAGAAACTACATACGGATTGCATTATTATCATTGATTAGAATATATTAATGACGTACTTGCCAACCGGCTTCGATAGTATTAAGATCGTGTGTGAACGAACCAGCGAGAACCCACATCTGTGAAAGACTGAACTCGTGTTGGCTACTGACACGTGGCGACCACACGTTTATACTTGCTTTGGCTCCGTAGTATTGTCTCCCCGATACGTATCCCACCGCATGCTACAAAAAATATATACATTCATTTTTATTTTCTTGAAATTTATATTTTGTTTTTGGAGTTTGGATACAAGTGCGTGCAAAGAATTACGATAAAGCTGAGTTTTGGTATCATTCCTAAATCTTTTTCTTTATCTGAAAAAGTTAAGAAAGCTCTGACTTTTTGGTTGATTGTTATTATTATAGTATTAAAGAATTGTACTTACTTCGTGTCCGTTACTTGTGGAATCTCTCCTCACGCGCCTGATTTTCCGACCGAATCTCCGAACTGAACTTGCTCTTAACATGTCTTGTTCCGTTGTTCTTCTAATTGGGACCGTACCTTCCGGGCAAAACTCGCCTGATAAACTCCACAGCTGAGTATCTTCGTACGGTTCATCGTCTTTGATATATCCCTTGGGGAGCTCAGGCGGATCCTAAAGTAAAGAGAAATTTAACTCTTTGATTTGATGTTTATGGTTTTAACTTGTACAATGAACAAGAAGAGGACAAGTAGTCTACCATTGGTTTCTGTCCTTGTAATAGAGGATGATCGAAAGCAGGTTGTTGATGAGATAAAACACAATCTATTGTATCTCCATCTGAACTCTGCATAAACATAACACATAGAGAAGAAACAGAGCAGAAACAGAGTAAGAACAGAGTAAATAACGTTAACAAAGAGTATTTTAAAAAATACATTGATCATATTGACAACTTGGGGATAGAGAAATTACCTGAATGGTTTTAACTGCGGGCTTGTTGATCTTGAGGAGCTCTTTTCTAATCAGTTTTAGTTTCTGGAGCTCTTCTTGAGGCCGGAGAGTTTGATCGGTGCCAGTAGAATTTGAGGGAGAAGCGGTGGAGAATGAAGAAGAGACAAGACAGAGTAATAGAGCCAATCTGAGGAAGGTAGAAGAAAACATGGTTACGGACTTGAATGAAACTTGGTGCGGACTATGATGATGAAAACATCTGATGAGCTGTTGTTTTCGTCTTCTTGAGTGATTCAAAAGACAACATTTAATACGGTTTCTTGTTGTTGTTGTTCGTCTTCTTGATGTTTCTGACACATCTCTCAACAAACATATTAAACACATAATGACTTTCTCTAAGAAAACCCAGAAGAACAGAAAACAATAAAAGAATGATTCAACAAAAATTTATTAGGGTTGAGTGTTGCGAAAGTTTTGGGCATGTGTGTTAGTGCTATTAATACATGGTTTGTAATGAAATCAGAAGTTTATTTATTTCAAAGGGTTTTGCAGATTTCTAGAAAGATTAACAAGTAGATAGAGAGGAAGAGAAGTAAACTTTATATTATATGAGAATAGTAATTTATAGAGGAAACTTGGATATGGTGTAATCATTCTTTGGTTTGAAGAAAGGGACCAGGGTTCAGATGAAATTGAGTACCTTTGAATTTGGGTTTCTTCAAACTTTTTTGCTTTCTGGTGTTTACCCTCTCTTCCCACATCTTTTATGTTTCTTAAACAGTTTATGTAGATTTACATTTATGTTCCATGTTGCAATTAATAAAATATCACAAATCTAACATTTTCTTATCCCACGATGTAGTTACTTCTGGAATATTGAATTTTTTTTATGAATTCTTAAAGCAAGCAATATAAGATTACTTTTTTTAGTAAGAAGTGTTGAGTTTACGGTACGTAGTCTATTTATTCTTAATTAACCAGAGATTAAAATATGCTATAGTTTATCCTCACCAAGCTGGAGGAAGGGTATATACCACAAAACAATGAAATTGCATAAAACAGAGCGAGTTTAGTGATTCAAAAGCATTATAATAGCATAGTACGCGTTGTGAAATTTGATTGTCGAGACTCGAGAGTATCTATCCTTTGAAACATAATCATATTGTCTCTCAAACTCGAGGGAGTGATTTAACCAAGCATGCATATACTTAAATTATGTACGTTGACCAAAGATTATAAGATTCCAGCGACAATATTTCAATTTCTCCGTATATAAATATACAACATTTCGTTATCATGTAACTGCAATGTACAACAATACATATACTTTATTTTAAGATAATAATTAGATGCGACAGGTCGTTCTAATGAAAGGGGGTCAAGAGGTATTTAAGTGGGTGCGGTCCTCGTAGGGACACATATACATTTATGATTGTTTGTTAGGCCATTAATTCCCAATTAATGGGTCATCTCCCTCTCATTTCAAAATTTATTCAAAAATTACTATAGCATAAAGATTTGTTTTCTCTTTTTAGTCTTTTACCATAATGTTTCTTTTTGTTGCTTTTATTCGATTATACACAGAACACAGGGTTGACCATGTGGAACCTTATATGATTGAGTTTCAGTTTCAGTAGTCAATTCCTAGTTTACAATTCTCGTTTGTATTGGATGCTCGATTTCCACTCATAAAGCTTTTCACTCAGAGTAAATGATGTATATAATCTTACCCATCTTCAACTGATTACATATCCAGACCTCCACAACTGATGATGAGAAAACTAGATCACCTTGACACATCAGACGAACACTAAATTTTTCTGATATATTAGATTATATTAAAACATTTACAAGAAGGAACTAATCATGCAGGCTGTCTTGGTTAATTTGAATTTTGATAATGCTATAATAGGATGATTTGAGGAAATGGGTTAACTTTTATAATTGTTAAAGTGCATATACTTATTTAGGTAAAATTTAGTAAAATGTTCTTTTAAATTTTTGAAAACATTTTTGCATGATTTCATGGAGTTGGTAATTCATCCATCAATGTAATTTGGTTGTTCAACCATGATGCTAAGTACTCATCCACATTATTGTGATATACCAATTATAGTTTATCACAACAAGCACGTCATATTAATTTTGGAAAGCTATGTACGTATATATTTACAATTTTGATTGTTAGTTTGTAAGGCAATTGAAACATCATTATCACAATAAGTGTGTGTATATATAGGTAGCACAATACTAATTAATTGCAAATTTCATGTATTTCCAGAATTGGTTTAGTGGTTGAGCTTGGACCATGCATACGCATGCGTGCACATACGTATATCTAAAATTTCTAAATACGTATGTAGAGACACTTACGGAAAATACATGTAGCAGAGAAAGTATGAAGAATTCACTCATACCTGAACATGTGGCCTGCTATGACAAATTGACAATGGATAAAAATTAATATTACGAAAAGATAATAAAAGTTAAAGAAATGAATCGAAATAGTGAATAATGTGAAAGTAAAGGTCTTCAATAAAGCGGGAGAATTTGATTCCTGTCAACAAAAAGAATGGCATCAAAGGGATATAGCTTTGGTGGCTCATAGGAGTGTTTTTTTTTTTGGTATATTATATGTGAATCTCTGAATTATGACTCATGGTCATAGGGGATAATTATTGCGACCACTAATTGAAAAAAGAATCACTACATGTTTTCATTAAGCGACCACTAATCCCAGACTATAAAATCATCACTTCACGTTTAGCTTTTATGCTTACCAACGCGGCAACGTTTTGACGTAGCGTTACGTAGGATTCATTTTTTATAACAACTTTGGTAGATTCAGTTTTGATTCAAACCTTCCTAAAATATGTCTATCACATGATATTTGTCGTTTTCATACTCCGGAAAACTAGGCATAATTCAACTGAGCCTATTCCTCATCATAAATTCCACTACACCATCTCTGTTTGAAGTGCGAACGAATTTAAATTAACTAAAAACATTTAACCGGTTCTAGATAAATGGGTAGCAGATAAAAAACAAAAAAAATAGTCTAGTTTTTAAAAGAAAAAAAATATCTTTTACACAAAAGAGAAGACAAATACTCATACAGTCTAGTTGCCTTTTAACTAAAGGAGGGAGAAAGAGAATATGAGAAAAAAGCGAAGAAAAAGAGGAATATCGAAGCAAAAGGAGGATACAGCAATTTGATGTAAAACCAATGATGTTGTCTAAAGCCCGTCCCATGCTCAGCTTTTTCTTCCTCGAGGTTAAAATTTCATTTTATCTGCTGATTTAATCAAGATACCATTAAGTACTCTTTCAAACAAGTACCGTCGAATACTATACTACTCACCATCGAATATATGATTAGTCATCATTTTTTGTGGATATGGTGTTTTACAAAGCGGCGTGATTATAGTTTAGGACCATGCACATTATTACAGCTACATCATCATGATGCACACGATGATTATTGCTGCATATGTTACCGTCGCTTATCTTAAACATAAAACTGGGCCTGGAGTTTTGCTATATTGGATTTTATGGGTTCTTCGGACCCATCTAGCAACTCTGCTCCAAATTACAATAGTTTCTTATACATTTTCTTTCCTAAAACAAAATGCAATAGCCCTAGAGAGCTTTATTAGGACACAAAAGAGAAAGAAAAGAAATAAATCTAGTTTGTCACAAAGCACAAATAGATTTGATCTGTATCATAAGAAAGACGTAGAAGGAAAGTTGCTTGAGAGGCAACTCTCTAGGTTATTCACAAAGTTCTCATAACCTTCCTAATTCTATTAATCTAGTTCCAATGAAAATGATGAAAGGGAATATGGTGAATCATATGCCTATACAACCGCCGTTTCTTTATCCAGGGAGTGTATTAGATTAGAGGTGAGAAAGATGATGTCTACGACGATGGATTCTCCTATGCAAGATCAGTCTCAGTCATTGGTTGGAGGAGTGACTATATATCTGAGAGATTCTTTGAACCGAGATGAGCTATGTGTCATATGTAAAAAAGATTCTGATAAATCTTGTGTAACTAACTGAGGGTAACGTAGGAACCACGACACTGTTATGTAACCTAGGAAGTGACCACGGTTAAAGCTCACATGGCGGGCAACTCCGGTTTAGTCTTGGTTCAGATTTGTTTATAATCTATAGTACGGTGCGATTAAGATTACAACCATGTGTGAATAATAATTATATTTGGTTTGGTTATTCCAGTTTTCAGTTTTGGGTTTCGTTCTTCGGTCCGGATCCAGACCGTTCTATGCGGACAAATAAGGCTGTCCATCAAGGGACATATAATTCATATTCTCCTCATCAGTTTTATTCTCTGCCATACGAGCTAGGACAATGTATCCCCTTCATCCTAGTTGACTTTATATTTGTTATTGTTTTCCACCTTTGTGCACCATTTAAAAGAGTCTATATGTAAAGATAATAGGCCCAACTTCAAGCCCGTTTTGTTTGTGAATCCAGCAAAGTCCAACAAGAGCTTAATCGTTTATCTGCAGCAAATGTGAAAAGGCAAGTCAGATAAGAAAAGGAAACTACACGAAGACAAAGTCGGTTATGTTTTGGTATATATTGAAGACGCCACAACAGTAATTAATTATCCTAGAGATCAGANCAGATAAGAAAAGGAAACTACACGAAGACAAAGTCGGTTATGTTTTGGTATATATTGAAGACGCCACAACAGTAATTAATTATCCTAGAGATCAGAGAAAAACCCTAGACACAAAGACAAAGAGAAAGAGTTAGAGAGAGATCAAGAGTAGAAGAAACTAGGTCAAGACATTGTTCGAGTCATGTCTTTGCGGGAGAGAATTTCTTTGATCTTTCTAATTCTCTGTTGTATAGAGCGCTTAAAGCGTTTGTGTAAACCCCTTTGATTGATAGTGGATGTTGTGGGAGACGGTTCCCACCCGAGACGTACCGCGCTAGAGGCCGGGAACTCGGTGATCAAATTCTATGTGTTATTTAGTTTAGCAATCAAACGATCGATAATTCCTAACAAGTGGTATCAGAGCAATCCAGGTTTTGATTGCGGACTTAGTGAGATCACGAAGTCTGAATTGTATAGAAGAAAGATAAAGGGACTTATTGTTTCTTCGAGATGGTGGAGTCAACACATGGAAGGGTTAAGGTTGAAATATCAAAGGGTAGCATGACATTAAAAGAAGAACGGGGTGCTGAAGATTTTTTTTTAAGACTAGTTCCGCTGCAATCACAAGGTTAGTGTGATGTTCAAAGTTTCTGGATACTCAAGGCTGCTAAGGTTATGGAGTCTAGATTTTAGGAGAACACATGGATGGAATTAGACCAGTTTTAACAATAGAAAAGTCAAGATTTTTTGCTGTGAAATCAGGTTGCATCTTGGCTTGTTCTAGTTGTTGATAGTCTATTCAGTTTGGTGTTCAAGGATGGGTTGATAAAACAATTGGTCTTACAAATCCATGACTAGGGGACGCCTTAGAAAAGGAATATATGTTGAGAAAATTGTTTTGATGGTATATTAAAAATCTGAGATTCAAGGGAATGGTTATAGCAGAAGAGTATGGAGAAACATGAAGTCTGCTTTAGGCAAAGCTGGTAGAGAACTTATGAGAAGTTCATACGATCAGGTCTGAGAAAGTCTTCAAGGAGGGTTTAAATGTCAGGGATAAGGATCAGAGTTTCAAGAGCTAGAGAAGACAACAAAGCTTGTGTGAAGTTCTGTAAGAAGAGATGCTTGGACCAGGGGTGTGTCGAAAGACTATCTAGCAAAGTTGATAGCTTGATGGCGGGTTCTGTTAAGTGATAACAGCGGTACACAGAGGAGTTCAAGGCATATTTATTACAGAAGAGTGTAGTTAAACAAGAACAGTTGAATGGAAAATTGTGTTGAAAGTCTTCCCAACAAGACTGGTTAGGAGGCGTGTTCCATCATGGATGATGGCGGCACAAGATTATTCAGACTGGTTGTTTAACTATAAAGCAAGATGTTTTTTAAACACAAAGAGGAAGCTCAAGAAAAAAAAAAAAAAAAAAAAAAGAAGGAAATCTAGCAGCAAGGTTTACTGTTAGTAAAATTCTGTTTAGCAAGAAGTTTGGATCAAGGTTTTGTGTCGAAAGTCTATCTAGCATGGTTGGTAGCTTGATGGCGTGTTCTGTTAACATTAACAGCGGTACAAGAGGATTCTAAAAATGGTGGTTAAACAGAAAAAGCATGGTGAATCAAGAACGGTTTCAAGATGGTAACTTGTATGATTCAGAGAAGTAATTGCATTTGGTTAAAGGAAATCAAGATGCAGAGGGAGAATGAGTTCAATCAACAACAGATTCATGACGGTCATGGAGGAGGCTGTGTGATTGATTGGCTTATCGTAGAAACTATTTAGCTTCAGGCGTGAGGCAAATATGATTCTACGAAAGGGAGTGTGGTATTTTTCACTTCAAGATTTCATTAGTGGAGAAACTTTAATGATGAGAAGTGCAAAAAGGTTTATAGGTAAAGGGAATTACCTAAAGTAGGAAAAAGAAAAGGGAAGAGGCTGAGCTCAGAAGTCGTAACAAATCAGAAGTCATGGAGTGTTGATTCTGGTTCCAGATGGAGTTCATCATAGAAAGCTGAAACGGTTTCGTGGTCCGAGTTAAGGTGTTCGGAAAAAAGAAAAAAAAATATAGAGGCATAGGAGATGATACATGTCAAAGAGGCTGTATGATTAATTGTTTTCGAGGTTGGATCAAGGAGTGATTCAGGTCCAAGAAGCTGATTCAAGGCCGATTCTAAAGATCAGTGCACATGATAAGAATCAAAAGGATATCAAAGGGAATCAAGTTGCAATGGGAAAAGATTTATTCAGTCGCTATGTTATTTTCATGAGCTTAGGGAAAGTCATGAAAGGGGTCTAGAGATTGAAAGTTTGTTAAGGGAATAACAACAAGGTTTCTCAAAAGTGTGGTGAGTGAGAAGGGTACAAGCGAGGATTATGAAGCTACAGTGAAGATATTGGTTTCAGGTGGAGTAGCTGTAGAAAAAATCAAAGGAAATTGCTTCAAGTGGAGCTTGTGGAGAAAGAGAAGATAAACTGATTATCTAAACAGCAGAGGAGACACGGTTGTTCACGCTGTAAGAATAAGATAACATTTAAGGCTGGTTCAGGTTTTAGGAGGAGACGCCAAAAGATAAGTCATGCTCTTACAACATCAGAATAATGCCTTCAGAGTGGTTGTTGGGAGAAGGTCTAATGTCACAGGTTGCTGGTATTTTGTGTTCGAACAAAAAGCTAGACGAAGGGGTATTTTTTCTCACATAAAAGGTGAAGTTATTACTCAAGAGAAAATTGTGAAGGTTCTAACTCAAGTTCAGAGTTAGTCTAAGAGACATGATGGGCTCTCAGGGATGTTGATCTAGGTGGAGCTGGATTAGAATTTACCTGGTATTAACAGAGTGGTGGAGAAGACGAAGGGGATCGTCTGAGCAGCTAGGAAGTAGAACACGGGCTGTTCATATGGGAAGCTGCACAAGAAAGGTAGAAATTTTCATAATTTCTAAAACTCGAAATCTCAGAAAGGGACAAGGTCCACTCGTCAAAGTAAACAAATGAAGATGAGTTGAGAATACCTGAGATTATAAAAGGTAATTAGCGACAGAGGAATCGCAGAAGATGAAAATTTCTGATCATAGAAATTTACATCAGGTTTCACTATCTGAAGAAAATCAAAGGGGTAAAGACACGGTCTACTATTGTTCACTGCCAGGGAAAGCCAAAACTCAGACTTACCGAAGACAGGGGCAGAGTTTGTGAGCTTTATCATAGAAGCAAGCCACCGGAGGCGCAAATGGTCATTCGTCGGGTCTGTAGCTGAAGGGTCTTAGGGGTTTGCTTCCGAATAGGTGACAAGGTGGAGTTGCCTCCGGAGTTGCAACACATGGGATTTGCAGGTTTGGTCGATGTAGCTGCAGACGGTGAAAAGAAAAAAAAAAAAAATTTTGTTTTCTCCGCTAACCATACGAAGAAGACGACGAGAGGAATAGGGAAGTATGGGCCTAAGGTGGAGATTGTAAAGATAATAGGCCCAACTTCAAGCCCGTTTTGTTTGTGAATCCAGCAAAGTCCAACAAGAGCTTAATCGTTTATCTGCAGCAAATGTGAAAAGGCAAGTCAGATAAGAAAAGGAAACTACACGAAGACAAAGTCGGTTATGTTTTGGTATATATTGAAGACGCCACAACAGTAATTAATTATCCTAGAGATCAGANCAGATAAGAAAAGGAAACTACACGAAGACAAAGTCGGTTATGTTTTGGTATATATTGAAGACGCCACAACAGTAATTAATTATCCTAGAGATCAGAGAAAAACCCTAGACACAAAGACAAAGAGAAAGAGTTAGAGAGAGATCAAGAGTAGAAGAAACTAGGTCAAGACATTGTTCGAGTCATGTCTTTGCGGGAGAGAGTTTCTTTGATCTTTCTAATTCTCTGTTGTATAGAGCGCTTAAAGCGTTTGTGTAAACCCCTTTGATTGATAGTGGATGTTGTGGGAGACGGTTCCCACCCGAGACGTACCGCGCTAGAGGCCGGGAACTCGGTGATCAAATTCTATGTGTTATTTAGTTTAGCAATCAAACGATCGATAATTCCTAACACTATAGCCTGTCAAATCAACGTTTGGGTATTTTTAGAATTATATTTTGGGTTTTAGATAATTTTGAGTATTTCGACCCAAAAAAGAGAAGACGATTTTGAGTACAAGATAAAAGTAAAACTCGATATGAACTTAGCCAATTCGAAAATTTATTGTATCTGAAGGAAATTTATGAATTTGATACTGAAAACTAAAAAACCTTTTATAACTCAAATATGAACGGATATCCGAGACATCCACACTTATTATAAGCGATGCATACTATTTTGATGCTATGATGATGATTCAGTTTTAAATGTCAAACCGAATGAGATACAGAGATAGAGACGTCGGCAGAAACGGTTTGGCATTAGCCAGAGCTGCTTCCTTCAAAAAATTGCGTAAGTATAACTATAGTTTGTTATATTTTGTTCAAACAATTCAACTCCCTATTGGGTTTGCTGACCCTCTTTTTCCATGAATTGTGAATGTAAGATACTGAGGAAAACAAAAAAAGGATGAAAACGTTATCGTTTCACTAAAATAGCCATGTAAGTCAAAAAGTAATTGTGGTGTTCTAGATGGTGACGGCGCCACTAGTGGGCGGGCACACCTTAAACATAAGTCAAAGATGGCTTTTTTTAATTTCCCACTAATCCTAATATCTTGAAAACAAAAACCTGAAGACTATTCGTTTCGTCGGCCCAAAGAAAACAAGATTTGGAGCATATCAAAATCGTAGACTCAAAATGCATGATTTCATATCATCAATAAACAACAAAAAGAAAATAAATACAAGTCATACTACTGTCTTTTCAATACACGGTTTAGATTCCAGAGAACATAGTTTAGTTTTCTTGATCTCAATAATGAATGGTAAGGGCTTTTGTTTTCTGCAAGAGAAGGATACATTAATGCAAGTAGATATCAATAATGCCACATGCATGGCTTTGATAGCTTTGAGTTGACATTGGCTTGATAGTCATTAGTCACGAGGAGTTGGCTTTGCTTCTCGACGGCGAGTACTAAGGGACCCACAGGTAGTTTGCTTAATCGATTTTTGTTTTTCGACTTGTCCACTTGAGTTTTATTCGTTGTAGACTCTGTATCTGTACAAATAATCTAACAAACCGTGTTACTCACTTTTTAGATTTATATATTACGATCCGTCAGACAAATAGAGATCTTGCGTTGAACTAGTCACGGAGTTTCGATTAGGTTTTGTAGTTTGATTGATCAAACTAATGTTATATGATAAGCATTGACTCCGGTCGTATATATGTCATAGTATTCTAGAGGTTAAGCAATAAAATATGAATAAGCAGAAATATTATTCGTAATACACTGTAAACAAGTCCAACAACGTCTAAACCAGTTTTCTTTTCTTTTTTTCTTTTAGTTATATGTACCACTACTAATTTCTGTGAAAGTATTTTGAATAATTATTACTAAGATCTTAAACTAATCAAATGGTTATTTGTAGATAACACACTTAGTGAATTAATCGGAAAACATATTACATTGTCTAACTTGAATTTGAATGCCTTTTGAATATTGCCAGAGGTTGACTGGCGATAGTTGATAGACTTTACCAAAAATAAAAAAAATCTCAAACTAAACAAAAATAACGACACTGATTAGTTCAGAGTAAGTATACATAAGTAGATAGCATCTTGCAAGGAGAAGGCTTATATATATGTCCACATATACTAATTAACAACATCGACGTACTATGTACTTCTTGTTAATTATATACGATTTATCACTTATCAAGTTGACAAAAAAAAAAAATCACTTATCAGGAGATATTTACAATTGTATTATTTTCAGAAATTATACACAGACGACACGTTGACAACGATTGCAGTTTTCTTTCTCGGCGCAAAAAGACATGGTTTACAAAACCGAACATATAAAAAAAAAAGTGACAACAGCACTAACGTCATGTCCCCACCCATAAACCGTACATAACAAAACATAACTCAAACGAAGTCGTTTTGCTCTTTTCATTTCTAATTTCCTTGTCCTAAATGCGATCGCTCTCTTTCGCTGAATCATCATCATCACCGAAAGTCTCACTTTGACTCTCCACACACCCATCATCTCTCCCCCAAGCATAGACGAAAACTCAAAAGTTGAAATTTTTTAAAAATCGGATTTTCTTTTCCCGATTGACCCAACAACCGCAATCGAATTTCAACTTCCGGAGTCGTGTCTCTTCCTCCTCTCTCCATCATCCAAATCCACTTGAATAGACATAACCAATAAAAAAAAGAAAACAGAGGAAAAAAGATCAAAAACCTCCAAAACAAATGTTATCTCCCTCAACTCCACAGAGCTAAAACCCTAAAACCAATATGACGACTTTCATCTCCAACCTCTCTCTCCTCCTCCTTGTAAGTTTCTTCTCAAACCCTGTGATCTCCGATTCAAGAGGAGAGACGGTAGCTCAGGTATGTACAAACAGAACAACGACCCCTCAGCAAAGAAGTCTCGTCGTAACAAACTTCCTCGCCGCCATGGACGCCGTCTCTCCACTAGTTGAAGCTAAAGGCTACGGCCAAGTAGTCAACGGCACAGGGAACTTAACGGTTTACGCTTACGGAGAGTGTATGAAAGATCTCGACAAGAAAGACTGTGACTTATGTTTCGCTCAGATCAAAGCTAAAGTCCCACGTTGCTTGCCCTTTCAACGAGGCACTCGTGGTGGTCGTGTCTTCTCCGATGGTTGCTTCATCAGGTAAACATATATCTGAATATTTTATTATGATTTTTTTTAGTATTTAATTTATGTCGGTTTTGTTACTGGATTAGGTACGACGAGTATAACTTCTTTAACGAGACGGTAAGTTTGCTAGACCGGACTAATTGCTCTACTAAGGAGTTAACCGGAGTAAACCGGACGTTGTTTCGAGATAACGCTGTGGAGTTGGTGAAATTTATGAGCGTGGAGGCGGTGAAGAACGGTGGGTTCTACGCTGGTTTTGTGGAGAGACGTAACGTGACGGTTCACGGTTTGGCTCAGTGTTGGCAGCCTGTTACTCGTAGTGGTTGTGTTGAGTGTTTGAGTAAAGCTTCAGAGCAGATCGGTTCTTGTTTGGGTAAAGAGGAAGGTCGAGTTCTTAACGCTGGATGTTTTATGAAGTTTTCTAATCAGAAGTTTTACAATAACTCTGGAAACTCAACGTCAGATGGAGATGGTGGTAAGTAGATAAAGATTAGTATAAATATTGTATTATTTATGGATTGTTAGGTTATGGATTAAGACACAAAATGGTGGCATTGATTTAGAAATGTTTTACTTGATGTTCAGGTAATAACCATTTGGCTGTGATTTTGGCTGTGACATCTTCGGTGGTGGCTTGTGTTCTGTTGGTCTCTGCTGTTGGTTTCTTGTATAAGAAGAAACGTGCCAAGAAGCTAAGAGGTTTGTGACTAAAAAATATATTGAGTTTTTTTTTTGTTGAATGTTTTTACTCATTGGGGTTTGAGTGGTTATAGTAAAGTTTAAATATATTTTATGTGTGTGTAATGTGATGTAGAGAAGAAGCAACTAGGGTCACTCTTTATGCTTGCCAACAAATCTAATCTTTGTTTCTCCTATGAGAATCTCGAGAGGGCCACCAATTACTTCAGTGACAAGAATAAGCTAGGACAAGGAGGATCTGGTTCTGTATATAAGGTAGGTTTTGTTCTTATTATCTGTTTCTTCTTAGGATGTTCCTATTCTTTAATTATTTTGCCATCTTTTTGTGCAACAGGGAGTTCTTAGTAACGGTAAGACTGTTGCGGTGAAGAGATTGTTCTTCAACACAAAGCAATGGGTTGATCATTTCTTTAATGAAGTCAATTTAATAAGCCAAATCGATCACAAGAACCTTGTCAAGCTCTTGGGATGTAGCATAACTGGACCGGAGAGCCTTCTGGTCTATGAATACATTGCGAACCAAAGCCTCCATGACTATCTTTTCGGTTTGTTTTTCTCATCTTTATCCTTTTTACATTACCGTGTCTCAATGGTGTTATATTGACTCGTTCTTGCTGCTCTTTTGTTCAGTGAGGCAAGATGTTCAACCGTTGAGTTGGTCGAAGAGGTTCAAGATTATACTTGGCACAGCAGAAGGAATGGCGTATCTACACGAAGAGTCGAATCTAAGGATCATACATAGAGACATCAAGCTGAGTAATATACTTTTGGAACATGATTTTACTCCGAGAATAGCTGATTTTGGATTGGCTAGATTGTTCCCTGAGGACAAAACTCACATTAGCACTGCCATCGCCGGTACACTGTAATGTCTCTAAACCGACCTAAACCGATATTTTGAGATCTTTATTTCGAGTTTTGAAGTTATTCCACTTGTGAAACACAGAGGCTACATGGCTCCAGAGTATGTTGTACGAGGTAAGCTAACTGAGAAAGCAGACGTTTACAGTTTTGGAGTTCTTATGATTGAAGTTATAACCGGAAGACGTAACAATGCTTTCTCACAAGACTCTAATTCGATCCTACAAACCGTAAGTAATTAATATTTTTTTTTCATTCATGAGGGTTTGATATATAAGCTCAAACCATTTTCTTGAATCTTATTAAGGTATGGAGTCTGTACGGAACAAGCAACCTTGTTCAGGTTGTGGATCCAGTATTGGGGGATAACTTCAACAAGATGGAAGCGTCACGTTTGCTTGAGATTGGTCTGCTTTGCGTTCAAGCAGCGTTTGATCAGCGGCCTGCGATGTCTGCGGTTGTGAAAATGATGAAAGGGAGTTTGGAGATTCCAACGCCTAGGCAACCACCGTTTCTGAATCCAGTGAGTGTATTAGAGATGAGAAAGATGATGTCTCCGATGACGGATTCTCATATGCAAGATCAGTCTCAGTCTTCTGGTTGGAGGAGTGACAACATATCTGAGAGTTTCTTTGAACCTAGATGAGCTTTTAAGATCGGTTAGTGATGGATTCTGCATATGTAAAATGAACTGAGATGCCGATTAATCGTGTGTAGCTAATTGAGGGTAACGTATGATCCACGGCACTGTTTTATATAACCTAGGAAGTGAACACGGTTAGAGCTCACAGGGTGGAGGGCAAACTCCGGTTTAGTCTCGGTTTAGGTTTGTTATAATCTATAGTAATTAAGATACAGCCGTTTGTCTATGATTTTTTTTTTCTCAAGTTTGTATGTTGGCTTAAGTATGATTCTTATTTCAAATAAATCACCAGTTGTTGGCTATTAAAATAAATTTATGTGCTAGAAATAATTAAAAGAAGACTACTACGAAACATGTTAACTTACAAACTTCCTGGTGAGAATAAATACATAAAAAGTGTTCGATAAGCTTGAAAGTTATCTTGAGAAGCAAGCAACCTAAATCTATTGAGTTATAGTTTAGGAAAATATCTATTTATGTTTACCTAATGAGTTTAGGAAATTTGTGAGGTTATATAAGGAGATGCTAGGGTTATAGCATAACTTATGAGTTGTGAGAATTGTGAGCTTTAGTTTTTGAGAGAGTTTTCTAAAGCAATAATGAGTTTGAGTTTGTGAGATTGAGAACTTGAGTTTTGAGTTATTTTCTCAAGTTATTAATAAGAAGAGTAGTTCTTATTCATTGAGTTTTACAAACTAAGATTCTATAAAAAAGATTATATGCAATTTTTGTCTGCCGAACATAATTTGTTTCTTTCTTATTATAGATAAGCTGTCATTGTTCTGAATTTCATACCCCCACCCACACTGTAATTTTCAGCATTGAATATCCAACTACTTCCCACTTCCTTTGTATTTTTATTGACTAAAACACTTTTGACAATGGCAACTTGTAAATGATTTTTTAAAAAATTTCTAGAAACTTAATTGTAACATACCAAACCATTTCTTTATTTGACGTACTCGACCGTCAGTTTATCCATTTGATATTTCTTAAATCTTATTTTCTAGAATGTCGTCATACAAACACTAAAAGACACATGAAGAAGCTATCTTATTCTCTTAAAGAAATATTCAGAAGTTTGGAATTTATAGGCCGGCCGGGGTCCCTATCCATTTTACTCTCCTAATAAACAAAATATTTGTCCATAAATTATTACACACAAGAATTTAAAATCTTTAAACTTGTATATAAAAAATAGGTGCATAGCTGGAGATTCATTACATTTAGGACCAGTGTAGGAAGTAGGCGATGATGTTAAATTGTAAATAGTGAACCAATAAAGATAATGAAATGAATTCGGTAAAGGAAATTATCCAATTAAACCGAACCGGCTCCACACCAGATTAGATCAACTAAATTATTGGTCCACCGTTTATCATTGAAAACCGACAACTATTTGAATAAAGACAACAACTTCAACTCAAGTTTGAGCTGGTTTCCAAGTGTGAATCCGACGACCAATCTCTCTCTCTCTCTAGAAAAAGAACAAAATCTTATAAAATAAAATAAAATAAAATATTAATACTTTTTGAGTGATTTAGTGTATTACCCTTATTTGCAGCTCAAATTAACAAACTACTATTGATTGGACATAAAGGACACTGACACAACCATTTGGCAAGGAAATGCCGAGAATACCCTTTCTCTTTCCTCTCATTAACATGAAGCGTAAAAACATTTGTTAACATATAACACTTCTGTTAACGTCTACAATATTTGTTAACAGCCAACACATTTATTACCGCGAAGCGTAAAGATAAGTGTTAACAGTTAACACTTTTGTTAACGTCTACAATATTTGTTAACAGCGAACATATTTATNCCAACACATTTATTACCGCGAAGCGTAAAGATAAGTGTTAACAGTTAACACTTTTGTTAACGTCTACAATATTTGTTAACAGCGAACATATTTATTAACGCGAAGCGTAAAAATAAGTGTTAACAGTTAACATTTCTGTTAACGTCTACAATATTTGTTAACCGCTAACACGACGTCGAATCTAAAACCCAGAAAATTGATATCATCAAAAAAATGCATCACTGAATTTTGTATTTCCAAATCACATTGAGTAAATTTAAAATTTACAATTATTATTTAAGAATCAAAGTGAACTCAAAAATATTTAACATATTTATTTTGTATGTAATTCATTTTGAAAATGATAAGAGGAGAGAAGAGTAGTGATAACGAAAATGAAAAAAAAAAAGTTAAACACCCACATGTAAATGCAGGAAGGAAGGAGAGAGAGAAAGGGCAATTTGGTCAGACAAAATAAATATGTCCCATCATGGGCAAGTGACTAATATACACCCCCATTTGGGGTGTATCGGCCAATTAACTCATACTTTTTTGACTAACCAGTAGAGAGAGAAAGAAACAGCAAAGTAAAGTTGACTATTATTACACAACAAATTTCGTCAAAGTCAAGCTATTGAAAATTCAACTCTTTCAACTTTCCTCAACTTCATCATTGCTTCTTTCTTCCAAACCCTGAAACTTCACAACACACAAAGATCCTTTTCAATCAAAACAACAATGAAGAAAGAACCAACTCAACATCTCCACCTTCCATGTCTCTTTATGTCTCTTCTTTCACTACTCCGACCAATCATCTCAGACCCTAGAGCAAGATCCATCAAAGTCACATGCTCACCGCAGCTAGAACACAACGAAACCATCTTCGTCCCAAACTTCGTCGCCTCGATGGAGAAAGTTAGCCAACAAGTCCAACTCAACGGTTTCGGAACCGCACACACCGGTTCAGGACCAGACGCTAACTACGCTCTCGCTCAATGCTACGGAGACCTCCCTTTAAACGACTGCGTCCTCTGCTACGCAGAAGCGAGAACCATTCTCCCAAAGTGTTACCCTCAAAACGGTGGTAGGATCTTCCTCGACGGATGTTTCATGAGAGCTGAGAACTACAGTTTCTACAACGAGTTCAAAGGACCTGAAGACACAGTCCTTTGCGGGAACGCCACTAGGAAGAATAACAACGCTACTTTTGGAGACGCGGTTAGAGGAGTGTTGAGAAACGCGGTTGCTGCGGCTCCTGGGAATGGAGGGTACGCTCGCGGCGCGTCTGCAAACGGAGAGTCTGCGTTTGCGTTGGTGAATTGTTGGAGAAACTTGAGTCCTGAGTCTTGTAAACAGTGTTTGGAAGACGCTTCTGCTTCTATGGTTGGCAAGTGTCTGCCGTGGTCTGAAGGACGTGCGCTTCACACGGGGTGTTTCCTTAGGTACTCTGATCAAGATTTCTTGAACAAGATTCCAAGAAACGGAAGCAATAGCTCTGTTGTGGTGATTGTTGTCTCGGTGCTTAGCTCTGTGATTGTCTTTATGGTTGGAGTAGCGATAAGTGTTTACATCTGCAAACACCGAACCATTCAGAAGAAGAGAAGAGGATCAAATGATGTAGAGAAAATGGCGAAGACGTTAACAGATAGTAGCTTGAACTTCAAATACTCAACGCTAGAGAAGGCCACAGGTTCGTTTGATAGCGTGAACAAGGTTGGACAAGGAGGCTTTGGAACTGTTTATAAGGTATGGTTAATTGGTTATCTTCTCTTTTGTATCTTCTTATGATGCTAATGAGTGAATCTTTATGGCATCTCTTTGGTTTTTGTGTGTGTTTTAGGGTGTTTTACCAGATGGAAGAGATATCGCTGTGAAACGGTTGTTCTTTAATAACAGACATAGAGCAGCAGATTTCTACAATGAAGTCAACATTATTAGCTCTGTTGAACACAAGAACCTAGTTAGGCTGCTTGGTTGCAGCTGCTCAGGACCAGAGAGTCTCCTAGTTTATGAGTATCTTCAGAACAAGAGCCTTGATAGATTCATCTTTGGTAAGACTGAATCCTATTCCATGAGTTTCATTCATAGAATCTTGCTTAAGACCGGTCTTTGTTATTACCTTTTTGCAGATGTTAACAGAGGCAAAACACTAGACTGGCAAAGAAGATTCATGATCATTGTTGGAACAGCTGAAGGGTTGGTGTATTTGCACGAGCAGTCTACTGTGAAGATCATCCATAGAGACATAAAAGCAAGCAACATTCTGTTAGATTCAAAGCTTCAAGCTAAAATCGCTGACTTTGGTTTGGCAAGATCGTTCCAGGAGGACAAGAGCCATATCAGCACAGCCATTGCAGGGACTCTGTAAGTACATTCAGATATGGTTTTGTTACTTTAATGTTTATTAATACTTGTGAATTTTCAGTGGGTATATGGCTCCAGAGTACTTGGCACATGGTCAGCTAACAGAGAAAGTAGATGTGTACAGCTTCGGTGTTCTTGTACTAGAGATTGTAACTGGAAAGCAGAACACAAAAAGCAAAATATCTGATTATTCAGACAGTTTGATTACAGAAGTAAGCTTACATTATTTCATTAGTAAGTCAGAATTTCACTTTCTCATTAGTACTAATTAACTTGTGTGTCACGTTTTGGGCTATTACAAAAAAAAGGCATGGAAGCATTTTCAGTCAGGAGAGTTGGAGGAGATATATGATCCAAACCTGGACTGGAAGAATCGGAACGATAGTATCATCATCAAGAAGGAGATAGTGAGAGTTGTTCAGATAGGGCTATTGTGCACTCAAGAAATGGCATCGCTAAGACCATCCATGTCAAAGGTATTGCATATGCTAAAGAACAAAGAGGAAGTGTTACCGTTGCCAAGTAATCCTCCGTTTATGGATGAAAGAGTCATGGAGTTTCGTGATGGTTCTGATGGTGATTCAGCTGCTTGTGCTTCTCTTGCTACTGTCTCCCAAAGTTCCTTCTACGGTAGATGAGGCTTTTAACATCGTTGAGTATAAACCAAAGTTTTGTGTATAATAAACCAGTAAGAAGAACTAAACTAGTATATATAGAGATAGATTTGTATACCGTAATGAAGTATGCCATGGAGATAGTAAGTTCATATATGTACTAAAAAGTAATGTGGTGGAAGAGAATGTTTGAACTCAAATCTTGTATCTATGTAACTTAATAAGGCATATATCGACTTTGGAGGGTTTGGAGATAGAATATTGGCACAATGGTTTTGCCTTTTTTAACATTCCAAACCAACGAACAATGTATTATATAGATATTATGCAGATGATAGAAAGAACAATGGTAAAGTTAATCTTGTTATGTAAAGAACAATGTATTAGATATGTTCCTTCAAAACTGACTTTGAATGTAATTATTTACAAAAAAAATAATTGATAAAGAAGGCTGGAGAGTGAACATGTACTTGTACATGAACGTCTTTAACATTTTTCTTTGTGCTCAGTACTATAAGCATTCAAGTATGTATGCTATCTAGCTATTACTATAAGGTTCTTCTGAGAAACATTTTGAGAGACATATGTACTTCAACTTCACGATCAACACAAAGATTCCAAAGCATGGTAAGTGCATCAACCCAACAGCAGCATACCTGTAACATCAATTAAAAATTACTATGTACTCTCAAGTTCGTTCAAGATCAAGAATCAGTTTCATTGTCTACATTTCGATCCAGAACCGATATATGGGATGAGTTTGTGAGCATACAATAAAGGGGCATAGGGTGATGATAAATCCAAGAATGGGTATGGCCACCTGCACCAAATAGATACCACATTTGTTATACTAATATGTTCATAGAAAATTTAAAGAAAGATAGATAGAACCATGAATGTTACCAGAAGGAGACACAAGCATGAACAATCCATTGAAATAGCACGAATACGCCGGTCCATTCCACAAAGTATGAAATCCTAAACAATGGGAATCTCTGGATACAAAGAAACCAACATCAAAGTCATCATCACTTAAATCATCATCATCATCATGTTTTTTTTTTTTTTTGTTTTTCTTTTCTAAGAATACAAACTAACCTGAGAGTTCAAGAAAGTTTCGCCGAGGAGGAAAACAGCGTTGACCGAGTGCATAACCACAATGAACTACATTACATATGTGTGGTCAGATTGAAGCATAGAAATTAAAAAAAAAATAAGTGACATTTTCTTGGTTAAAAAACTTACAAAATCGAGACTGAAATCTTTGGATGTGAGAAAAGGGTAGATAATGAACCAAAACACACCATCTGTAAGCAATACAGCTCCTGCACAAGTCTATAAATTAAAAAAATATGCTCAGAAACAGAGAGAAACATGAGCAGAGAACTTAACACAGTAGTTGACACTTAAAGCCAGTAAACACTTACTTGGAAAAGAATCTGATGGATGTAACCCAATGTAGATGCAACTTCACGTGTAGACCTAACGTGTCTCCCTTGTCCGTTAGAAGATTTAAACACATTACCATTCAGGGGAGGTCCATACGACCCTAGCTCTTCATCATCTGTACTGATTCCGTTCAGACAGTTCTCACCAGATTTAAATCTGTGTATAGACACCAAGGCTCCAAGCTGCATTATACCAACTCCAATTCAATGCTTTTGAATAATTCACTGTAAATGTTGTTCATTATATACAGAAAAACATCTAATAATCAACTATACTGATGAAATAATCAAACTCAGGTAGCTATTAACCTTTTAGGATCTAGAAACATATATTTTATACACAAAAAAGTGATACTGATGAATTGATAAAGCATGTGCAGTACCATGACAAGGTGAAGAAAATCCATACCCCGAAGTAGATTGTGACCAATATGAAAGTCCATCTGATAAAAACAATCAACATTCATCAGAACAAGTGATGTAACAACTTATCTTCACAATCACAGTCCAGTATATTGATGTAACCACTCAAAAATGGAACTCACTGTGTGTAAAATATGAAAATACTGGCTCCATCAGCCATTGCATTACCAGAGATGAGTCCAAGAAGAACAACAAAACCAAAAACTCGAAAACCTAAAAGCCAATTGGGATGAATCCTTGCCACACAAGTATTCCAAGTTTCATCATCGTATACAACTCCTATCGGTTCTCTTTGATCACCAGCCTTGCGTTTTATAAGCCCTTCGTATCTCCAAACCAAGAAAGAAGATAGAAACAAAGACGTTACGATGAAGATTGCGCAGACAAAGAATCTCCAGTTAAGCCAGTAACTTGGTAAGTTCGTCTCTGCAGACGTTGTGGGTTGCCACGTATGTTCTGTTGTACCTGTAATGAAACTCGAAAGATCAATTCGGCAGAACACATTCTTCATCATCAACATCCTCATCAAAATCTCTTGGCTACTTGTGATTTAAGGTTTTTGTTTTGGTTTAGCATTAAACAAGAACAAGAAAAGTTTAAACATCAATGCTGCCTTCAAAGCAAGAGACAGATTCTTTACTTAAACCAGAGCGAGACAAAAGAAAGTAAAACTAGAAGGGATTAAATCAAAGTATCACAGGATCATAAAGGAAGTTGATACTTGAAGTAAAGCTTTGCTCCACTCTGGTATCAGATTCTGTGAGTGGGAAGATTTGGTTTTGTGTTCTTGTAATTAATCATCACTCGCCACTCCGCACGTTTATTAAAAAATTACTCGTTTTATATTTTTGAACCATTGACATTGAGTAATCAAATCGAACGGCCATAAGCAAAGGTTCGTGAAAGCTGAAGACTAACGTAGACGTTACTCGCTGCATGCTTTTTTGACCCTTTAATGGGCCACAGGCCCATTAGATTTAAACAATAGTATTTTAAAACCCTAATTCACTTGTTTTTTTTTTATAAACTAGGTGATTTTTCCGTGCTCATGCACGGGTGCTCATGCACGGGTGCTCATGCACGGGTAGAATATTCATAAAAGTAAAATTCTATAATAATTAATTGATATTTAGTTTTAGTTTTGAATCAATTTATATGTATAATTTATATTAATAAATATTATATTATTCTAATTATACATATGACTTAAGATATATTATTATCGGTTTAATTATTTTTCGATCAATAGTCGATTTGGTTATCAATTTGGTATATGGATAATATCTATTTTTTGAATTCAACTATAATAATTTTTATTCTAAATATAATAAAACTTTGATTAATTTTCGTATTTTTATTCCAGTTTTTATTGTCTTTAGATATGTAAATATATTCTTAGATATGTAAATATAATATAGTTAAATTATGTATAATTTAATATATATTGTGCTTAAAATAAAATAAATAATAATCTGAAGTGTTTGATTCAAAATTACATAAATGAATATAATGATAATATTTTACACTCTCATGCATATGTATAAATTCTAAAAAGAATTAAATTATAATTGGTTAATATTTTCTTTTTCTTTTTAACATGCTTTGAGTCAACTTCTAATTTATATGTATAAAATTAAATAGATTATTATTATTATCATAATAAAATTATATGTTCTTATTCTAGATAGATGTTTAATTTTAGATATAAATTAAATCAGTCGAGTCATTCATTTTGTGAGTATATTGAGTTAAATATATTTTAAAATTTTAATTTAAGTATAATTACTTTTTTTTAGTTAAGTCAAATCAAATTAGTTTTATTTATCGCTTAAATATACATTTACTTTCATAATATTTATTTAATATTTATTTTAGTTAAATTAAATCAAATTAGTTTTATTTATCACTTAAATATACATGTATTTCATAATATTTATCAAAAATTATATGTCGATTTCTAAAAAATATTAGAAATAAAATGTAACTGATAAATTTTTGGATGTACATGAACATATATATTTTTATTATTTTGAAAATATATTTTATGTTATTGAAAAATATATATTAATGGTGGTATTACTATTTTGTGAACTTTCCTTTTTATTAAAGTCATATTATATATATATATTTTCGTTTTTAAATTTGTTTTAAAATTTTAGAAATATTTCCTTTCTATTATATATGTTATTTGTAAAAAGGTAAAAAAAAAACTAAATAAAAAAATAATCAAGTATACTAATATTTAATCAAGCTCTATTTATATTAATTTATCTAAAAATGAAATATTAATCTAACAAACAATAAAATGTAGAAGAGAGAAACAAAGACATGTTTGAAAAACATGTGTAATATAGAAAATTAAAAACAATCTATTTGATTAAAACACGTATTATATAATATTATTATGATTGAAAAACATTTACTATACATATCGTAAATATGTAATTACTATAATATATACCAATTTACAAGTGAAAATAAAATATTTATATAACTAACTATAAACGAAAACAAACACCCGCGCAACCGCGGGGGTCAAAATCTAGTTATTGTTTAAATGCCCATTTGTATATCTCATGATTATATTTATTGTTACTTAATTGCATGTTTTTGTCAACAATGTTGTTTTTCTTTTTGCCATGTCCGTTTGTATGCAGTAGATGACCAAATGTTACTGTTTCGTTGTCACAGATTGTTGCAAACTGCAACTATGACATGCAAATATGCAATCAAATGTTGTTCGTTTCGTTGTTGTAAATTGCTATTTTCTTTAACTGACATACAATCAGTTGTGCGACAAAATATACAATTATCTACGATTTACGATCTACGATCTATCATCTACGATATGATTACACGACATAAAACGAATAATAATTTGTGTCTCGTCGTATGTGCAGAAGCCACATATAGACGAACATGGCCTTTTTTTTTCTTCTTTTCAAAATTTTAATTACTAAAGATTCTTTCAGAATCCTTTGTTAAGGTTTAATATCATATGATAAAGTTCTTGACTTTGAGTTTTGACTATAATAATGTTCTTCCGCTGTACACCATTCATTCGCGTACAACCACCACTCAACTATGAAAAGTTTCTTAGTATTAGTCGGCAAATAGTTTTTTTTTAGAAAAAAGAAATATCTGAACTGCTCCTACAACAGGTACAAATGTTCATTTCAGCTTACTTTGTTTATGCAAACAAGAATTTAACGAAGATTACCAGTGGTTCTAAACATATATTATATTTGATCATAAAAAGGCAAGTAAGTACTATTGCATATTTCTCTTTAGTGTTTAGAAAACGTATAAGGTATTGTAAACATCTTATTTTCATTGTTGACAATATTACTGCTAAATTTTCTTCTCTTAACAAAATTGAATAACACATTCAAATATTATATCTTCCAAGAGATATATTGTATTAGTAGTGTCATCACTAATACTCAGTTGTGATGATAAAGATCTTTTCTATACGACTGTACCTTATTCATCTAATCATTTTTTTGAAAAAAAAAAACATAGTGATGCAACAATTGGTATTTTATTACCAATTCTATGCTTAAAATCAGTGGTTATCTTTCTCAAACTCAAGTCGCAAACGTTTGCATCAATAAGATGAATTATTTTTGCTTCCAAGAGCACACCATCATTTTCAGATTTTCTAATCATGGAAAGTTGTCTTAAAATAAGTAAGTTTATCTTCCCTCAAATGTTTGTCCATTTTCAACATCAAACCAAATACGTAACGTAACAATTAATTAATCTGGTTAAACATCATATTAAGAGTCGGTGAATAAAAATCCTGATTTTCACAGCTGTCAACTCACATTTCACCACCAACTAAGTGCACAAAATAATATAATAACGATCGTGTCACGCATATTTGTATGCTTTTCCCAAACTATTTTACGAGAGTCTTTTTCTTTTCATTAACCACCGATGACAATCCAAATCGTCGAGGTTTCCCGAGTCTCCCCCACTCCCAACTCAACCAACTCGCTCACAATCCCGTTGACTTTCTTCGACATACCATGGCTAGTGTTCAACCCAGTGAAACGAGTCTTCTTCTACAAACTCACCACCGAGTCGACTCGCGACCATTTCAACACCTCCATCCTCCCTAACCTCAAACTCTCCCTCTCCCACGTCCTCGGCTACTACCTCCCTCTCTCGGGCCGCGTCACCTGGGCCCAACACGAGCCCAAACCAACCATCATCGTCTCTCAAAACGACGCCGTTACGTTGACCATCGCCGAAACTGACTCAGATTTCTCTCTTCTCTCCAGCTACGGACAACGTCCAGCTTCAGAGTTACACACCTTACTCCCCGAGTTACCTGTCTCCGATGACTCAGCAACAACTTTATCTCTTCAAATCACGTTGTTCCCCGACCAAGGCTTCTCCATCGGCGTCTCCGCACACCACGCCGTTTTAGACGGGAAAACGTCAACCATGTTCGTCAAAGCTTGGGCTCACTTATGCAAACAACACTTAGAAGAAAACAGTGACCTCTTCTCATTACCGGAGACTCTAACTCCGTTTCTTGATCGATCGTTTTTCAAAAACCAAACCGGACTCGATGAAGAGATGGTCAAGATCGTTAGAACTCTGAAACAAGACGAGACAAAAACGAGCAGAAGCCTTTCTCCCATCCCCGCGTGGGAAAGCGGAGACGACGTCGTCTTCGCCACGCTCGTGCTTTCACGCAGCGACGTCTCAAGACTCCGGGAGCGAGTCAAGAACCCGAGTCAGCTCCTCCACCTCTCGACTTTCGTCGTCTCCTACGCTTACGTGTGGACATGCCTCGTGAAGGCACGTGGAGAGGAGGACACGGAGAGAACAGTGAGTTTCCTCTTCGTTGCGGATTTTAGAGAGCGGCTCCACCCGCCGCTCCCGGCGACTTACTTCGGAAACTGCGTGTTTCCGGCGGGGAGTTACAACGACAAGACGGCGGAGGATTTCTCCGGAGAGGGAGGGTTCGTGACGGCGGTGGAGATACTGAGCGGTTTGGTGAGAGGGTTGGGTTCGAGGGAGATAGAGACGGTGGCGGGAGAGTTTAAGAGTAGTTTTGATTGCTTGGGGGTGACGTCACAGTTCGGTTCGTTAGCTGGTTCGACACGGTTGGGTGTGTATGAGTCGGATTTCGGGTGGGGGAGACCGGTTAAGGTTGATGTTGTGTCTATTGAGGGAGATAGGATCTCGATGGCGGAGAGACGTGATGAATCTGGTGGTATTGAGCTTGGAGTTTGCATGAAGAAGGCTGAACTGGACTTGGTAATGACTTTGTTCTACAGTGGTTTACAAAACTAAACGTTTATTAATTAGTTTACTACAATTTTTTTTTTCCAATAAAGGCAGTTTAAGCTCATTGAGTTGTTCTTGTGCTCTTGTGATGTGTTGATTATTACTAACAATAAGTTGTTACTTAATTACATGGTTATTTCAACGAGCTTTATTTATGAAGGATTACATAATTTTTTTTTGAGTATTTGGATGAATGAGGTATTGAACATATCTTACAATTCTCTGACAATGTTACTGCTAATAATTGTGCTTTTATTGAAGAACCCTTTCGAATCGTGAGTTTTCAATCTTTTACTATGAGTAATAAAAGTGGAATTGTCAATAGTGATAGAAAGAATATGTTCTATGAAGCCCTTTGTAAAAAGAAAAGAATATGTTCTATGATTATTCTCCCGCAAATTGCTTTTTTTTTTTTTGGCTTTTAGAGGCAAATTCGTTTTTAAATTCTTAAACCTTATTATTCTTATTTTTTTTAATATTGGGTAACAATTACATCATCATATAATCATTAACTCTATTACATATGAAATCCTCCTCGTAACACTTAGATCGACGTACGGTTCTACATGTATGGCACCCTCGATAAATATACATGTACGGCACCCTTGATAAATATACCTATTCCGCAGCAAACAATCACAACGAACGGTTCTGCTTACAGTATTGTGGAACCTCCGATAAGCTTACATCCTATAATCTGCAAGAAATTGCGTTATCTGGATTTCGAATCCCAAACTTATGTATAAAAAACGTTTAAACCTTAACCATTATGATATTGTGCTTCTACAAAACTAATTATCAAACAAATCAAAATTATCTTCAAATGAGGATATAGTTATCTACAAAACGGAATACACAACATAAGTTATAAACCTACCATTAGTCACATTCCACGCACCACTCAATCAACAATCATTTGAAATTACGTTGAGTACTTGGACAAGACAAATGATGTTATATTGGAGCACACGATCTTCAAACCCCACTGCAAAAAAAAAAAAAAGAAAACCTTGGACTACACCTAGACACTGAAGAAGACAAGTATACAAGTACAACAAACTCGTTGACCTAGTTTTTCTATATCTTTGGCTATGGAAAACAACATTTTGAGCTTTCTGGTCCTTCTTTCTCGTTTTGTCTTCTAGATTCCAGGGGACCAATATTCACAACTATGTTGACCAGGAAAATCTTTGTAGATCAGGTTTTGGAGTAAAGCAAAAGAAGTGGAAAGGCACATGCCTTGCGCTTTAAGTTTGGATGTGTTGAAAAATATGGGCTTTTCTTGATTTACTTCTAAGCCAAGCCAATACAAAACCCACAAATGTCCTTAATTAGTCCGCTTATAAATCCAAACCATGTATCATCTACTTCAAACCAAACATGTTTGCATAGAATTTCATTACTTAACTATACACTACAGAAGAAAAAAAACTCTTTCTAGTTGTGTTTTCTTAAAGCATAAGATGAATAAGCTCTTCATTGTTTCTCTCTTGGCTCTGTTAATGATAACTTCTTACCAAGCTGCAGCAGAAACAGCGTATAGGGAGCTTGACATTCTTGGAGAGCTTGAGAACCTTGACGTGCCTCAGGATGATATTGACGATGATGTGACGTTCTTTGATTTCTCTTTGTTTACAAGCCAATTTTCTGGTAAGAATCTGGTGAATGTAGATAGCTTTGGTGCAGCTGGAGATGGAGTTTCTGATGATACTCAGGTGCGTTTGAATACACACACACAAAACTTCCAAAACCACCACTTATCAATGTTCTTTATAATCAGGCATTTGTAAGAGCATGGAAGGTAGCCTGCTCTGCACCAAGATCCGTGTTATTGGTTCCACAAGGACGAAGCTATTTAGTAAATGCAACTAAATTCATTGGTCCATGTCAGGATAGTTTGATTATTCAGGTCAAGTTTTAAATTCTTAACTTGATACATGTTTGCTATACACAAGATATTACCCTATAGTCTTATGCATATTGTTGAACTTTGAATTTTATAGATTGATGGGACAATAGTGGCACCAGATGATCCCAGTCAATGGAACCCTAGATTCCAAAGGGTTTGGCTTGAGTTTTCGAAACTACAAGGAGTTGTGTTCCAAGGAAATGGAGTTATTGATGGTTCTGGTTCCAAATGGTGGGCTGCTTCTTGCAAGAAGAACAAGTCAAACGTAAAATCTTCTTCTATACCACAAGTCGAACATTTCTTCTACTTCTAAACTGAAAAAAAGATCTGACACATATCTTTCTTGTTTTGTCTTATAGCCTTGCATAGGAGCACCAACGGTATATGATCATTTTATTTCTCCTTTTGTGTTCATCGACTGTTAGTTTTCTGTATTAAGCTCTTGATATGTACAGGCACTAACTATAGAATCAAGTTCAAATGTGTATGTGAGAGGGCTAACAATCCGGAACAGCCAACAGATGCATTTGATCATAGCTCGGTCGAATACAATTAGAGTCTCTAAAGTTATGGTCACGTCTCCAGGAGACAGTCCAAACACTGATGGAATCCACATTACTGCATCAACTAATGTTATAGTCCAAGACTGTAAAATCAGCACAGGTGATTCCCAAAACCCTATACTAAACTGCTAAGATAGATAGTATTTTACTCATAGTATTATACCAAACTTGATAACAGGAGATGATTGTGTCTCAATTGTGAATGCAAGCTCGAGGATAAAGATGAAGAAAATATACTGTGGACCAGGTCATGGAATCAGGTAAAACCATCTCTAACCTTGTCAAAACACTTTTCAAGAATCTTACATGCATTCTTGTTCTTTAGCATTGGAAGCCTTGGACGTGGAAACTCAACAGCAACAGTCTCAGCTATTGTGTTAGACACTGCGGTTTTAAAGAACACAACTAATGGTCTAAGAATCAAGACATGGCAGGTAAAAAAATCTCAAGTTCTTGATTCTTGCTTGGTTTTTTACCGTTTTATACTTTTGAATCGTGAGAGTTATGATAAATCTTCAAAACAGGGTGGTAATGGTTACGTAAAGGGTGTCCGTTTTGAGAACGTAGAGATGCAGGACGTTGCAAATCCCATTATTATCGATCAATTCTACTGTGATTCACCATCAACATGTCAAAACCAGGTTTCGTTCTTCTTCACAAAACCATTGACTCAAGAAAACCTCAAGAATCTCTAATCATTTTCCTTTTTTTGTAGACATCAGCAGTTCACATAACGGAGATAATGTACCGAAACATAACCGGAACCACAAAAAGCAAAAACGCTATTAAGTTTGCATGCAGTGACGCAGTCCCTTGCAGCCACATTGTCCTCAACAACGTCAACTTGGAAGGCAAAGATGGAAAAGTTGAAGCATATTGTAACTCAGCTGAAGGGTTTGGTTATGGAGTGGTTCATCCCTCTGCGGATTGTCTGGACTCGCATGATGATAAGAGCTATCAAACTAAGTACTTGTCAGAAACTGTTATGGTCGGTGAAGAAGCTAAAAATGCTCACGACGAGCTTTAATGAGGATTGTTGTACACGTAACATAGTTGTACGCATTCATCTTAGCAACTGACATATAATTATATATAGCTTTTAAAATGAAGCAAATACAATGAGATTGACAAGCATTGTAGTATTTGATATACAGTAACTAATCTATTTGTATTATTAATAAGGAGTGTTTACTTTCTAAAACAACTCAGTCTTGTCTGAGAACTTTGAGAAACAATGATAATCTTATGTCTCTTCATCATCTAACCATATCAAAAACAAAACTCCAATCATGTTCTTTACCCCATACAATGAAATGGAGAAACAGAGGTGCAGTGTGGTAGATAATCAAATAGCCAAAACAATGATACTAGCAACGGAAACTGAGTGCAGTGTAGTAAAGAAAACCCTAAACATCATGAAGTTAGCTTACGGTTTACACATTAATCAGATTGGAATCGATTAGTACAAAATAAAAAAAAATCATCAAACTCACGACAAACTCTTTTGTAAATAACATGATAGAAATTCTCTAGAATATACAGTTCAAAATCTGCTTCCTATGCCTTTGCTTTTGATCATGTCTGGAACTGTGATTGCACACTTGGTCTATCCGTACCACGAATGTTATACTTTTCATATACTCTTTCACGGTTCTCTGTCCACCATGCCTCTGCTTGTTGCTCCTTGAATCTCCTCCGGCTGCAAACAAAAACCACATTGGTATTTTATCTAATCTCTACACAATGCATGGAGATAAGACCTTGATCTAAACTCTATTAAATGTTTACCTAAAGCGCACACGTTTGAGATCTCTGGTTCCATCTCCTAAGGCCAGAAGTGTGATGTAAACACCAGGCTCATACTGTTCGATCCACTCTGCCTCCACTTGAGAAGCATTTGATGTTGCTACTGAGCTTCTTGAGTTTCTGCGAGTGTCACCATCCTCTGAGAAACCATTACTGATTCGAACACCGTCGCTTTGAAGTTCATCTCTGCTTGCATCTGTCTTTCTTGGTGACGGGGAGCTTCGCCAATGTCCAGCCACCGAACGTGAGGGAGGGGTCAAAGGCGATGCAAGAGAGCTCTCGCTCATTGAATAAGAACGTGATGAACGCTGTCCCTTGGCATTAGCAAAGTGAAACCCGTTTTGTTCAACCCCGTTCAGCAAACTAGCAGTCTTTGTGATCTCAGTTTCGTAAGCACCAGGTGGTAGTAGCTTCACTATATCCTTCAGCTGGAAAGATCAAAACTTAAATCATGTTAATGGGAGTCACAGAAAGATGGTTTTAAGAGAAACATAGATAAGGAGTGTAATCAAAGCCAAAAACCTGTGTTGCAAGAGATTTTATAACTTCTTTTGCAGCTTCTGATTTGGCAGTTTCCTCTGATGCCAGTTTCATTGCTTCCTGTGCTTTCTTCAGAGACTTCTGGACTTCAAATTCTTGGAACTCACATCTCTTCTTCAAGCTCTCAGCCTGAACAAACATCCAAGAATCAATTTTAGAACCAAACCATAAGAGTTTATGAATTAAAGGGATGGGGGAGAAGCTTACCTGAGCACGTAACTTGACCACTTCTTGATTCAGAAGTTCATTAGTCTTCTTCAAACTCTCAGTTATACTAGTTGAAAAGGCAAGACCAGCGGCCGAAGGAATGGGAGTGACTGAACGAGTAGGACTAGATTTCCTTGAGAAAGGTGACACAGATCTGGAGCTACCTGCAGATGGAGTTACTACTGGTTTTGGTGGCACACGCCGTAAGTCAGCCACATTACTAAAAACATCCTTGAGCTGTAATAAAGGCGTTTGAGAAGTCCGGACAAGAGAGAACGTGTCCCCCTTCTTTCCTTGTCTAGCTGCCCTGTTATCTAGCTGCTTGATCATTTCTATCTTTGAAGGTATTCCTGATTTAGCCAGTCGCAGCTCAGCTTTATCCAATCTGTCCTTGTTTTCACCGGAAAGGCGTGGCATAACACTAGCTTCTGACACTTTACTCAGTTTGGAATAGCATGTGTCGCAGACACGATAAGGCTTTCCTGGATTAGGAGCCATAGAAGCTTTCAGTGATTTCTTGGAACTGCATGAATGGCAGTGGACAAGACCACAGTTGTAACAGTTGTGACTTTTCTTTGTGAATCCAAAAGCCTGCTTACAAGCTGAACATTGAGTTTGCTCAGCACCAGAAGCCCACTTATGGAGGCATATTGCTGCTGTAAAGTTTGCACCACATGCAATGTATTTCACATGTCTCTCTTTCAAACCATCAACAAGAGTTGGTGCGTTACGGTCCTCCATATCTCCATGACCTAGTCTCCCGTTGGCACCTTTGCCCCATGTAAACACTTCATTCCGAGATGTTAAAACTGCTACATGATAAGCTCCACATGCTACTTCTTCAACACAATCATTACTTAGTTTCTCTACTAAGCAAGGAAGCTTCCCATCAGCAGTGGGATTCCCTAGTTGACCATAAACTGTGCTACCCATCGTGAAAACCTTTCCCGATGTGGTCAAACCAACTGTTAAACTATGTGCACATGCAACTTTGTGAAAATCATTGTCTATAAGAGCTGAGACACATGTGGGTTTAAGCCGAGGCTCTTTATCTGCATGACCAAGACGGCCCTTGTCACCATCACCCCATGTGAACAGCTTTCCTGATGAAACACTTGAACTTGACTGAGTCACAATGACTTCCACCACTGCAGCAGCATGCCATACACCACACGCGACAGCAATAGTCTTCAAACCAGATAAAGACTTGACTTCCCTCGGGTAAAACACAGTCTCCCTGTCACCATGTCCTAACACACCAAACGTCCCATCTCCAAAAGTGAAAAGTTGTCCCGTTGATGTTATCAAAGCAGTGTGCCACGGTCCACAGGACACTGAAGCAATTCGAAGACCTTCAAGAGGACCTGATATTCTCTTAGGTATCCAGTGACTTACATCAGTTTTATGGCCAAGAAGTCCTGCATTGTGCGTTCCATCACCCCATGTGTAGATCTCTCCGGTTATTGTAACAGCGCATGTATGGAACTCACCACAGGCAACAAAGTCGATACTAGAACCAGCTAGAGACTCAATAAGCTGTGGCCCAGTAACGTCTTTCCCCATTCCATGGCCAAGACGTCCTCCGGATTCTTCACCCCATGTAAACACCTCACCTTGCCTAGACACTAGAGCAGCATGCTTAACACCACATGCTATTTGATGGACATCCAAAACCACATTGGACTCCAACGGCTTTGGAACCAGAACATTAGACTTTGAACCAACACAACTAATATTCTGATCAGCCCTGACATTAACAGCATTATCAGATGGAACTTCACCCCATACATAAACATCACCTAGAGCATCACGTTCATCTGGACCAGAACCATGACTTGATGTGCTTTGAGCACTAGAGACACTAACCCGGAACACGTCTGTTGAAGGTCCTCGTACTGACATATTTGGGCTACCTGATACCACATGTGACCTTTCAGAACTGACGGAGTTCTCAGTTCTGATAGACTTTGAAAAAGGGTTTGAACTGTAAGGAGTGTCAACACTGTTGAAATCTCGAGAAGCACAAACGGAGCTGTTGGTAGGACTGCCTAATCTGCTATCCTGAAAAAAACAATGAAGAGGAACCAAAAAAAAAAAAAACTTCAGGAAAATCCAAATACTGAAGATGTTAGCTTTAGAGTATAGTTATTACTTACAGCAATAGAGAGGCCGTCACTCCAGCCGTCGATCTTAGCACGGCCACCTTGACCAGATATCAAAGCTTTTAGGCCAGCTATCCACACCTCTGCCTCAACTTTATCCTTGCAAATCTGAAAACAAGGCAACCACTTCAGCTACAGAGGCAGCTAATACAAGATGATGAGAGAGTAACTAAGTTTTAATCACTAACCACGTCAAGAGTCCGCTTCCTGTTGGAGTATATGAGCGAGAAAGATAAATAATCCTTGTCAGGGCGAAGGTAACGTTGGAAAACAGCCTGATTATATAAGCATAATATGTTACTAATAGAAGACTGGCAATTTTGCTGATAAGGAAAATAGAAAGTATGATTTAAAAGAGGAGGGGTTACAGTTCTTTGGCCAGGAACAATCTTAGAAACAGTAGATAACTTCAAACGTTTTTCACCACCATTTGAGATCCAGATCAAAGCTGTCTCATCCTGCAAAATAACATGTCCAAGGTGGGTAAAGCTATCAACAAAAGACTGAATTATACAGAATGTTTTTGTCACATCAACACAAGAAAACTCACATTGGAGAGTCTAAAGGGACAGAACTTAGGCTTTCCTTTCCGACCATACTTCAAGAGTTGAGCACCTTTCTTCAACGCAATTAGAGCCTACAAAAGAAAGGCAGAGGCTTTTGAACATCTTGTGTGAGAAAATATTACAAAGTTTGTTTATAAAAAAATATATATAAATTTTAATTAAAAAAGTCCTTTTTATTAGCATTTTTTGAAAAGCAAAATCAGACAAGCAACAAAGACAAAGATCATGTGTTCATCAAGACATAGTACCTGTTCGATGTCTCGTTCGATACTACCGTAGCTCACGAGATCAGCCATTCCATGAGAGAGGTTAAACCTAAATTCAGAAACACTCTCCGATCGCTAAAGAGAGAACCGGTCATCCTAAGCAAACAAGACAACGTGAAGTCTCCGCCTTTCTAACCATCAAATTCTCCGCTCTTTTAACTCTTCAAATATAAGTTTCCGAAATTATCTTCGCCGGAGTATGGAAGAAGCGACGGAGAAAGAGACCAGCTAGAGAGAGAGAGAGAGAGGCGAAGAGCGCGCGCGCGAATGAGAGAATCAACTTCCTCTTCTCAAACAGGAAACGAAACTAGTCTTTGCCGAGGAAATCGAACTTCGGACATAGTCAAGGTTGAAAAGTAGAAAATAAATAAACAAAATCAATCCTATATTCGACATTTTATTATAATATATACTCTCTTCCTTTTATAGATTCGTTTCCAAAAAAAAAATCTTTTTATCATTTGAATTTTTTTACTTTTGTACAGTTTTTCAAAATGCAAAGAGAAATGGTAGACTTTGCAATTAAATCTGTGCACCTTAAACTCTTTTGTAAATTAATATTGTGAACCTATATTATTAATTTAATCGTGAAAATTAATATATAGAAACTAGTCTCATATAGTACTAAAAACATTTTTGAAAAATAGCATCTTTTGAATTTGAGTTTAGTGTATAATTTAGTATTCAGGAGATGAGATTAGAATAATAATTTAAACTTCGAAGTAATTAAATTATCTTAATTTTAAGTATACCGAGTAACTTATTTTATAAATTTTCTTTTTGTATGAGTTTTAAATTTAACTAGAGATTGACCCGCACGCCCGTGCGGGTGTTACTTTTTATTTTCTATAAATTAATATTTTTTTCTTACATGATTAGTATTAGATATCTTATATGTATCATAATATAATTAATTATAGAAATATTTAAATATTTTTAGGTTTTTATATATCAGAATTGAACCCGGATCAAGTATGGTAATATGGTTAGTTTTGGTTATTTGATTATTTTAGCTTAAATTTAGTTTGAATTCAAAATACCCTAACTGAATCGGTTAAAATTGTTACTTTGGTATAAATATCCAAATCAGCCTCAGATTCTTTAGTTTTTGGATATTTGTAGGTTTCTAATTATTAAAACGGAAATCTTCTTGACTTGTGAAGAAATATTTTTAAAATTGATTTTTTTCATGATTAGTATTAGATATTTTATATGTATCATAATATAATTAATTATATAAATATTTAAATATTTTTAGGTTTCTATACATTAGAATCAAACCCGAATAAAATATGGTAATATGGTTAGTTTTAGTTATTTAGTTATTTTTAGGTTAAGTTTAGTTTGATTCAAAATACTCAAACTAAATTGATTAATATTGTTACGTTTGGTACAAATATCCAGACAGACCTCAGATACATTAGTTTTTGGATATTTATAGGTTTTTTATGTATCAAAATTAAATTATTCTCGACTTGTGAAAACCGATTTGAAATATCCACATAAAAAATTATAATACCGAATGAATTCTATTTTCAAAACTCAAAAAATCCGATATCCCAAATAAATAACTCGTAGCTAAACAGTAACTGAATGCCTATGTCTAACTGATTATGTAAACAAATAAAAAAATTTGTTAACCATTTTAATTCTTGTCACATATAGAGTTATTTCATTCAAATATGTCAAATTATTATAGTTAATATGTAAAAATAAATGTTATTGAAATATTATAGTAAATATAATTAATGAAATAGTTAAAAAGTGAAATGAATGTAAACTATAAAATAAAAAAATTGAAAACAAATACATTTTTTGTAATTCTGTAATGATATCAATTTATTTAGTAAAGATAATAAATGAAACTGTTATAATTGATTAAAATAGAAAGAAAATCTGTAAAAAAATCACTTAAATTAGGTAAGTATTATTGTTTTACTGCTATCTATGTTTCCAAACAATTTTTATTTAGTCTATTATTCTTGTTTCCAAACAACTTCAATATGTACTTCAGTTTTAATAATATAGATTACTTCTCTGTCTGGAAGAGTTGTGATATTACCGGGAAAAAAAACGTTGCGGCGGGTTGATGGTTACTAGTTGAACCTGAGATTTAGAGGAAGACACGAATCGGCTTGACTTTTGAAGAAATGATTTAAGAACTATAAAAATGGATGTCACGATGAGCTTTTGAGCTTTGAAATGAAGTGTATAATACTAAGTCTCGTTATTTATTTTATCTTGAGAATAAAACGGAGCTAGTTGTCTCTCATTGTCTGTTTCTCTCTCATTCGTGCTCAGGTCTCGTCTCTTTCTCATTTTTATATACAAACGTCGCCTCAAAAAACAATTTAGTTTTGCCGTCTCCAGAAGAGTTTCATGGCAACACACGAACTAAAAGAGCCACTAGAATTTATTATCACATAGGATTTTACTTTTCTTTTGTCATAAAACACATAGCATTCGACATTGCTTCCAAATTTCGTTATGTAAGATGTTAGCCATGGAAAGGAAAAGCTTCAATCAAGTTTATACCCAATCCATGCATCAACAATGTCCTTTTTTTTTTTTTGTCAAAGGTTTTATTTCATAAACTCAATACAGAGTATTTGAAGAACAAAGTCTGGGGACACCACCCATTACCAAAGAAACAACAATTAAACAGAAGGTTATGCATAGCTTATAAAAACATGATAACGGAATGATGAGAGGGACAAGGTTTCTCACAAAGAAAAGACCTGTAATCTCAATCACAACCAACCCCGAGCGCAGGGCAAAGAAGGGGACAATAAAGTCCGCTAGAATCTGAAGACTTAGGAGTCCAGATGATACTGTTGAGTGAGGAGGTTTCTGTAGCGTTCCAGTTTTGGCGTTTTGAGTAGAATTCATGATCCACATTCCATTAGCCGAACAAGACCAGAAGTTCTCAACATACTGGAGAGGGGAGGATACATCCACAAACTCCAAGGAGACCAAGCACCTCTTCCAAAAGCTTGATTGTTGTGAGGCGACCTGCCATGGCCTCCTAGACAACCCTGAAACACAAGCATCCATAGCCACAAAGGAAGAAGTCCGGATAACAGCCTCATACCGTGGTAAATGGAGCTTAAATCTGAAGCTCAAAGGTTTTATAACATCCTCAATATGAGGTAAAGAGCCATTAAAAAACAGCATAATCTCTTGTTTGCAAAGAAACACAGATCTTCTACTAAGATACTTAAATTTTTCTTGGGGACAATGATTGAACAAGAACGACACACTCCAATAAGATATGAACACCATACCTTGCGAAAGCCTGGAGCAAGGGGAGATGGGTCCAACAACATGTGACCAAGGTTTCAAATGAATGAAATACTTTGGCTGAGAACTACACAAAGCAGTGGAGAGCTGCTGCACTCCAAGGAGTTGCACTGAGATATTAAAAGCTGCATAAAGACAACCCAACACCATCAATATATCAGCATTCCAAGTCCAGTCCTCGAGAACTTGAAGTGATGAGAAACGAGGGAAGGTAAGCTTGCAATCAGCTGTCAGTAATCCCAAAACTCTTGCAGCAGAGATCTCAATAACCACCGCCTCTTGTTGATAATAAAACACATTCCGTAAGGACTTAAACAAAACATGCTTCCCACAAGAGACCAAGTTTCTTGGCTTTGACACCGGAATTAGTTCGAGGAAGGAGACCCGTCTAGTAGTGAGAGAGCTGGAGAGTTCAGTTTCATCCAGTAAAGACTGCATCAACAGAAGCTGGACTGATAGTACACCTTCATCTAAGAGAATCGGTGGAGGGTCGGGGGGAATTGGAGGGACAGGAGGATCCACCAGGAGCATCGCGTTGAAATCTGGATCTGGTGGTTCAGATTGCAAGGAAAGAGAACCAGATGAAACATCTTCAAGAGACTCCATTAACAGAGCAGGAGAAAATCTTCGGGAAGGAATGCGGAACGTCGACATTAGCAGAGGAGAGGCTCTTGGTTAAGAGACAGAAGAGCAAATAGAATCCTCAGGGATGAGATAAGAACTGTAAGAGACAGTATAATTCAGCGATGAGTAGTCGGAGAAGAGTATTGATAAAAAACACTCCGTGAAGAACTTTAGATCCAAGATCTAGAACAAAGGAAGCAACCCACACGAAAACTGATACCATGAGTCAGTAACCCTCATCATCAAGATTACAAAAGCAGAAGAAAATTCTGGACGGAATTTTGAGACGGTGGCTGCCGGCATAGAATCACGGTGGGGAGACGGCTGAGCTGTGGAGAAACTAACGTCAGGGAAGACTCACGGGAGTTTTGGGGAAAGCGCCAGGGAGCATTCTCTCTCTCCTCGGAATTTTCATTATCACTCCCTTAACGTTGTAACTTCTAACAGTTCAACAATGTCCTAATACTTGGAATCTACAGATAACATCGTTCTGTCTGTGTTACGTGTATGCATGTCCATTTCAAGTTGTTTCCTCTTTGAATATGAGTACTACACTTAGGTTTACTTGTATTCTCTATTTTACAACTACAAGTTGCATTACATCAAGAAAACTAATATATACCAAATTAATTGTTTAATTAGAAGTTTACTTCTTTATTTGCAACATAGAAGATCTCGTAAAGAAAACACACAAGTTCGGCTTAAAATGATTAGCTTTTAATCACACAAGCATATGATTGAATTACTCATTTGTGTGACTAACTGATATCAGTATCTAATTTTCATTGCGAGTAATCGGATGTATCTGACGTTGATGAACATACCCACAAAATATTAGTCTGTTGGGTTTCGATTCGCTAGATATCCTAGTTATCAGAAAAAAAAATTATATAAATGAGTCTTGCAAGTAATAGGTACTTATAAGTGTCCAAATGTTATTTTCTTTTAACCACACAAACATGGTTGAATTACTCATTTGTGTGACTAATCGATATTAGTATCTAATTTCCATTGCGAGTAATCAGGTCTATTTGACATTGGTGGACAGACCCCAAAAAATTAGTCAATTGGATTTCAGTCTACTGGATATTATAGTTATCAGAAAAGAAAATTATTTTGTATAAATGAGTCTTGCAAGTAATAGGTACTTATAATATGTCCAAATGTTATTGCAAGTGCACATGTGTGTACTACTAAAAATATTTTGTTACCTCCAAGGAAAAGAACTATAAAAATAGATACTATGAGATTTAAATTGGGCTAAGACAATTTTAATAGAGTTTCTCGAAAATATAAAAAATTTAGAAAGTAACAAAACTATTGATTTATGAAATTAAAAGCTTCTACATGTTTCAAGATCGCCGAGGAGTGCTTTCTCAGTTGGTAACTAGTAAATCATCTACTGAACTATCATGAACCAATCAGTTCTATTGTTATTCACCATTAACTTTGTCAAAGCATGGTTTCTTCATCACAAAACCATCAGAGTTAATTAAGATGATCTCAATAAATAAATAAATACTCTTTGGTCTTTTCTTTTTCTCTTTTTTTCTTTCCTTTTTTACAGACATCAACAGTTTACACAAACCAAAATAAGAACATAACCAAACTAAAATCAAACTGAAATGTCAAACCGAATCCAATATTTTTAATAATTGATTGGTTTTGTTATTTTAAAATGGAAATTTTTGGACCTCCTTTAAACAAATCTTAATGTAACCAAATGAAATGGAATAAAGTAAATAGAATCTCTTAAAATTTCCTAATACATAAATAAAATTATATCAGTAGTAGATGTATGCAATCGGTTTACATTAATTAGCTAAATCATTATATTGAGCTTACTAGTTTACTTAAACCAAATCAAAAACTAAATTAAACCAAACAAAAAACTGCATCAAACGCAATGAAAAGTTGAAACTAAACCAAACCAAACCGAAATCAGATTTTGCTTAATTACTCACTCTCTTCCCTTATGGATTGTCAAAAAGCTTTAAGAAAATAGAAATAAATCAAAAGAAGAAGAATGACATGACAGAGAATCAATTAACAAACGTTTGGTTTGTTGGAGAAGAAGTAGCACCAAAGGAAGGAGCTAATATTATTCACGTGTCAACTGGTGATTAGCTAGACATCATGAGCCCCTGACGAAGACGAACACCTACAACTACAACAACTCGGTCAACGAAGATTCAAAGGGGGTACTTTCGTAAACTTGTCACAAAAATTCGTAAACCGGCGTAAAAAGCGACGTACAAACCGGTATACTCTTTCCCTTTATAAAAATTAAACTTCCCACTCATCATTTATTCTATCATCGTTCGTTAGCGTTTCTCTTAAGCTCCTCTGCCAGAGATCCTTCGGTTACTTTCTTCAGAGGTACTCTTTTCTGATATTCTGGATCTCTCTGCTTTTGCTTGCATTCTCATTTCTTAAAGACTAGTTTGGTTTTCGCGTAGATCTGTGTATGTGATTCTCCCGCAGATTCATTTTGATGATTTGCGAATTGATTCCGTTGAGATCATCTATGGATAATTAGATTAGGATTCTGATACGAATAGCCTCTAAGATAGTCTGGATCTGTAAACATTTCTCATTTATTCTCGTCGTGATTGTTTCTTGAGAGCTGTTGAGTTGTAGAAGATCTGATTCGTTAACGAGAGATCATGCAGGTTTTCGACCTCTGTGTTTGGATCTCGTTACCTTTTGTGTGTTCGTGAAAAATTAGATTTAGATAATTTCGATGTTGATTCAGGTTCTTATAGAATGTGGATGAGGTTTTAATCAGTCTTTCCGTTTGTTTGTGCAGTGAAAGCAAAAAGAAAAGATGGGGTTGAGTTTCGCGAAGCTTTTCAGCAGGCTCTTTGCGAAGAAGGAGATGAGGATTCTGATGGTTGGTCTTGATGCTGCTGGTAAGACCACTATCTTGTACAAGCTCAAGCTCGGAGAGATTGTCACCACCATCCCCACTATTGGTATATGCTTCTTCTCACCATACTCATACTTGTGTTTCTGATTGAGAATGAGTATTAAATTAATAGGTTCGTTCATAAACAGGTTTCAATGTGGAAACTGTGGAGTACAAGAACATCAGTTTCACTGTCTGGGATGTCGGGGGTCAGGACAAGGTATATGATCTCCCACTTCTTCAGCAGTATGTGAATTCTGTCTCCTACTTTGAAGAATCTCTTAACGAAAACTTTTTGGCTTTGTTTGCAGATCCGTCCTTTGTGGAGGCACTACTTCCAGAACACTCAGGGTCTGATCTTTGTCGTGGACAGCAACGACAGAGACAGAGTTGTTGAGGCTAGAGATGAACTTCACAGGATGCTCAACGAGGTCCATATCCGTTACTAATTGAACTCCTTACACTGAATGATTTGTAGAGTTTAATCTTTATCATACCCATTCATAAAGTTGTATACTTACCAACTCTATTTCTCTTTTGCAGGATGAGCTGCGTGATGCTGTGTTGCTTGTGTTTGCTAACAAGCAAGATCTTCCAAATGCCATGAATGCTGCTGAAATCACAGATAAGCTTGGCCTTCACTCCCTGCGTCAGCGTCACTGGTAAATAAAAACATAACCTAACAAGTCTCTGGAAATTTAAACCATTCTGTTGTTCTAAATTTATTTCTTCCTTTGGAATCAACAGGTACATTCAGAGCACATGCGCCACTTCAGGTGAAGGACTCTACGAAGGTCTGGACTGGCTATCCAACAACATCGCTGGCAAGGTAACATAAGTCGCAAAGACCAAATCTTACAAAACTTTGTTTCTTCTTTTCTGCGATGCTTACCTTCTCTTCTGCCCTTAATGCAGGCGTAATAAAGTAACACAACATTGCATCTGGAAGATTCTCCCTGCTGTGTGTTGGTAAAGTTTCTGGATGCAAGAGATATTATATGAACCTTTTTGCTACTGGCTATATGAATGTTCTGATTGTGCAAGTAGATGTGTACCTAAAAACTTACTAGTATGAGCCCTTTTAAATAGTTTTTCGTGTATTTTAATTTGATGGAACCTGGTTTGATTATTGAATGTTATTGCTTTCTTGTTATTACGTACATCAATTGCAAGCTTGAGCATAATAAGATAAATTCTTTAGTACGTATTGAATATATTTCTTGTCATTTGTGGTCATGGCTGTAAAACTTTTTCAACAATCTCCAGAGTGGTGAATTGTATCTTAGGACAACAAGCATTTACGTATCTGATCCCAAAAGTCATAAACATTTCTATGACCACCCAAAATCATGGAGTGCTTACAGTTTCCTTGAATCAGCAAATATCGTTTCGACGTCTCCTTGATGTTCTTCTATGTGCAGCCCACCTCTCCTTTATATCTCCAGGTTTCAATATCCTTTCCTCATCCAGCGACTGACGATCATCCGTTTCACCGGTTGCCAAACGTTTGCGGATATTAGCAGTCTCAGCCAACAAGTCATGGATGAGCATTTCTGTTGTCTTGGCTGTGATGCCTCTCAGATACCAAGAAATGGGTGGTGGTGGAACAATCGCAGGCTGTATTAGCTGGTCAAGCGTCACCTTTGATCCCACCCTCCCTTTACCTCCAGTGCACTGGTCATACTCCTCCAGTGTTTTCGGTTTCAGACGATCGCACATATGCTCGTCCACAAACAGAGGCTTAACTTGCCAGCTTCCTTCGAATCTCTTCATGAAACCGCTCTTCACTTGCTTGAATTTCATCTGCAAAACCCATTTCCCTTTCATAAAAACCATTCATGAAAAAGGCTCTAGACTTTTTGTTTAGTGGTCTTACAGAGTGATCTGCTCGGTTTTGATCCACCAAGACATGAACTGAGATTGTTCCTGACCACCAGAGAAACCTCCACAAAGCTGCTTGTTCTACTTCCACCACTTGCCTTAATCCTTCATCTACCACTACTTTCCGCGACAGAACCTCCTGCAAAATGTGATCACAATCTCTATATTTTGAAGCTGGTGAATCTGGAGCTCAACCTCTAATAGAGGAAAAAGGTACCTTGATATTCTTGAAGACCCTTCTGTTGTCAGGGTCAATCACAATGTTATAGACTGCGTCAGGGGGTAAACCAACGTTCACCTCGGCTTTGAGATTGCAAAGCGACCCTTTCGGAATACTCACCTGCCAAAAAGTTTATTTGAATGTCATAAAACAGGATTCCCTCCCTAGCTATGAAAAGAACCGTCTAGTTTAGTCTATTAATCACCTTAATGTCTGGGGGTTGATCAGTCCATGAAGTATTTCCTCTCCAACTATCTAACTGTTTCTCCAGGTCCATTTGTATGGAGTTAGATGAGATTTCATTATCTTGCTTCCATGAAGAACCAATACCACGCTTATCAGCGGTCAAATTCTTCAGTTGAGACTGTAACAAAGAATGCAAAACGCTTCTTCTTTTCAGTACCTTGAAAGTTAACAAACATCACCGGGCATTGAAAGCATGTGTGAAACCAAATTATAACCTTAATACGGGTTTGAATCTTCTGAGAGAGTCCAACGAATCTAGAGAATGCTGGATCAAACACACTTGAGACAACATTTCTCTTGTTCCTCTCCGTGTCTGAACCAGGATTGTTAACAGTAGTAGACTTCCCCATTTATGTGTATAAGGCACTGTAACAATCTGAAGTTTATCATCATGGCTAAGAAAAAAATCAAGTGGATCATCACAAACAATAACATCACAGACAGAACATGAACTCAAGCCAGTTCAGACATTAAAAAAAAAAGCATTTTCTTGAGAATGAATAAGTTAATCACGCAATCAAAGTAAAGCTGATGAATTAATATTATTATCTTTAATTATATGAAAAGCAACTTTATTTTTTACCCACGACGACGAAGCACTTAACAATCTGTAAAATCACTATCAGATCCGAAGCAGAGAGAATAAACTTATGCGAGCATTAAAGCAGAGAGAGATTGAGCTTTTTGTTTTCCCCGACAATCCTCACGGAGATCGAGGAACTTACAGCGTAAAAAGGACAGACGTATGGAAGCTTTTGGTTGGTGTTTGGTCACACAAAACCAGCCATGTGATACACACACGTTATTCCATGGAAGAAGAAGAAGAAGAAGACGAGATGGGTTCAGCTTCGGATCGCGATGCAACGGTCTTAGAGTGGGAACCTTTCACTTTTGTGTAGACAAAAAAAGAGACCATCGAGGAACACGATTGCCACGTGTCGTTTTCTCGCTGGTCTTAGCGCGGAACAGAAGAAGGTAACGTTGATATTCTCGCCACGGTGTTACCAACTGCGTGCCGTTTTTGACGAACTACGTCATCAGTGATGAGACTCCTTTCTTTTCTTTTTTAACATTCTTTCTTATTTCATTAACTTGGACCATATTGTTTCTTTGATTTTTTTCAAGAAGGTATATTCATAAATCTAAAGCATTATTTTGAGTTTATGATTAATGTAGAGACTAGAGAGTGAAATCGCATAGAAGGGAAATAAAAGGACTAAATTTTATATTGCCCCACTCACTATCATCTTCATTCTATTTTAACCCATCTTAAATTTGATTTTTTTTCTCAAAGTCTAAGTATGGTTAAAAAATCAATAACCCTTAATGAATCAGTATTATGTGTAATATGAATTACTAGAAACTACCTTGAATTACTTTGAATGACTAGAAACTACCTTAAATTATTAGAAACTACTATGAACAAAAAACAAACTACCTTGAATTACTAGAAACTACTACGAACAAAAAAAAATGGGGCAGTGAGAAAAATGGTGGGATAATTAGAATAGTAATTTTCCAACTGGGGTATATTAGAATACTTTCCGAAATAAAATTACATAACACACAAATTTCTGATAATTTTTCAATGACAATTCATCATTGGTAAAAAATAATACCAAACAAATAAAGATGTATGCCGTTTTGGCGAAAACATCATTAGATTCATTACTGTGGTTGGTTAGTGATGGCTCCTTTGTTCTATTACTTAAGCTTCTATCTTTTTCTGTACTTTGGGACACAACTTATTGAGTTATTTTCATTAACTTTGACCAAATGGTTTGTCTGATTTTCTCCAAAAAGTATCAATGATTCAGAAACATCAACATGCTTAATGTACAGACATATTTTAAAGCACAGAAGGGAAACAAAAGTGTAAATTAGTCAAATAACAAAAATTCAATCACAAACTATTAAAATGTCTCTGTTAGTGAAAACAAATAATAAGTCCAATTGCCTAATGGCCCGTTATAATGAGTTATATGGATTTGGTCCATCAAGTAGAGACTTAGAACTTATCAGCAGTTATCATGCAAGGAATAATTTTTTTCTTTGTAAAAAAGTAAAGCAAATAAAGAATCAAAAATTCAAAATCTAAAGGTATTGTGAATTGATAAGAATATGACATTGTGAACACTTCAACATTATCTGAGGAAGAAAAGGACATTCAAGGAGACAAAAAGTTTGAAAATAATATGAAAAAGGAAAAGATGAAAACAGATATTTGCGTGAAAGAACTCAAAATGTGTTTTACACTAATCCCTATGTTGAATACATTCCAATTACATTCTCTCTTGTGGAACCCCACTCTAAACCTACAAAATTAAAGTGAACAAATATTATTAGAAAATACACAAGAAAGGTGACCTCTTAACACTAAGGAAGACATGATGGTGTATAAGTATTTTATGCAAGATTAGTGGATACATATTCCCACTTTTATTTGAAAATTGAAAAATCTCATGATCTCTCTGTCCTGATATTGAGCCCAAACAATCATGGTTTATATTAGTAAATAATACACAAGACACATACAAGCACTAGGGGATTGAAAATTTGAGACTGCAGAATAGTGAAAGAGGTGATGATTGGTAAAGCAGCATGCCCACTCATCAAATCTTTAATTCATATCTTTATTGGAAACAGTTCATGAGTTGTGTCTCATCTCAAAAATACTTAACCAAATTCTCACTTTCTCTTCTTACAAAGCAATCAGAAACTGTTCTAAAGTGCATCTCTTTAAAATAAATTCACATTGTTGATGACAAACAATAAAAAACAAACCCCACACTACTTTTTTATTAAAGCAATATGTAACTTTATTTCAAGAAGAAAAACACCATGCCGTGCATAAACTTTATTTATAGAGAATGATGATAGAAAGAGTGTTAGTACTATTAATACATTGGCCATTTCAGATGGAAATGAGATAAACTGAAGCACTCTTCATCATCACAGAGCTCCCAAAATCTCACATTCAAAACCAAGCTCACTAACCACAACAACAAAAATGGAAGATCAACAACAACAACAGCAGCAGCAGCAGCAGCAGCAGCAGCAACAACAACAACAGTTTCAGCAACCTCTGGTTGTGTATCCATCTTCTTCTTCTTCAACACCTTCCTCTTATGCGCCACCTTCGTCCTCTGGTTCAAGTGGCTCATTCGGTACAGCTTTCATCGTTATAGCTGCAATCCTCATCTTAGCAGCACTGGCTTGTGTGTTCGGAAGGCTATGCAACCGCGGTCGCAAAGATCACAAAAAGAACAACAAACCCTCAAAGCATGAGAAACCATCGTCAAAGAAGAACCGTGAGATCAGACCTGTGGAGCGTGAGCCAAGAGAGAGAGGTGATGATTTGGAGTTTGGGTTTGATATAAAGCGTCCTGGTCCAATGAGCAAACCTTCTGGCCCTATGAGCAAACCCTCTGGTCGAAATGGAGATATTGAGTTTGGGTTTGATAACAAGAGAGGAGGAGGAGGAAAGAAAGGACCACCTCCGGGTGTTAAACACGGAGTAAGGTTCCAGTAACCGGCAAAATGGAGGTTGGCTTCAGACACGGTGGTTAGGTCTTCAAGAACCAGTCAGGAGAATGATCTAAATAAGACAAGAGACTTACTCATGCTTGTTTAGCTTTATGTTTTTCTTGTTTATTTATGTTTGTAGTGTTTCTTGTTTTGGGTCTATTGGTTTTGTTTCATATAAGTATGGAACTTTGGATATCAAAATTATATATGAAATCAAGAAGATAAGTAACATATAACAAGGTCAATCTGTAAAAGATATTACATATCAGAAGATGGAAATTCTTCATTGTCCTCATCACACTCAACAAAAATCTGAAACCAAACACAGAGAAACAAAAAAAGCAAACAAGATTCAAATCACTCTTTCAGAACTTCTATGAGTTCTTTTTCTTTCTTTCTTTTTTTTTTGCTTTTTCTTGTTCTAACCTATAATAAGTTTTTTTGAGGCAAATGGCCATTATGGAGCAAAACCCAAAAGGTGGCTATGCAAGAAAATGCACATCACACAAAAATAATAAAGAGCATTAATGATGTACATGAGAGAGCTCAAGCATGAGTGAAGAGTTATAATAACTTCACCTATGTTTCAATCAGAACCGCCGGTTATTGACGTGTCGGCTCTCTGATTCGTTCCTCGTGAACTCGGTAGAAGCTCCAGAGGATCCTCTACTGGAGCTTCGGACAGAGTAGTCTCCTGAGTCTGAGTTGTCATCAAAACCAAACGCCATTTTCCTGAACTTCATGGTGTCTGAGTTATACTGACCAGAGTCATTAGTACTGGTTTGTCGACCCACTTTGCTTCCGTTGCTAATGTCTCCCATGTCTCCTTCACTGTCCAGTGCTCTCACAACCTTATTTCAAACCAAGTTTTTTTTAGAAGATAAGTTTTCAAGCTTGACCAACTACAACATGACATGTACATTTTTGCTATGTATATGACATTTGATTAGGAAACATTGTTGCTACTAATATGGATTTTGGATTTTATTAGAGTTTCTGTCTTTTCGTAAGGAATTTATTGGAAAGTGTAATAAGAAAGTTACCTGAGCCATGCGTGGACGTTTAGGACCAGAATGCCTAATACATGCAGCAGCCGTTTCAATCATTCTAAAAACTTCATTTTCAACGTAATTCTTTTGGAGCCGTCTATCAACCAAATCGCTGAAATCTCCAGTCTCAATGGCTTGGTGAAGCAGTGGACGAGCCTGTGAGTTTATGTCTTTTAAGTAACTATAGCCAACCATATCTGAGAACAAGAATGTTTTCAGACTAGTATTTACTTACCCATTCGACCAAACTCTCTTCTCCTAGAGGCTGGTACTGGTCGACTGGTTTGCGTCCAGTTACAAGCTCTAAGAGAACAACCCCAAATGAGAAAACATCTGACCTATCAGTCAGTTTTCCACTTTGTGCATATTCTGGTGCCAAGTACCTGAAAAACAAAGCACAGTAACAAGAGGCTTATGTGTAGTTTTCATCAACTTATATATTTTGGTAAGAAAACATTTCAGCCTTCTAGCATTTCTATATAAACAAACTAGTTCATCATTGTCAGATCTTGAAGTTCAAGAACCTAATACTAATGAAAACTTTTCTTCTCAAATGCTTACCCAAATGTTCCCATAACGCGAGTTGATACATGGGTTTGTGTTGAATCATTGAGCTTGGCAAGTCCAAAGTCAGCAACCTAAACACCAAATAAACAGAGAAGAACACGGCAAGTCTCAAAACTATAGCTTTAAAGCCTAACAGCAGATGTGTTAAAACAAAAAAAGAAGGATGATTGTATTTCTTACCTGAGCTTCAAAGTCATCATCCAGCAGGATGTTTGCTGACTTTATGTCCCTGTGAATGATTTTTGGATGACCTGCAAAACAAAACATAGAGATATATTCAGCTTCCCTTTGTGCTTTTAAAAGCCTAAGAATTGATTAAACACTTACAGTCTTCGTGCAAATATGCCAATCCTTTGGCAGAACCTATAGCGATCCGGACTCTTTTAGCCCATTCTAGGACTGGCCTTCCCTTCCCTGTTCAAAAAACACAAAACCATGTAAGTAAAAAAACACAACATGTCAACTAACATTCTTTATTGAGGAAAGTGACAAATGAATCCTCACCATGCAAATGATGCTCCAAAGTCTGGTTAGGAACATACTCATAAATAAGCAACCTCTCAACATCCGAAATACAGTAACCAACCAAAGAAACCAAATGACGATGGTGAACACGGCTAATAATCTCAACCTCAGCTTTAAACTCACGGTCACCTTGTCCACTACCAACCTTAAGCTGCTTCACAGCAACTAGTTTCCCATCGTGCAGTTTACCTTTGTAGACAAAACCAAACCCACCTTCACCAAGTATGTTTTGCTGAGCGAATCCTTCGGTCATATCCATTACCTCTTCATAAGTGAAATGCGTCTGACCACTCCCCATCACTGCTGAGTCAGGTGGATAACCTCTATGACTCCCTCTTTGGCTACCTTTTTGACTTCCAAAGCTGGTTCTAGTGTTGTCGGATTGTTGTCTTGTATTGTAACCAATAGGAACAGAGTATCCTTTTGTTGAGTTTTGTCCGTATAAGAAACCATCTATACATAATTATTTTAAAAAGGGTTAGGGTTTTGTATTTTCTTTTAAGACAGAACATGAAGAAGATGAGAGACTTTGATCAAGTTTTTTTCTTGTTCACCTGATTGGACGGAGAAGTTTGGAGGAGGCAAGTATTGGGAGTCACTGTATGCATCTACATTTCTCTTTTTCTTTCTTCTGACAAAGAACAAGACGGCTACTACGGCGATGAGTGCGAATCCGGCTACTGCCATTCCCGCCATAGTCTTCCCCTGATAGCCATTGTTATTTCCGTTTGAAGGAGGAGGCGGCGGCGGGAAGCTGGCGACTCCGCTAGTGGGAGACTTGAGAGGTCCTCCTGCAGCGGTGGACTTTGGTGGTAGTGCGTTAAGCGGTGGCTGCGCGTTTGGAGGAGACTTGGCTGGTGCTGGAGAAGACTTGGCTGGTGCTGGAGGAGACTTGGTTGGTGCTGAAGGAGATTTGGTAGGTGCTGCCGGTTGTGGTGGTGGTGGTGGTGATTTTTTTGGTTTTTTTGGTTTTTTTGGTGCTGCCTGCGGTGAAGACGCTGGAGGAGGAGAAGATTTTTCCTGAGGCGGAGGAGGAGGAGGAGGAGAGCTGTCTTCTTCATTTGGCGGAGGCGGCGGTGATTCAAATTCCTCCGGGGGAGGAGGAGGAGGAGGAGACTTTGTAGGCTCCGGTGGTGGTGAACCGGAGTCTACAGGTGTTGGATCAGCTGGAGGAGGAGCATCCGGGGGAGGAGGTGGAGGCGGAGGGTCAGATTCCGGAGGAGGAGTAGCAGGCGGAGGCGCGGATACAGGAGGAGGAGTCACCGGCGGTGGAGAAGATGAATCAGGCGGCGGTGATGAATCAGCTGGTGGACTAGGAGGTGGTGCTGAATCCTCCGTCGGTGGAGGAGAAGAACCACCGGTGGAGTCATCCGGCGGTGGAGTAGAATCAGCCGGAGGTGGTGCTGAATCAGCTGGCGGAGGAGCAGAATCATCGGTGGAGTCTTCCGGAGGAGGACTGGAATCGGAGGAAGGTTCTGGTGGGGAAGAGCTTGGCGAGTCTGACATTTTCTTTACCCCACTATATGTTTCTTCCCCAAGAAACAACACTCAAAAATCAAGAGAGTCCCTAAGTGAAACCGATCAATTTGATTCAAAGAACTCTACAGATTACAATTTGAATATATCAACTAATTAAAAAAAAAATATGAAACCGAAGACTCTGATATAAACTATTATTTTTTCTAGTTAAGGTTTATAAAGAGAGGACCTGGACATAAGCTGGAGAAATGCGTTCCATTACGAAAATAAATAAAAAAACTTGATGATGGAGGTCCTCTCTCTATCTTCTTTGCCCTCGTTTCGTTTTCCCGGGAAAAATAATTAAAAAGAAAAACGGAAATAAGAGGTCGACATGTTCGTTCGTTTTTGTATTTTTTTTTTTTTGAATTTTTAGGTGACTGAGAGAGAGTTGGAGGCACGTCGTGTACCGTACTACCGTGTGATCCTAGACGACGACTCTCTCTATTATACTATTATTTGTTTTCCCTCCGAGAATATCTCTCGCTTAATACCCGCGCAAATTTAACGGATTCTTTTTTAAAATATTTTCCGACCCGACCCGGTAATCCGCCACGTCGCATTGCTAGGAGAGAAGAAATAGATGACGTGTTTCTAACTTTCTATGATGCGAACTATTTTAGAAAGTCATGGATCAGATTTTTGAAGCCCATAAACCGATTTTTTGAGCCCATATTTCAAAACCGAAAAGAAAAATTTAGTCCTTTTTCATCAACTCATAATATTAGAGCAACTCCATCGCGGGTTCATAACCCAGGCCCAAACTGATTTTGATTATTAAAACAATATAATGGTGAATTTTTTTTAGAGATGCCCCTTAAATAAGGTTTTTTAGGAGTGAGTTTTAAATGACGTGGCAAGACGAAAACGATGTCGTTGTGCTCTAATCACAAATTCGATCTCTCTCTCTCACCCTCACCCCTGCATCCATGGAGTCAGATAACAGCACCAGCTTCACCTACCTGCGCCTCCGACAACTCCGACGACCTCATCCACCACCTCGTCGCTTACCTCGACTCCTCCCGCTCCGTCGAAGGGCAGAAGCAAGCCGCCATGGAGATCCGCCTCTAGCTGTTACATCTACTTTGATGACTCGGGAGGTCAGACTACTAGAGAAGACAACAGCAGAAAGTATTATCTTTACACCCCAGTTGAGAAAACAGCTCAAGCTGATGCTTGATCTCTCTTTTGGTGACTGAACTCAATAAAGCTCTGCATCTGCTTCGTTTTTGTTTCTCTATTGTATCTGGAGATATGAAATCATATAACTCTTTTGCTCTTTGTTTCCTCTTGTGTTTTTCAATAAACATAATTTTATTTTATTTTTAAAAACCTCATTTTGGAGTTCACCAATGCACACCAAAAATATTGAAAATCCTTAACTTTCCAAAATTAATTAAAATAATTGAAACAAAATGCTAAGAACCACATTTATAGGTTCAGCAATGGAGTTGCTTTTATGAGGTTTTTTTATTTCACATTTTCACAATTGATTTTTCATGTTTTATCATTTTTTATTCTTATTTTCAAAGTACGTGATTTGAAAATTTAAGTATCGGTGTATATTTATAATATTGGGGTGATGTGTTATAATTTTAAAAAATTAGTATAAAGATCTTTTCAAATATTTCTCGAGAGTTATTCATTTTATTGTAGTTTTAATCACGAAAACCAGATATGATAATATAAAATTAAACATAAAATCTTAAACTTATTCAGTTATAAATTCGTTTAAAATCAATATAGATAAGTGATAAATAGTTTAGTATCGATAATAGTATATTCGTTTATTTTAAAAGTGAATTTCGTGAAAAATATAGAAGTTAACATAATATATCAAATTGCCAAAAACACAATATTAATTCTTATAAATATTTTATAATATTACATGAATAATTATAATATTTATTCAAAAAAATCTGCATAGGTTTTATATATATAGTCATATAAAGAACATTTGAAACATTTGATATGGTTTATGTCATATGTTTATAAATTTGAATCTTTTGTAAATATATTTGAGTGAAATAAATGTGAGTTTAATAAAATGTAACGTCATTTAATTATTGCTTTAAATGAGATGAATCATAATATTTAGTTGTATTTAATATAAATTGGATTAACAGATGAATAGGTCCAAACAACTTTTAAATAGATTTTTGAGAATAATTCTCTTTTAATAATATAAGATTGTTGGTATAAATGAAGTCACATAATATCTAGTTGCATTTAATAGATTGGATTAACAAATGAATAAATCCATAAATTGTTTTTGGAATAGTTAATTTTTGATAGTATATATATATGGATTTTGTAACTCAGCAAAACAAAACAAACAATTGTTAACAATGATGATGGAAGAGGAGATCGTGGACAGTGGCGAGATCATCGATGCACTCTCCAACCCTTCGGAGGAGGACTCAACGATTCTTCTCGGAGACGAACATCCCGAGTACGACGTCGTCTGCAACTGTTTCCTCTACGGAATGCGTCTTTTCGCCAGCGACACCACCATCGTCTCCGTGCGTAAAACCTCCACGCAGAGAATCACAGCCAAGGCGAAGCTCGCTGCCTCCACCGTCTTCGTTGATGCTATGAAGAGGAAGAACGGCGGAGACGCTACCGTGAGGTACGGATGGTACCCTGGTTCCAAAGAAGAGATCGAACGCATCGTTTCGTACGGGTTTAGCAGTAGCGAAATCGACAAGTTCGAGAAAGACGATCGTTCTCACGGCGTTGGAATCATTTTTTTTCATCATACGTGCTCCTTCCCTGCGTAAGTTTACGGTTTAGGGTTTTTTAGTTACTTGCTGAGGAAGCAAAGCTTGTAACAGTGAATGTTTTTTTTTCTCTCTTTTAGGGCTTTACGTTGTGAAGCTGATGAGGAAGGGATATACCATCTTCTCTTGTGTCGTTTGATTCTTGGCAAGCCTGAGAGAATCATCCCTGGATCTAAGCAATCGTATCCAAGCTCGAGTGAGTATGATTGTGGTGTGGATGATCTAGAGAATCCGAGGAAGTATGTGATATGGAGCTGTAACATGAACAATTACATCCTCCCGATTCATGTCGTGAGCTTCACGTCTCCTCGACTAAGAGGTATGTATATAATAATACATTCCAAAACTTGTTACAAGACCCAAAAGCTGAAGTTTATCTTTATCCCGGGATCTTAGAGGGTTTTTAGGAGAAAAAGTTGGTGTGGATCCCAACAAAACAATGAGAAAACGTTTTTTCATGTCGCGAAATAAGAACCGAATCTTGCACTGTTTCGCGTCTTCACTTATACGTGGCGGTTCGCGAATGATTCGTTTTTAATTATTATTTTTTTAATCAGACAAGGAAAAATAATAAGAACCCCCAATGGGTCTTTGGGATAAAGATGCTGAGTGGAACAATTTTTTTCAATCATTCAGCTTATATTAGAGGTATTGATGGGGCAAGGTCACCACGGGCTACGTTCTCTGTAATCATGTCCGAACTTTCAAAATCACTCGACCATCCAAGAATGAGTGTGATCTTGACAAGTTATGATGATTTTCAGGTGGGATGATGATGACTGATATCATTTTGACTAATATGGAATTTAGTTTTGATCTTTCTTGTTTTTTTTTGTCTTGTCAGAAAGGCAAGGTGAGGAGAGAGGAGTTTATTAGGAAGATGAGAGAAGTGGTTGGGGACGAACTTCTTATTGATATAATCAAGAATAATGGAATTTTAGACTAGAAATTTTGATCAGGGTAAGTTTCATAGTCAGACGACCAAAATAGTTTTTTTTTCTTGCTAATTATAAGTTTCCTCCGTTGATATATCTAAATATGAAGATGTTTTCTTATGGACCAAGGTGTTTACTTTCTTGGGGAATACATATAGCATAAGTCAACAAGATTTTGCTACAAGATTTAATTATTTTCATTAATTTCGTAGAATAAGTGACCCATTTTTTTTTTGTTTTCTTGCAGAGAAACACCTGATTAGGCCAAAGCAAGTATTGGTGATGATGCATAAAAGGAATTGGTTGAAACAGAAGAAGCATAGTATATAAAATATATGATCTATAGTTTAGTGTGTGTATGGGTTTAATATCAATCAGATTGCATACAAAACACTTTAAATAGACTTTGTTAAATATTCGAATCAATTTACCTTCTCTTGCTTTGTGGATTTCTGATTTCATTAGAGGAATGAATATGGGATCACAGCAACTGTGATTCCACGCAATTATGATTATATATAATGAATATTCAATACACGCATAAGAATAAAGGATCAACCTCATGTTGAAAGAGACAAAAGAGGTTAGTGGTTAAGCTCAAGGAATGGTGCTGGTGCTACTAGCTAGAGATCTGATCAGTCCTTCTAGCTGCAGACAGATAAAACATTTTTTTTTTAACTCAACAACAACTTCTTCATCAACCAAGGTTTAGAAACATACAAATTGTAACCACAATGCCTCGCTAGAGGCTTTAACCACCTGTGATCTACTGGATGAAGACATGGTAAAACATTTTTAGATATATAATATTATGTGGTCTCTAATATCAATTTCTCTTCTGACCTGATCATTTATTTCTTTTCTTCTCTTCACTTCCTCTACAAGAATCTCAACACTGAAACACACATAAAACATCTTATCTCAACTTAATCATATCTTAATACAATAAAAAACCAAAAAAAAATAAGAAAGAAGGTAGTTCAGTTCATTACCTAATTTTTTCCAGGAAATCAACTTGAGATTGTAGTTCTCTCCCCCTTGATGATGTGAATATCTGTAAGTTTTAATGCGTTTTCTAAGTATGTATTAGACATCCATATTAGCCAAATAAGAAACAGAACATACGTGCTGCACTCCTTGGGTTGTTTTTGAGATAGGATATTCAGTTTCTGTACAAGTAAAGATCAATGTCATTAGAAGATGAGAGACATTACTGGCAGTTGGATCAAAAAATCTAATTTTGTATGATATATTCTTATGTAACCAATTATTA